CTGTATATACTTTGAATCATTTGTAATTATAGTTACGGTAACTATCTTAGTGATTGAGATTTACCTTACCTTTGCTGAAGCCTGAAACTAAAAGGAAATATTTATTTCCTGATTCCCAACTTTATGATGATGACTGTACTCTTTGAATGGAACAGGCCAACAGGGGCAGGAATTGTTACATCCTTCTCTTATTTGGGCTTTGAGGATGTTTTTTATTTTATTTTATGCGGTGGGCTTACAGGAATGAGCTTGTTTCTTTTCTTTATTTATTATGTATGTCTCTCCATTGGCTTGTACCAAAACTTTGTAACTGTTTTCCAGTTTAATGAAACTGAGTTTGTAAAAAAAAATCTTATAATTGCGTATATATTTACGCATACAATATTAAGGAAGCAGGGACTGCAGTGGCTGGCTGCCTGGGCCTGGCTAACCGCACCATGCATTAAGAATAACAATGAGTGGGACCGGAGCGACTATCTTGATATTCATATTCATCCCGTGACATATTGGATAATTTATCACGAGACAAAGTATCAGACAGATTGACCCAAATGAGTATGTAATTTAAAAGAAAAACATTAGAAATGTTCATATATATTTTTTTTCAGAAAACCAAAAACAAACTATAAAATCTACATACATATCCATTATGTCGAAATTATCATCCCTTACTTACATACACATCATGTGGACTGAACTGTAAACTGTTTGTTCAAACTTCAACCAAGATATATAGATGGGAAATCCCAGTTGTTATTATAAGGAGAAGAAGAAGGTGATGATGGAGAGGACCATAATGATTTGGTCCCTTGTTGCTTTCCCATCTCTGGCCAGAAAGGGAGGCGATACGGCCATGCTGCTGCTGATGATTAATTGCCATCACAAGCACGGTTTTTGCATTGAATGTGGGTTTTGCATGGCAATATGTCAGATCATTGCTCTGTAAAAAATGGATGGAGATAGAGAGTACTGCAGTTTCTTTTCTTGTGTCGTGATGATATGATTGTTCTGTATTCAGGTTACGACATATGCAGAATATGGGTGGGTTTTCATAACAAAGCCAATCATTTTCTAGGGGTTTCAGGTGCTTTGTTTCACATATGCATGCATCATAACCATAGTTTTTTTTTTTGAATGTATATTTTTTTTTGCAATTTCTGTTCTTGGTGTTTTCTTGAGGCAGGGGAGGGAAGAGTGTAATGGGGTGACATTAATTCCTGGAGTATGTTCATGTTGAAACAGCAACAGCATCAGAAACAGCAACTCACTGTTTTGCTTTGAATTATATGTGATTGTTCAGTGGGGCATATCCTTTAGACCAATTGGGTAAAAGGTTGTATTGAAGGCTAGCTGCAGGATGTACAAGGCTTTTAAATGCTATAACATAATAAACAAGGACATATTTAACAATAACTGAATGTTCAGAGTTTACGACTATGGTAAGCAATGTGCATAAACAACCAAATAATGCTCCGAAATCACTTACGAAACAACATGATTTGAACAATATACTTCATAAATAAGCACATATGGATGGTTGGCCAAAAAAATTGTGGCTCCACCTCGGTTTCTTTTTAGCCAACCAAACTTATGGATGAAAGAAGATCCTATAAAATCCTCAAAAAATTTCACCCTCAAAACCTAAAGAGGCCAAAACCCAAGAAATAGTCACATATCCGTATCGACAAGCTCTTCTTTACAATTCATCACCTCTAGATCAAGCAACATTAGGAGAGTTCTCAATCTTATACAAATCAGAATTAGACATAAAATTTTGGGTGTTACGCACGAGAAGACTTTTATTATTAAGAGGGGAAAAAATGAATTCTTTGGATGCGGACGAAGGACATAAATTTTGAGTTCTCATTTGCTACTATATTGAAAAGTTACTTTGAAGTACTTGTCAAGTAGGTAACTTGGATAAAAAAAAAATGAAAATCTCATTCATCTCAAAGAAAATGTTGGCTGTAAAAAAACCGATTCTTGGCCAGTTGGCCCTTTCTTCTCTCAGCCCGGAAACAAAGCACGGTGGAAACCAACCAGCAGCAAGTAATTTCATAAATGGAAACAGAGGGAGGAATAAATGGAAGAAGCAGTGCTTTTTCCGTCCGGCATGCCCTCCGACTACTAAACGTGAAATGGCAAACTCTGAAAGAAGGAGATAGATCGAAATGACAGCACTACTCTACTCATCATGAAAATATTTCTTCTCTTCTGAGCATTGCATGCTGCAAAATTTGTACTCTGCTGCCGCTGGAAAAGAAAACAAACAAACGGGAAAAAACCGAAATGGGGCCAGAGGTTGTCACGCAGGCCGGCGTGCCACTCAGCCACTGGTTGAACCTGGTTCAACCTATATCAGTCATAAAATCGGCATGACACCACCGGTATGACCGGCATGATAGATATACGAATCTTCAAGTAAAATAATCTTACCTTAGTGAATTTAATTGATAAAAAGTAGTTTATTATTTATTTTATGGGTTAAAAAGTTAAATGTTGATTCTATTTGTTTGATTCAAGTACAAATATTTAGGTATTGACGTTAAATGTCGTGTTTAAATATGAGTATTTGTAATATTAACCGGTATGAACCGGCACAAACCGATATGTACCACCGGTCGAACCATTCCACTTGCTAAACCGACACACTGGTATAAACTGGTTTGACAACCTCGCCAGACTTTCAGGCATAGCCCGACCCATGAATTGGTTGCGGGTAATAACCAACGGTAGGTTGAAATGCTCAAAATACGAAACACCCAACAACAGAAGAAGTCTCTTTTTTGGTGAAAACACACTCTCTCTCTCTGTTTCCTGTTACTGAGACTCAAAAATTATGACCCTACCGCCAATTTCTACAGTTCCCATCAATGTTCTCGGCGTAATTAAACAGGATCCCCTGCCCACCCTGCTATTCAATTTCCCCTTCTGATCAGCGTGGACGAAAAAAAGAATATGAAGAAGACGAAATAGGTGAATGGGGTCTCATTTCATTCGTTAGCAGTCAGCCTGAGCTTTCGGACGTGACTAGCATTTACCAGCTTCACCAGTTTTTGCTACTGTTCTTGTTTCATTTTTCAAATGTCGATTTAAAATCACTACTGGAATTTTTTTTTTTTTTGGCGCAGGTCTTGGCATTTGTACAGTACTGTTTGAAAGAATTAATTAAGGAGCAGCTCTGTACCATAAATTGTCGGCATTGTAATCGAAACAAGGAAATAAAGGGAAGGATTGCTCTCTGTTATGCTATGATCATCATCATCGTCGAATTACGCATATGTAACATTAAAAAAACCAACCTTTAACCAAAAAAATTTTGAAAAACAGAGCACACGTAATTTCAAGAGGATTGTTCCACCTATCTATCTATCTATCTGTTTTACTCTATACTCTGTGTGCTGTATACAGTTTGCCCGTCACATTCTGCAGAATCAGTGGAGCCAGACGATTTCGTTACTTATTTCAGGAACATTACTAGTTACCACTTCACCACAGTACACTACCATTCGGTTATTCCATTTCCATATCAAGCATTACTAACTTCACACAGCCTTCAACACTTGGCCACCATGTGAGCGAGCAGCTCAATAATGCAGTAGCAGTCTATGAACTAACTGACTCTCATACGATATATGTGACCACACTACTGATCATACCAGACTGTGACTCTGCCTAGAATCTAAAAAGAAAAAAGGACCCGCCAGATAGTGGCTAAGGGCTAAGGTAAAGCTTTTTCCTTTTTACGGAAGAAAAAAGGCGAAGCATTTCAGAGACTCTGCCTGTGTATTGTCAATCAAAGTATGATAAAAGGTAGAGAAGTAAAAGTACCATTTTTTTCTTCTTCCATTCATTCAAATGCAAATGATTGTAGTAAGTAATAACTCGGAAGAGCCGGGGAGTCCCCAGATCATGCCATGCTGTGGGTTCAGATGATGGAAGTCCCTTACTCGATCTCGCCACTCTCTCGTCTTCTCGATGGTCCCGTCGCAATTGGCACCTGGGTAATCCTGTCGGGGTCAGTTGGTAAAAAGGAGGAGAGAATCTGTGAGTATGTAATACAAACAAATACTAAGTACTGTGATGACTATGGCCAAGAAAAAATAAGCCAACAGTTTGGCCAAACTTCTGCACACTTCATGTTGAACATAATGGTTTTTTTTCTGACTGAGTACAACGAATCCCGACTTGGAAGGAATAGTAACCAGGTGAAATTGGGGAGCTGAAGGAGTTGTGGGATCATAAACACTATGTTTGGGAAGGGATGTAAATGGAAGGGGGTGCAAGTTTGGAGGGGTAAACACAAGTTCCAAGGTGTTTACCCCCGTTTGGTTATTTTGTAACAGTAGGGGGGTGCAAAACGTGAGCGTAAATTCACTGTTTCGGTTTACCCCCCAAATTGGGGTGCAAGGGAAGGAAGGAAGGGAGGGGGAAGGGGGAGGAGGGGAATTATGAATTTTTAATTAGATTATAATTACATAATAATTAATATTATTAATTTTTTCTTATATCTATATTAGTGTAGAAGTTGTTTGGGGTTGACCGTTTGACTCAGAGAGCAAGTTTGTCAATGTTCGCCTCGTCAAATCGATATCTCTTAGTTGACCCGAATTTGCATTGAAAATTAGAGATAAGAAGCATTTGTTGAAAAGATAGAGAGGAACAGTTTAGTTAACTCGATTTACTTTAATAAGTAGTTAAAACTTACAGATTCGAACGTGTTTGACTAAGTTTGACCATATTCAATTTAAAGTTAGGCACGAGAACCCCCTTAGGATGACCAGTTACGAGTTGGATTTCGAGTTTCGAGGTTGCTCGACCAATGATTATTATTGTTGCTATAAATAATTATATTTGAGCATTATTATATAATAATTATTTTTATTAAAATTATTTTTATTTATTATTTTTATTTATTATTTTTATTATTATATATTGAATTTTCATGTTATTATTTTGTGATAATATTTTATAAATTGATAAATCTATTTTATAATAATATAATTACTTACTTTTTACTCTATTTGCACCCCCCTACTTTTTCATCCAAACAACAATTTACCCCTCCACCAAGTTGCACCCCCTAACAATTTACCCCTCAACTTGTACCGCCTCGAACTTGCACCCCCCTTGTTGCCAAACATAGTAAAAATGTACAGAGAGCCTGAATCCTTCAATACTACAGTGAACCAAGCGGCTAGCCTGCACTAGAGTACGCTTAATTTCGTGATGACATTGATGAGATCCTTTCCCATTCACAGCTTTGTTAAGCTGCAAAGCAGCAATTTGGTCAATTTAGGAGGGGAAAAGGAGGCATATGACCAGAGTGTAGGTGGAATAAGGGACTGTTCTAATTCCTGCCATCTACATCAAACCCAGCCCCAGTCCAGCCAGGTGATCTTTTGGGGACAGCACCAAGAACGCCCCTTCCTTTTCCTTGGACTTGAGCCTTCTTCTTAGCTCCTCCTGAAGCAGGCTGCTGTTGGGTTGGCCCGTTGGGGGCTTGGCTGTTCTGTTCTTGGTTCGCGGCGTTTCCAGTGTTCTCGTTACTATCTGGTGCTGTTGGTGGAGGAACTGAGGAAGCACCTGTTGCCGTGTTGTTCTGTGTTGGTCTCACTGGTTGTCCACTCTGAAAGAACATATAAATTGCAAAGCAAAACCTGTAAGCAATCTCGTTTTGTACATTCTAAATTATTTAATTATGGGCTTCTTCACCTTAACTAAAGGGGTGCAGTGCAGGATATAGTGTTGAATGGAGTGCAAGGAACTATTTTGAAGTCTTTACTTATAGTTAGTGACCTGGAGTGCAATTATTAATGCAGTAGTTACGCTACATGATAAATTGCCCTTGCACTAGCTATCATAAGCTCACAAGAATGCAGAGATTAAATGATTTGGTCTCATATGGGGATCTTACATGAGGCGAAGCAGAAGATGCTCTGTTTGGATTTAAAGCTTCCAGTCGTCTTTTTAATTCCTCAAGTCTAGTAAACTGCGAGGAACTGCTCTCTTGGACCTGATAAGGCCAACACATAAGAAAGCGAGGAAGAAGATGATAAAGGAAACAACAAGACTCTTAATTTAACTGATATCCCTAGATCAAGATTCATACCAGTTGATTCAAGTCTTCACATAACTTCTGCTTCATTGATTCCTCGTCTTTCAAGGCCTGAACTGCTGCTTCCCATGCCTAAAGAAGAAAAAGATACATATGCCATTGTCAGTCACAAAACAGTATTACAAATCAGTTGGATTACAAAGTAACCTGCTTTAAGTACAGAAATAGCAATGTAGAGGATGTAAGCTGAGGTGATTCATGAACTAAGGGGGGCCAAACCTTCCGTGCTTGTTCTTCTTTCACCTTGGCTTGGTGAATCTTTTCACTTGAAATTTCGATTTTCTTCCTCAGATGCTCGAGTGCTTCAGTCATCAAGTGGGATTTCATCACAGTAATAGCAAAGTCAATATGAAATAAAACAGACACATGAACAAGCAGAACCTGACAAATAATGAAACAGTGAACAGCATCGACATACCAGCTTTCTTAGGTCCAGCAGTTAGTTTCATCTCCATGGATAGATTTGCCAGCTCCCGCTCAACACCGAGCAGCATCGACCTGTTTTCTTCGATGTATCTGTAAGAAGAGTGTTTGATGGTCAATCAACGGTGAATGATTACTATCATCCAGTGGAACACTAACGATCATCTTTGCTTGATCAGAGAGGTGACAGACAAACTCAAGCTACTTTAACCTGTAGACTATGCTGGTCATCTGACCGCAGAACAGCACGAAAATTAAACAATTGATCCTGATGACTGTCGCAAATTTCTCGAAGATCTTAACCTCTAGCCAGCAACTACACCAATTTCGTTCAGAGCAAATGTAAACTCTAACTCTTGAGTCCCAACATTATCGACTACCACGAAACAATGAGCACGGTGACCACTGAAGCAATCAGGATCTTCAACGCCTACTAGGAGCCCGAATTCGAGTTGGAAGTAGTGCACAGTAGTAGATCCAAAAAACGAAACAGAATCGCTGACAGTATTGAAGAACTTACTTGTGCAATTGAAGCTGCTCTTGTGCAATTACCTGAAAACACACAAATCAAACAAACCGCATTGGGAAAAGTCGAACAGTCAATGCAAAAACCAAAACCATGAGGATAGAGAGAGACTGAGAGAGGAACCAAACCTTCTCGGTATAGGCGATGATCGGAGATTCTCTGGCGAGACCGTCGGGCCCGATCTCAGGCTTAAGGGAAGGATTCGATGCCATTTTCGCCGGAAAGAATGTGGAAATGAAAGAAGCAAGAAGTTCGGATCTCCGGCGCCGTGCAAATCAAGATCCCGCCAAAGTCAGCCGCAATTGCGAACTTGTATGTATCTACTCTCAGTTTGTTTATCGTCTCTCTAGTAGTCGGTGTCGGTCCGGCCGCGGGCTATCAGCCGTCTTCTCCCTCCTCTTCTTCTCTCCGTCGTTTCTGAGCTGGCTCCGATTCGCAAAATTATTTCGGGGGGTTTCAGACGAAACAGTGGGCTTTAAGCCCATAACTCGGCTCAGTTAAAAAAAACTGAACGACGTGGGCCTCGTCATAATCCTTCGCCCATCGTTCTCGTGACTCGCATCAAGTCCACGTGCGAAGGGGACGTTGACAATTAGACTCGTGCACATGGTTGGAAAGTGCAGTGATTAATAGCTTATTGGGCACGCAACTCCAAAGCAACGGGTAGCAAATAGTATTCAAATGGGAATGGATTTGGACCCGGTACTTAGAACAGGGAATAGACAATTTCTGATGTGTTTTTGCTGACTTATAAATCGAAATTTGGTGTTTCGAAACGAAATGTCTCATGATTCCTGTCCAGTAAGTGCTCGACTCGAAACTTCGTATGGAATTGACGTTCAAGCACCTACTTAGCGCGTTTGGATGTTCCCGCATGTCGTCGCCAATGTGTGGGTGGCCATTGGATCCCTTCCGACTTAGGCCGATGATTCGCATCTGCTAGGCCTACCGAGTGTGATATCACTACTCGGTCAACACGATCTAGCACACCTGATAGAGCAGATGCTCATCTCGACTCACTTGCAACCCTACTAATAATGACATAGTATACTTGAAAATAGGGGTTACACTTGTGCTGGGCTAGTTCAATTTTATTGGTCAAAAGCTGTATACAAACGCTTTAACTATTAGAGAATTTTGCTCAAAACATGCAAGGTGAAATCAGCAACTCAAAAGTCAAGAAAAAGGATCAAACAAAACTTGTCTTGGGTCTCTCAGCAAGCCAAACTTCAGGAAGAAACTTGCTTTATGAGTTCTAGGACGGCTTCCTTCGTGGGGAGGGCAGGAATTGCGCCTCTCTCTGTTACCGTCACAGCGCCACAGGCATTGGCGAAGTAGAGAGCTTCTTTTAACCTCTTTTCATCCTGAAGATAAGACACACAGATAAGAAACTACACAGTTCAGTACTGTTCCAAAAGGATATCTTTCGTACGGTTTTCTGTCTCGGTGTTCGATTAAAAATCTTACCTTGAGAATACTTGGGTCTGAAGCTAGGCTGCTGAGGAGGCCACCAACAAATGCATCACCTGCACCAGTTGTGTCAACAGGTTTGACTTTCACTCCAGGAACTCTGCCTTTGAACTCCTACATTGAACTCAGATAATGTAAATTTTTCACAGGCTTCTCATCAGATCTAATGTACTTGCATTCAGCCTTATAGATTTTACCTTGGTGTAATATCTACAGCCATGTGATCCTTCAGTTACAACCAGAAGCTTCAGATTGGGATGAAAAAGCTTCTTTAGGACAACATTATCATCATGGGGATCATCACCTCCTGTTAAAAATACAATCTCATCCTCACTTATCTGTTCATTCAAAACACCAGTGTGAGTTCCAAGTAGGTTCAACACAATAAGCAGAATCTCATAGTTTCTCTAAGACTGCACCTTAATAACATCAGCCTGGTCCCATATGCTCATGATTCCTTCCTTAGCAGCCTCTGCTGATGGCCATAACGCCAATCTCAAATTTGGATCGTACGAGAGAATTCCACCGGAAGTTTTGACAACTTTCAGTGCAGCGATATGAGCTGATCTGCATGGTTCTGAGATCAAACTAATGGAACCATAGTGGAAGACTTTAGCCTGCAATTAGCATCATCCAGAAATGAACACCTTCCCCCCAAGACTTATATTAAACTTAAAGCAAATGGCTACAGATATTCTTATAGATGCACAAAACCAGTACCCAAAAAAAGCAAATATACCTTCTTGAGGATGTTTATCTCAAGCTCTGATTCCTTGAGTAGCATGTCTGCACTTGGATGTCGGAAAAACAAGAACTCGCGTTCTCCATCGGATCTAAGTGTAACGAATGCCAGTGCTGTCCTTGCATAGGCATCAAATCGCACTCCAGAGTTGTCAACACTATTTTGTTTCAAGATATCATCCAACATATGCCCAAATTCATCATCACCCAACTGAAATGGAAACAGAGGATTTTTTAGTTCCAGCCAAGTCAGTTAATAACTAATTCATGGCAGCCATACACTGATGACTGAACTAGGGATATGCTGGCTAAGAAATTGAGCAAGAGGAAGTTTTGCTCTTCGTTTAACGTAAGTCTATTACTGAAGCCACATTTTCAACTGAACATAGAAGCTCCAACATTCAGACAGTGAATCACTTCCATATCAGGCCAAAAACCAAAATACAGAATCATTAATCGAACTGCCTGCATAAGTTATAAACCTTGATCCATATGGCGTTCAAGTGTATAACTTGTTGGATAATGCTCATACAGCAAATTTATTAAATGAAGGTAAAGGTTGAAACTTTGAGATGGTGCATGCATGGGAAACTTAATGGACCTTCTGAGCAAGTAATTCATCAAATAGTACCACTATCTAGTAAAAGAAAAGGGATAGACCTAAATGACAACCCAAAACCCATTGAATTGCACCTTGCCTATAAAAGCTGAGGAACCGCCTAATCTCGACACACCAACAGCGACATTTGCAGGAGCCCCACCAGGAGCCTTCTTGAAAGCAGGAGCTTCAGCAAGTGAAACACCATTAACTGTTGGGACAAAGTCAATCAGCATCTCCCCAAAACATACAACCAGTGCTTTGCCATCTTGAGAATTTGATCCGGGATCTTTTGGTGTAGCTACAGAAAGAATTGAAATCACTGACATCAGAACAGATTTGCAAGCGACAGAATGTTCGATCAGTGACCATAACTGAATCGAAAATAACAGTTAATGCCCATTTCCAACCTTTCCAAAGGGGGTTAATGAGGATAAAAGTAAGATTCCTGAATTCAGCCCTTCTGAATTCTACTCATATTATTCTCATTTCCCACTTCCCCTTCTCAAAAATTCTTTGGCTTACCCCATATATGTTTGAGATTCAATTGGAGAATATCATTGCGCAGTAGGAACAGTTGGAATGGAAATCAGAAAGGGGAAAACAGCATAGAAGACAGCACAAAGCAACGGTTCCATATCAGACACTCGAGAATCAACATTCCTTAAGGAACTACAACAAGGGACAAACTTTTTCCAGAAAATTGATCCTTAGCATAACGCTACATTCATGCAACTCCGGCTATATGATTTGAACCTCTGAAAAAGGATCAAGTAAAACCAGATCCCAGCAGGAACTAAACTAAGAGCCCCATCTCAAGCAACTAACGGTTCGAAGCTGTAAATAAGCTCCGGAGAGCAAACCCAGATGCGAAATTGAAGTAACCATGGTGGCAAAGGCAAAGGCATAATCAAGCAGAAGAAACAGACCTGGGGCGCGATTCTGGGCCATATCTAGGGATTGAACTGTGAGTGAGAGAAGGTAGGATCGGATCTTGAACCGATGGAACGAGGAGGAGGAAAAAATATGTTAAAACTTAAAAGGTTTTGGTCGCGGGACAGAACTCGGAAGCGACGGTTGCAAGGTTTTCTGCTGTCTTAATTGCAAGAATGAAAACCCTTCACGGAAACTAATAAAAAAGGTCACATCGAGGAAGAAAATAAAGGAAGAAGTGCAACCTTTGAAATAGACTAATCACATTATTTGTAAGTTGTAACACAGATACTTAAACCATCTTAAACATATCGAATCCGAAATTACATTACCAACTAATCATTTTATCAAAGTAAACTTATTTAAGTTAATAATGTCAAAGTGCAAGCTCTCCTAATTGGTAAAGAATATCGTACAAAATCCAAAACTACAAAATAAAAAATGGATCGATCCATTTTAATTTTTAATCACATCTAACAACTCAAATTAATTCCCAAAAAAAACATAGGAGAGGTGAACGGGTAATTCCGCATCCCCTATATTTTCTGGTTCTTTGTACTTACATGGATCCAGAGGAGAGAGAAGACATTTTTTCCAATATTATATTTTTATTAATCAGCTCCTATCTTATTAATTTTAACTCGGAATTTGAAAAAATTACATAGAAAAAATACATTAATTATGATCTTCATACTTATATCCATTTTTTATATTTTAAGAAAAAAAAAACAACTCTTCAAAACATAAAATGGTTATTCTTGAAGTTAAAAAATAAAAGGGGATTGCATGAGTACGTACACCATATGAGCGAGAATGCTAGAAACCATGGAGAGGTTATTGTTATTAGCTATGTTTTCAACTCGACCAAATGTTGAACTGAAAAAGTTAGTTGTTCATGGTTAAGCGGTTAACTGATATAGAATCGTTAATTAACTGTTGATAGATTCGTTCATGCATTATAAAATAAAAGGCATCTAATATATAAATTTATGACTGAATTGATCACTCTAACCATGAACCATTCCAAATTCATATAATCTATCACCAAATGTTCTAACAAATCATTCAAACTATATCACGAAAGAAATCATACTTTTCTATTTCAAGTTATTAATTAGACTAGCAATCCATAGTGGACAACAGAAAGCCGACAATCAAAGTGTTTTCTCTTCATTTTTTTGTAGTTACAATAGTCAACCAGTAAAAACAAAGTGGTTCAGCTGGTTTCATGTATAACCGTAAAAAATTGTTCGGTCCATCGCAAAACGTGCAAGCAAAAGAACTAGATCGCTATTGTAATTGGTTTGATAGTTTTACTGGTCCAGTCACTGATCTAATTCGGTTCTTATAACAATGGACTGATTACCGACTCCTAGTAGCCACCGTAACCACCACAGACAAGTTGGATATTTAAAAAGTAGTATTTATTAATTACCTTTTTATTAAAATAAAATTTGTAAAGTTACATATACATATTAAAATTTTCTCTCCCAATTAGCTCTCTCTCCGGAATGCGTTAGGGTGGTAACTAAAATTCTAGTAGCCACCAATCCATGGCTACATCCGTATCCACCATTTTTTTTTAAATCTCACGGTTAAGATTGTTCCAGGGTAATTTCGGAAACAAAAAAGAGACAACACCAGATTATTATATATATTCTAGCCAAATCCTACTTCTATCCTCCCTCCAATCAAACCCGCCGCAAGCTTCCATCGAGGTCGGGAGGAAGGATGATTATGCATAGCTCCGCTGATCGACTTCGTGCAGCCGCCGCCGCCGCCTCCGACTCCGTGTAGCCGCCGCCGCCACCAACTTCGTGCATCCGACGACGATGACTCTGTGCAGCCCACAATGATGACTCCATGCAGTCGACGACGACCACGTGCAGCCGACAGCGCCACTGTCTTTCTCTCCGGGTCGGCGACTGTTTGTTTCTCTGATGGTGAATCGGCGAGGGGTTCGACGGCTCTGTATCGTTTCCCGCGACGGCGACGGTTTGTTTCTCTGTATGGTGAAGACGGTGCACTCGCGAGGTTGATTTTGTCATGAACCAGTTGATCCCAATAACTCGAGTTGTTGGGAGAGGTTCAATCGTGGATCATATACCACAACACTAACACGCCCCCTCAAACGAAAGCCACTCAAAAGGGCTTGAAGTTTGCACAGGTCTGAAGACAAGAATACCATGTGTTTAACAAATGGGGGTCACCGGGAATCGAACACAAGACCTCTCGGTCACAGAAGACTTTGATACCATGTCATGAACCAGTTGATCCCAATAACTCGAGTTGTTGGGAGAGGTTCAATCGTGGATCATATACCACAACACTAACAAATTTCACCTCCTCCGGATTCTGAGTCGGCTATTGGCGAGATTTGATGCATTGATCTATTGTTTTGGTACTTATCTTCTCACATGTATAGCTTGGTGTGGAATGGTAGTGTTCATTGGTATGTTTGCAATGGTAGTGTTCCAATTTTATGCAATGGTAGTGTTCCAGCTTTGGTAGTGTTCATTGGACTTTTAGTGTGTTCATTGGTATGTTTGCAATGACTGAAATTTATACCAAACTAATCAGACACAACAATATGTTGCACAATAAGGCAAAATCAATACCATTTCAATAATGATAATCACAATACCAATACCAATCCAATTCATACCACCAGAATCAATCCAATATTAAATTTGTATCAATACAATCTGTACAGATTTAAGACAACTACCAATGCAGATCACTACCAGTGCAGCCATACAAAGTGATTAACACGTAATAATTAATTGTTGTAATAATTGAAATGGTGGTTTAATTGTTGTAATAATTACTTTTCATAATTATCTCTCCCTAATTATCACATAATTAATATGATAATTATGATTATAATAAAAGTAAAATACCATTTCTATCCTTAGTAGCCACGGTGATTACTAATACCAAGTAATCACCATAACCTGTCCCCTCTCTCCCCCTCTCCCTTCATTAGTTCTGCACCCCTTTTCTATTCTCCGACCACTTCTCTGCCAACTTCTCAATTCTTCTCTGTCTATGTGTAGACGAACCAATACCACCGCAAAAATAGAGCATATAATCACTACCAAATCATAAAAGAACACTAACCAAAAAGAATATTATTACACAAAAGTCAATACTGTTACAATATTAACCAATACTAGTCCAAACTTAATCAATACCAGTACTTATTAATCTATACTATTGTAGATTTGATTAATACTAACACATAAAAATAAATACCAATATGATAAGATATTACCAACACAATAAAATTAATACAAAAAGTAATACCATTACATAAAAATCAATACAAATGGGAAAAAGTACCAATACAAGGCAAAAACTGCCATTATGAAAAGTTATACTAGTACAAGAATCAAACCAATACAATTTTAAAGAGCAACCAATAACACTATGAATATCTTGAAAACCAATATCATATTAAAAAGTAACCAATATCATTGCACGAAGCTTGAAGTAGGGGTGGGCGTTCGGTCGGTTCTGTTTAAACCGAACCGAATTAGTACATGGCGAATTTCCGAATCAGCCTGCACCCCAACTGAATTCGAACCAAGCTATAATTTGGTTCGGTTCGACCAAACCGAATTATAGCTCGGTTCGGTTTTACTGTCCAGAACCAAAATTGTAGCTGCTGCCCCATTTTTTCCTTCTGCCTTCAGGGCCTAGTTTGCTGCATTTTGGGCCGGCCCATGCTGCCTCAATTTGGTGATGCCGAGAGATAGGAGAGGCGGAACCCCTAGGTTTCCACTTTCCTCCCTCAACTCTCAAGGCTCAAGCTATCTTCTATCCCCTCTTCTTCTTCTATCTTCTTCGTCGACATTGGCCGCCGTTGCCACTACTGCCCGCTTGCTCGTTGTTGGAGTGTGCCAGATCACAAAGACAGCAGGTAGAGTCTCTGGTTTCGTCGGGAGGAGCAGGTGGACTCAAGGAGGCTAGGTTTCGCCGTGAGAAGTAGGAGAAGTCAAGGAGGGATGATTCGAATATGATTTGGGTGCGGAGGAAGTCATCAGATTTGTCTTCTCCATAATCTCCACCCTCCCCAGATTCTCCGGCAGAGGAGGAAGATTGGACGAGTAGCAGCAGATCTGTTGGAGGCTGCCGAGGAAGCCATCAAATTCAACTTTTCTGAATCTTCACCCTCTCCAGATTCACCGAGGAGGAACATTTGACCAGTGACGGCAGATGCTGTTGGATGCCGCCAAGGAGTTCGTCGGAGCTGGATGGCCAATGAGGGACAAGGTTGAGGTAGTTCGGTTTGTCGGAATTCGAGTTCGGGTGCGCAGACCCTGTATTCTGAACTATGGCCTTTTGTATTCCGAATTTCGAACCGAAGAGTAATAATTCGGTTTCGGTTCGGTTGTACTCGGGTTCGGTTCGGGTTTACCGAACCGTATGCCCACCCCTAGCTTGAAGTCAAGGCCTACCAATGCAGAGGGGAGGAGGAATATTTTTTTGTTTATAAAGATCTGGGGTGATAACTGATATATACGAAAAGTCATATTTTAAGGAGAGTAATGAAATGCAGTTATTATCATTTTTCAAAATTACTCTTAATCAATCACGACGGTGAGCATAAAAATTATGAGAAATGAGATATAAGTTGCCACGATGAGTCGATGACTATCACTTTATTAGTAGCCACCTTACAAATAAAAAGGGATTGCATGAGTACGTACAGCATATGAGTGCGAATGCTAGAAACCAACGAGATTAGTTTTCGTTGCCATATTACATGAAGATTCGTGTACAAACATGTCTCAACTAATAAAGGCCCTTAAATGTCAACCACAACATATGATTCACATAGTACATAAGATTCATTACTGCATTCATGGGATACACATATATCCATCATATTGTGCTTATTATCGGTTTCCACATATAAACATTACTTACAGGAACCTTAATTATTCAATTAACAGTTATATATATATATATATATATATATATATGGTTCATCGTCTTTTCAGTTTTCCCATATCTAGCTAGGTTTAACATTAATATATGGACCAAGAGAGCTTGGCCTAGCTGCATATATGCGCGCCACGTCTGCTTACTGCTATACTTTAATCATATATCCATCAAATGAAAGACGCCAAGCATGTTCCTACGGTTGCATCCGCCAGCTACAGCAGCTGTATGCTTCCTTCTCATCAGCAGCAACCGGAGCCACCTGAGATCACGTTATCTCACAAGAGATTAGCAAAGAAAAAAAAGCTTAAACCCGTGATCATGAAGAAGGGATAGTAGATACATAGCTTCTGGGAAAGTTGACAAATTAGTACCAGGTCCTCTTAGAAAGTGGGAGCTGCTGCTGCATATGCTGCTGTTGGTGGATGTACCATTATGTGCTTGTTTTTGGCTATCTTGCTCTTCCTGGTAGGTCCAACAACTCCTCCTCCTCCTCCTCCTCCGTGATCATGATGATGATCACCTCCACCAACTGATTGATGACATTGCCCTTCCTTTAGCTGCAACAGCACATTAATGCACCATCCATCAAATTCAAACAGCTACCTTTTAGAATCAACTACCAAAAACCCTTCTCCCCAAAAGTGGGATAGACACAGTCCATGAGCCGACCACTATGAGACCTTGATTGGGGGAAAGAAAGAAAGAAAGAAAGAAGAAGCACAGACCTCATTCTGCAGCTGTTTATTCTCTTCGCCAAGATCATGCTCCTACAAGTTTGGCAAAATAATCCCGGGGAACAAGGAAGGAGAGGTTACAACATAAATGGGCAAAACTCATCCCTTTAAAATGGATTCAAACACGGTGGAAGCTTAGCAAGCCCTTTACCATTTTCCGCAGGTCTTCCAGCCTTTGCAACAGCACTTGTGTCTGCACAATAAGAAGGTTAAAAAAGAAAGAACATCAATGACTCAAATTAAAGCATATATATATGTGTATGACTTCTCCTTTCTCCTTTCTCATTTTTACCTTTTTTTGCCTAGCTCGGGAGAGAGCCCTGTCCAGCTTCCTCTCGATCTTGAGCAACTCTTTCACCCCCAGTGTTCCAATATCCTCTCCATGGAAATGCCTTCAATCATTATAACCAACACATCAGCAACTATATATGTAACTGTAGATCAGACACTAATGGAGAGTGGACATATACATATACCTATGAGAACGTTGCAGCGATTCACATTTCTCGTTCAACTTGGAAACCTCTACGCACAAGTTCTGCACCGATTACCAACCCAAACTTCAACCAAAAGAACATCCCAACCGAACTGAACTCGTCTGAAAGGAAGGAGAAGAAGAAGATGGAGGTGGAACCTGTAAGGATGTTCCAGTGTCAGCAGCAGAAGGGTTTCCCCCTTCAGCATTGTTGTTGTAGTTGCACTGCCTGTATCGCACAAGGGTTTTGCTCACCCTGAAAATCACAATTTATAGTTAGTCAGCCAGATCAGAAAGGAACTGGGTCTGGAAACTTGAATCACTCTAAAGAAATGGGGTGAAATCAAAAAGTGGTCGTGAATGAGACTCTTCATGATAAAAAAAGAGAGATCAGAGAACCCTGGACATAAAAAGAGCAATGTGCAGATAATCAAGCGTGAACGGTAGTGCAAATGGCCATACTCCTGTTCACAGAGAAAAGCAGTATAGCTAGTACTTAGTTTCTTCTGACTACTGATAAGAACATACATTGATTACATGAGCTGGAAAAAGAGAGAAACTAAACCAATTGAAGAAAAAAAAAGGGGAAAGTAAAACGTGTCAAGAACCCATTGCTTGGATTCCTGTGTGTCACTGTTCCTGCTTCGCCATTCCCCTCTCCGGCCCTTCTCATCTCATCAATCAGTACTGATCTCTCTGCATCTGTCCTATTTCATTAGTTAGAAAGGCATACGATACGTACGTACCCAGAGGAGCCGAACTCGGAGAGCTTGCCGCGGCTGGAGAAGACGATGAGGGCGACCTCGGCGTCACAGAGAACAGAGAGCTCAGAGGCCTTCTTCAACAGCCCATTCCTTCGCTTGGAGAAAGTCACCTGTCGATTCACCCTGTTCTCGATCCGCTTCAGCACCACTTTCCCTCGACCCATTTCTCTATCGACAACGACATCAATCTCATTTCCTTTGTTGTTGTTATATAGAGGGGGAAAAAAAACCTAGCTATATCGAAATCTAGCTCTAATTATGAATATATTGACTCCTCCACTTGATGAAGAAGAGTACTCTTTCTTCTCTCGGCCGGTCTTCTCGGGGAAAGTTAATATGCTAACTTGAATATTCGTTAGCAGATACTAACTGATATCCAAAATACATGAGTTAATATCCAAGTACTAAAGTATTTAGTGAGCACAGATTAGTATTTAAAATTTGCTAACTCATATCCACCATGAATCAACTATTATCCCAAATTCACAAACTAATATCTAGACAACACAGAATATTATCCAAACAGCACATAATTAGTAACCAGATAACACATAAGAGTATCCAGATAACCCATAAAAGTATCCATATTGAATACTAGTTGGTTGATTGTGGATATTAGTTAGTATCTGCTATATGAATACTAGTTTGTGATGTTTTGAATACTAGTCTATGTTATTTTGATACTTAGCAGACTTGGATATTAGTTTATACATTTTGGATATTAGTTAGTATATACTAACGAATCTTCAAGTTAGCATAAAACTAGGATGGGTCTTCTCCCCCCTTTTCTTTTGTTCGAACGCAGAACCATTATTAATTGGTGTACTGTACTCCCAACGCTATTTGATTATTCGATTTTAGGGTTCCCCCCAAATTCATGAAACTATTTAAGGACAAATTACAACAGTATTTTTTTTATTGATTTCAATACTTACCATTCAAGGTGTTGTCTAGACTTTCTTTAATTTACAACTTTTTTTTTCGTAAGATATTTGCATAAGTTTTACTTAGTGTTTTAAACATTACGAAAGACTTATCGAATTTGATACATACAAAATAGCTATATATACAGAAGTTTTACGTAACTGTTATAGAATGATGGTATATATGTAAATCAACCGTAATGTGGTGTCTAATAATTAAACCTATGTGCACAAAACATCACATTTGATTAACAGTTTAGTTAATAATAATAATAATAAATTCGTTCAAACTTAAACAGCTAAGTTACGTTCCTGGGGTTTTTACAAGCGTGGTTTTTTTTAACAAATGATCAAAACGACTTTTCATACATTCTTATAATACTGTATAACACGTCATACGAATGGCTAATAACGACCATAAGAGCAATTATACTCATCTCAGTGAAAGTTACGTGGCTTACAAAGGATCTAAAATTAAGTGGATGCCACCGAATGCTTAAAATTGTACATCTCAAAACCTCAACCTAATTATCGTAAGAAAGACAAGTTTATAACCTAATTTTCACTATACAATTGTAGGTATAAACTGGATAAAATTAACGACACAAAATTTGTAACCTAATTTATTTTTCCGGGTTTGATAATGTCCCTTGCCAGTGTCAGTATGGAATCGATTTCTTCTAGCACCCAGCAGATCTCCAGACCTAAATCCAGCAGATAACTACCATCGATCATTGCAATTTTCATGTACGGTATTATTATAATTAACCCTACCAGAAAGACAGATGTACAGTGTTATAAAGACAATTGCTAGCTAGCTATAGTAGTAAAAAAAAAAACATCCCTAATAGTGTCAATTTAAATTCGCCATCTGTTGGTCGACGTACGTTCATGGTCACTGTTGTATTCTTTCTTTCTTTCACTGGCATGGCTAGCTACATAGAGAAAATGAGAGAAGAAGCTAGCTGTGCTGACACGTGCCATGAAGGGGTACGTTTTGAGTTGGGTGGTGGGGTTGGGGTTAGGTTAGGGTTAGTGATGGCATTAGAAACCCAAACCCATGGGTACGCAACATGATCCAATTCAGTCAAAGTGGATTAGATTCGGTATCGACGGGTTGAGTTGGTTTTGGGTTTTGTCAAAATCCAAGGCGCTTTCCACTCGATCTGAAAAAAAAACTTCATTTGTATATAAAATGAGCAATATTCATAATTTGTTTATGTTATTACTTATTAGGTTGGATATCGGTATAAAAATAGTATGAATGATTTATGGATGTTATTGTCTTTATAGATATATATATATTTATTAACGAACAAACCACTTGGTCCCAATAACTCGAGTTGTTTGGAAAATGATTTGTTAGGTTTTTTTTTAAATCTCTCGTACGCGCTCTCAAACGAAGCTGCAACTTATGAGTTTTTTTATAGTTTGCTCAGGTTGGTCATATCATCTCTTGTGCTAAACCATTGTGTTAAATAGGGTTCGCCATAAGATTCAAAACCATGACCTCCCGGTCGAAGGCTCTGATACCATATTAACAAACAAACCACTTGATCCCAATAACTCGAATGGTTTGAAATGGTTTGTTAAGTTTTTTTATCTCTTATAATATTTATAGGAAAATTTTGGATGTTAATACGTAATGCGATAAAGTTGGTTGAAGAAATAATGTGTAGTTATACTCGTGAATTATGAACACATGCATTCATGGGTACCCTTTTAGTGAATTTTTATAATGGGTACAACTACTAGAGTGAGTTAATGTTCAAAGAAACCCAACTCATTGCCGGAGGGTAGTAAACAGTACGAAGGGGAGTAGGGTTAAGAGAGTGGTTGGTCTCCAGCTAGGACGAGCCATTGGCATGCCACTGTCTGCTAGGGATGACAACAAAATCCGAACTCATGGGTACCTTATCCAATCCAACTCGATCAACGCGGGTGAAACCCGTGTTGTCAGGTTCGGGTTTAAACCCGTTACACCGTTCATCGTGTTGGGTTTGAGTTTAGAGATACCTGACCTGTGGATACCCGCCCACACTTATTCTCTCACCCTACTCTCCCCAAATCCTGCACTAATTCTAATTTCTCTCAATCTAACTCTCACGATACGCACAACTCACATGTCGCCTCCCCAGTCCCCACTCTGCTCTCTCCCCAAAACCCCTCTCCTTCCCGGTCCGACCCCCAATCCTTCCCTACTTCTCCTAGAAAGTTGACTGCATGTTTTATTTCTTACCAGCAAGGTATTGCTCCCTTTTTCCCAAAAGAAGTGGGAGAGATAAATTAATAATTAAATTTGAGCACATTATGTTTGTTGGTTTGTTGCTCTCTCACAAACAAAAAGGGGATGAACAAAAATATTAAAAATTGTGTGTTGAATTCCTAGAAGTTGAACACACCATACTTGAATTTTCTACATTACTGTTGAACAATTTATATGGATAATTTGTTTGAATTTTATAGACTGGTGTTTTATGTATGAATAATTTGTATGAGGAAATTTATGTTTAACTTTTATTTTGATAAAAAAAAATTATTGTAAATTTTTTATCACAAAAACTCATGGGTACCCATGAACCCGCGGATAGCCAACAGATTGAGTTGTGTTGGATTTAACTTTTACAAATCCAATATATTTTACTCTGAATTTTTTTGACGAATAAACCCATATATTTGACTTTAGGTTTGATAAAACCTGACCTATCCGTCCAATTGCCATCCATACTTTCTTTGTCACTCCACTAAACTAAACTGCTTGTGGAGTTTTTGTCATTTTTCCCCCAACTCTTTTGCTTTTCCGATCTAACACTCACGTGCACAGTACACTCTACCCTTAACCTGAGTACTGTACAGCTACCCACGTGTCGCTCTCTGGGCTCTCGGTTCATAATAACGAACTGGACACGTTTCCTTGGGCTTCTCCCCGCCCACAACATATGACCTCTCCGAGTATCGCTGGGCTGGGCCCGACTTTGTAAACTAGGGCCCGACTTCAAATCAAGCCCTGCTCTAGTCATCATTTCTGAAAAAACTCGAAAAAGCCGTTTGAAATGTTCATCAATCCTCACTGTCTATAATTTACTGGAAAAGAATCAAAATTTAGTAATTTATCGGTATTTAAAATTTTTAATTAAGTAAATGCCAGAGTTAAAAGTGTAAAACGAACTCGTACAAATTTCACGGCGGAGCACATGCTTTGAGAAATGGGAAGCCACATGACTACGAGATAAAAGCTTATTTTGGAAGGTTACTCAGCCCAACATGTGGCCACTCGTGAACGGTTCTTGATTTCCACAGTCCTTACGGTCTGCTGTTGATTGAAGAGTGACTCGATACTGATCTCTTTCTTTGTTTACTCACACTGATCGCTGATCAATTGTCCGCGATCAAGGCAATGGCGCCTTCTCTTTGTTGTTCGAGAGTGGAGAATGTCTTCTCCTCCGGCATATTCAAGCTTAAGAAGCAGCAATCCTGTGTTGCTGCTGCTGCTAATGCCCGGAATGGCAGCATCGCGTTGCGTTCTTCTTCTTCTTCTTCTCCGTCTTCCAGAATGTCTCTTTCTGGAGCTTCATTTTACCATTCCACCTCGCGGCCTCGTTCGTTGTCTGTGAGAGCGGCGTCTCCATCTTCTCCAGCCGCCGTCGCGGAACCGGAAGGAATCAAGGTCCGTTCGCTTGTAATTTCCCCTTTCTCTGTGTGTCGTTCCTGTCACATTTTGTCTCTTCTTCACATTGTGGTGGTATTGTTGCGCAGATTAATTCGGTGCCGACGAAGCCGATTGAAGGTCAAAAGACGGGGACTAGCGGTCTTCGTAAGAAGGTAGTTTCCGGTTACCGCTGCCTTACGTTTTCCATTTTTTCAATTCAGTCCTAACTCCTAAGTGAGTGAGTGAATTTCGTAGGTGAAAGTGTTCAAGGAAGAGAATTACCTAGCCAATTGGATTCAGGTGAGATTCTTTAGTGTGGTGTATGGATTTTCAATTTCCAGGAGATACAACTTTTTGTAGAACTGAGTTGGCCGGGTCTTATTTTGATCGAAATTTGCAGGCATTGTTCAATTCATTGCCGCCGGAGGATTACAAGAATGGATTGCTGGTACTAGGAGGGGATGGTCGTTACTTCAACATAGAAGCTGCGCAGGTCAATACTTCGTTACTTCCCAGCCCAGCTAAGTTTACTTGGTAGCATTAGCACGATTACATGGTTTCGTTGTTTGCAGATAATCATCAAAATCGCTGCTGGAAATGGCGTTGGCAAGATCCTGGTTGGCAAGTGCGTCATCCTCGCCTATCTTTTTTTAATGACGTGTTACGTTAATGCTAGAGAAAAGGGAACATTGATGTGATGGATGTCTTGCATGTGATTCATGAAAAAGATGTCTAGCAATATCTGCATTTCGGGTTGAATTCGATGCTAGAATGTGCCTAGTGCTTATGTAAATATATTTTTATTTTGGTTTTCCTTCCTGGGCAGCCTTTGTGAGTGTGTAACTTCTGTTGCAGGGATGGTATCCTCTCTACACCAGCTGTCTCTGCTGTTATCAGGAAAAGGAAGGTCAGTAAATGTTTCTCATATGTGTTGTACCCAGCAGTTCCTGAGGAAATGCAACTGATTGTAGCAACTTCCTTCCTGCCCAATTAACAAAAACTTTCACGCAGGCAAATGGTGGATTTATAATGAGTGCAAGCCATAATCCTGGGGGCCCTGACTATGACTGGGGCATCAAGGTAAAACATCCAATGCACTTGACTTGTGTTTTATCTGATCCAGAAACTGCTCTATTCAGTCTAAATGGTATTAGTTTGACTGATCATATCTAGTGCAACAGATTTCAGTTTTATGTAATTGGCTGTACTGCATTTAGTCTGATCTTTGTAGTCTTTTCTTCTAGCTGCCTTGTGATGCCTGGACCAAGGACTTCTATTATTTAGAGCTTTTCCGTTATTCAGGGCGGGGAAATCTATCATCAATTATTATCTATCTGTAGAAGTGGGCTTTCCATTTGGTCATCTGTGCTGTCAATCTTCGTAACTTTTCTACCAAAAAAAGCTGTTTTTTACCATCAAAACTTAAACTTCCTTCAAGCTTTTCAAAAGAGAGGTCTACATAGAAACTAGAACTAGTGTGTTGAAAATTTATGCCGTTTAGTTTGCTTGAGGTGAGCAGTTCAACAAGTTAATTGAACCTTTCTTCTACTTTTTTTTAGTTTAACTACAGCAGTGGGCAGCCTGCCCCGGAGTCAATCACAGACAAGATCTATGGGAATACTCTTTCTGTAAGTATTGGTTATATGCTTCTATCCTCCTATCTTGTTTATTTACATATCCACATCGTATCGCTTGCTTGCTCAGTTTCTGTCTTTGTGAATAACATTATGGTCACAAGATTCATAATCTCATTACTGATTCATCGTTTGTGGTACAGTTGCTTACCATATTTTGCTGGTATCAGTTAGAACCCTGAATAAAATTTTTACACAAGCCAATGGATGCTCGAAATCACTTGACTTCTTGTCTACATTGCTTGTCTGATCTTGAGACGGTTCATAATCAATTTTTGACTGCCTGGGGTTGCAGATCTCTGATATTAAGACAGCTGAGATTCCTGATACTGACCTGTCTCATGTTGGAGTTACAAAATATGGGAGCTTCTCTGTTGAAGTAGTAGATCCAGTTTCTGACTACTTGGAGCTAATGGAGGTCAGAAAACAAGACATTTACATCTTAAATATTGTATTATCTTGTGCATTTCAGATCAGTAACTCTGTTGGGTGGTCTTTGCAGAATGTATTTGATTTTCAACTCATCAAAAGTCTTGTTTCACGTCCTGAATTCAGGTACATGGACAGAATCAAATGAGTTTTAACCTTGCGTTGGTCTTCGATTCATATGGTCAATTTACTGTCACACTGATGAATTATGGTTGATTGCTTCACTTAAACTTTGGTTATTTGGTCTAAGAAGTTAGTATATTATCTGAATGGCACATGATTCGATAGTGAAACTCTGTTACAAACTTGTCTTTGCATGTATTCACTTTTCAGGTTCATATTTGATGCAATGCATGCTGTTACTGGTGCTTATGCAAAGCCAATCTTCGTGGACAAGCTAGGAGCTAGTATGGTATGTTCTGTACCTTGTGCATACCTGACAATTCCCAAAAAAATATCTGCCACGTATATGACGTCAGGCTTTTGGGTCTGCAATGTAGGATTCAATAATGAATGGAGTTCCTCTTGAAGATTTTGGACATGGTCATCCAGATCCTAATCTTACGTAAGACACAAAAATATGTGCTTCTGATGAATTTGCTGTTATCAGAAAGAAAGCTCACCTCTATTTATCTCTGCATCAGATATGCCAAGGAGCTGGTTGACATCATGTATGCTGACAATGGACCTGACTTCGGAGCTGCTAGTGATGGTATATTAATTTGTTTTTATGTTCAAGTTGGGTTTCTTGAAAATTACAGCAGGGTTTACGAATTCGAAGATGGTAAGCTTCCGAGTAGACAAGGTTGTCTGCCTGGACTCAATGTTACCATTTATCATTTTGCTAGGGGATGGTGATCGGAACATGATCCTTGGCAAAGGGTTTTTCGTTACTCCTTCAGATTCAGTTGCTATAATTGCAGCTAACGCTCAAGAAGCCATCCCTTACTTCAAGAGTGGGCCTAAGGTAGTTGAGGATCCTTTTCCTTGCTCTTGTTACAATCTGGGGTATGTCCTAAATGGACTTGCATTTCTTTCAGGGTTTAGCTCGCTCAATGCCTACTAGTGGTGCTCTTGACCGTGTGGCTGAAAAGTTAAATCTAACATTTTTCGAGGTCCAACTCTCAACTTGAAAATATCTGTTTTTGGCAGTAAAGCAACATAACATGAAAGGACGGCATAAACAACTTGAATATGGTTTTTTTCTTGTGTTCAGGTACCCACTGGTTGGAAATTTTTTGGCAACCTCATGGATGCAGGAAAACTATCCGTCTGTGGAGAAGAAAGCTTCGGAACTGGTTCAGATCACATTCGTGAGAAAGATGGAATTTGGTAGTTCTTCACTCTATTGTCATACACAGGGTTAAAACAACCATAAATGTATTCAATTAATATCTGATGAATAAGTGTCCTGGTGATGAACTGGCAGGGCGGTGTTGGCTTGGCTTTCAATAATTGCCCACAGAAACAAAGACAAGAAACCGGGGGAGAAGCTTACCTCAGTCGCCGATGTTGTCAAAGAGCACTGGGCTACATATGGCAGAAACTTCTTCTCCAGATACGATTATGAGGTAACCACACGCTTCAACAGTGGGTGCCTGTCAATATTACACATTAGAATCTAATATCTCTGTCTCTGACGAGCACAAGTTTGTTCCCCTCAGGAATGTGAATCTGAAGGCGCCAACAAAATGGTTGAATATCTAAGAGATGTGATCTCCAAGAGCAAACCGGGTGACCAATATGGTTAGTTCGTCCGTCTGCAAACTCCTCCTCCTCCTCTAATACTTCATACAGTCTCTGAAACCATCGGTGACTTGCTGACTGCCATTCAATTCACACAGGAAGCTACGCCCTGAAGTTTGCAGACGACTTCTCGTACACCGATCCAGTTGATGGAAGCGTGGCGTCGAAGCAAGGCGTTCGGTTCGTCTTCAGCGACGGATCACGCATCATCTTCCGTTTATCAGTAATGAAACCCGTCAAATTCCTTTCAGCTTACAAAACTCTGGCATAGACGCATACATACATACATACATACATATATGTTCAACTATCGTTCTGATATCCATCCGTACACAGGGAACAGGATCGGCAGGCGCGACTGTAAGAGTCTACATCGAGCAGTTCGAACCGGACGTCTCCAAACACGACGTGGATGCACAGACAGCTCTAAAGCCACTAATAGGTTTGGTTTGGTTTGGTTTCTTCTTCATCACGCATACACCAACCTATTTTCCCTTGTTCATCCTGGGTTGTTGGTGGTTTTCCAGATTTGGCACTCTCCGTGTCGAAGCTGAAGGAGTTCACTGGTAGAGAAAAGCCCACCGTCATCACATAAAAGAGCCCAAGCCCACCGGCCCAAGTAGGATGGCAAATGACTTTTTTTTTTTGGGCTGTACGGCTCCGTAGCCGAGTAGTAATTTATTAGCTTTCGCCTAGTAAAGCGACGAAGCAATAAGCAAAAGCAGCGGGCTTTCCTTCACTGTAAAGCGTGTGACCGAAACGACAAAACAAGGGAAAAAAAAGGTAAAATAAATGCTCTCTCTCTACAACCTGGTACTAGTAAAAGGGCGGGAAAGTGGTAGGGTTTACTTTCTCCCAATTGAAGAGATAAAGTGCTTCAAACATACGATGCCATTACCACCACGATGCTGGATCGGAAATGGAGAGTGGGATGAGCAAGAAAGAAAAGAGGAAAAGATGGTGAGTGTTATGCCACACTCGCCACTCGGGAATAGGCAATTTGGGTGCCGAGTTTATCTTCCAACAGATGCAGCCACTTAATACACAGTCAGAATTAGGTCATGATAGAATTGCATACCTCGAATGCATTTCAATACTCCCAAAATTGAGAAGACGATAGTGGTAAAAGTAATAATAAACTTCAGCTCACAAATCATATATGCACGTGTGGAGAATCCCAATGGGAAAAAATTAATGGCTGTTTGGTTGATGGTTTTGAAATCCATTATGGACTTTGTCCAAACTTTGTTATCTGCTTCGTGCATTTAGTGGCTACAAAATCTATGAGACCCACCGTCTTCGAGGAGGGTCCAAATTTGTGGGTCCCACGAACTTGAATATTCACCCATTGACAAACACACTTCTCCTATTTACCTTTCTCTCTCCTCATACCAACGAGGACAATAAAGACCAATTTCACTTGATGAATAAAAATCCATCGTAAAATCTACGGGACAAACAATGATGTTTTTCAAGTTCATAAAAAAACCCTATAAAATCTCATACATCCATGTTTTCTTCAAAAGTCAAAATCCCAAATTTACCAAAATCTTCATTTTTCGAATCAACGAGGCAATAAAAAAACTCGTATAAAGCGTAGAGAGAGAGAGATCAGCTTCGGGACAAAAATAGTAGTGGCATAAGAAGACAAGGTAACTTTGAGGTGGGTACTAAGAAAAAAGGTAAGGTAATAACCTATACTCCCCTTTGCTATAGCTCTTAGCTATGGCCTTTTGTGAGCAAAAGGGTCCAATGGCATAGCAGTAGGAAAGGCCGACCGAGTGTTGTGGGTGGGAGCTGACTGAGTGTTCAATTTACGACAAACCACAACTCTCCATCCAATCCATTCCATTCCACACCACACACAGTAATGAAACCAACACACGAGCACACACACGATTCCTGTCCTTTGGATCGTCTCCTTCTCCTTCGTCTTCGTCCTCTTCATCAGTCTTGTCTTCATTGCAAACAAGAGAGAGTAGGTGCCCTAATGGCTGCTGGAACATTACATCAAACATTATTCAAGATGGCCAAAGAATTCAGTCAGCAGTCAGACTCCTCTCTCCCTAAACCTCATCACTCTCACTATCAAAAACTTTTAGGAAACCCTTTCTGGATGTGACGATGGACCAAAGCTTGCTCCTTTACTATTACAACTCGTGTCATATATATGTTCAAGTTCCTTCCTTTTTTCTCCAATGGAAAAATCGAAACCTATCCAGGAAACAAACCAACAAAATTGCACTACATTACACTTTGAAATAATTCAATATGCACGGTTTTGCTTGCCCCTGAAATGGGGGCATAGTCCCTCAGGAGAGGCTTAAATCTTAATCCATAGTTTGTGGTACAGGACCAGATTCAATTTCATGGGGAAAAGAAGAAGAAGAAAAGAAAAAAATTGAGGAAACTAATTAGGGGTTTTTGGGACATGGAGGACCCTCAGTTTGTTCTAAAATCCAAAACCAAGATCAACAAAGGATCGCAGCTGCCCCCCATTTTGCAATTTGTGACAAAAGATCATCTCCCAGCTTCCCCCACCACCCAAAAATAATTGGCGTGTAGAGACAGCAATGGGGGGAAAAAAGCAAGCCAACTTTTTAGTGGATGATAAGAGCAACCCGCTCTGGCTATAGCTAAGGAAGTTTGTGGGTAAAGGAAAGGTAAGCATAGATAGAGGGCGGTAAGTTTGATCCTAGATACCCACTGATCTGGTTTGACGCAGCTCTATTTTGAGAATTGGGTTGGGTCAGTTTGTCTACAGAATTAGTTTAGGGTCGGATAATCTTTTGGCCTTGTAAAATTAGGGTAGGGACGTGTCAATTTAGGGTCGAGTCATTTTTAGTCATATGATCCATAGCAATAACTAGTGACATGAAATTTCTCATACCAACAACACATTAGACCTAATTGTCAAGTTGCAAGAGTTTATGTATTATAATGCAAGGTGAAAAATATAAAGGTACTAAAACTTAATTTTACAACCCTCACGTTACCATATTACGTAACAAAATGAGTAGGTGAATTTGCTACAAAAATTTCCTCACAAATAACATGAAAATGTATATTTTTGAAATTAAACTGCATCTAGAATGGTCAGATTATAAAAGCAACAAGAAGCATATGTGTAAGCAAACCTTTTAAAAACTCTTTTTTGATTAATAGGTACTTCGTCTTAAACAATTCAAATATGAGAGCTCAGGTTAAAAATTAATGGTGAAACCCACTAATCCAAACCCTTATTCGCAAAACTTTTTTGGCAAGATTGTCAAACCGGTTTAAGTCATTGAGTCGGTCAAATAAGGGGTTTGAGGTTTAATGGTTTGATCGGGGTCCGACCGGTTCGAGCCGTTTTAGACGTTTTCTAAATATATATACAAATAAGATAGTAATTAAAGATTTAATGACTGAAATGAAATTTATCTGTATCAATTAAAAACTTATTTTCCAAAAAATAAATCTATCTAACCTCCATGACCCACCCACTATATATCTCCCTTCCTTCGTTCCTCTTTCTCCTCTCTTCTTCTCCCTCTTTAGGAGTCAGAACGGTGGACATTCTGAAGGCCATTTTGAAGCCCGAATTAGATCGAACCGGGTAGAGTTTAAAAACCTTGCTTTCTGGAACTCTTATCTCCCATTACTACTACTACTACCCCTCTGGCATTGGATAACAAACACAATAAGAACAACAAACGAATCGATGCCAAAAGAAAACAAAAACATGTATACTACAGCTTCGTTGATGTTTCAGTTCGTATCTGCATGACATTGTGATGACAACTCCACCACCATGTTAGTTGCCTCTAATCATGGGCCCTTCCCTGTTCTTCGCTTGTCTTCTTGTAACAGCTCCTCCCTATTTGGCAAATGCGCTCTCTTCTACTGACTTTTGTTTTCTTTGTTTGGTACCAGTAGACTTCATAATAGTAGGAAAGAAATCCCATCTCATGACCACTTATGATAATCAATGGATTATTATAAAATCTCAAAGAATGCCGTGGAGATTTGACCAATACAATCTACGGGGTGGGATGTAAGGATGCTAGAAGATTCATTCTAGTTAGAATATCTTTCAATAATTTGAGCTATTAGGATGAATTGAGTTTTGAATATGATTGTCAACTGATCTTGTATTTGAATCCCCATAACTCTAACATTAACAATGATGTAGTCACAAGCTCTGTTTTCAAAACCGGACCGGAGGCTAAACCGAAAAAGTTAGTGATTTAGGGTTCATTGTTAACTGTTACAAAACCGTTGGTGAACCATTGATAGAACCGTTCATAAGATATAACATATAAGACTTGTATATTACACTAATTTAAGAATGAAGTTATTATTGATCATAAACAATTTCAAATTCATCTCATCACCAAAATATATAATAAATCATTCAAACCGTCTCGTAAAAAAAATCATAATATTTTTAATTCAAATTAAAAATTATGGTGCCAGTCGATAGTGGACAACGTAAAGTCCACAAAAAGGTTGAAAAATGAGAAAAAGAAGCATATATAAAATTAATAATTATAGTTTGATGATCTTAGTTTATATTAAAGTATTTTTTTTTTGTTAAAATAGTGAACCAGTGGACCAGTTAAACCGTGGTGGTTAACCTAATTTTATGTTGAACCGTGAAAACCCGTTTGGTCCATCAATAACCGTCCAAGCAATGAATCGGACCACTATCGTAACTGGTTTGACGGCTGTACAGGCCTAGCCGTTGATCCGGTTGGGTTCTTATACTCACAAGAATTCGAAATGTATATGAGATTGTAAGAAAAACCGCAGACCATACCATTTGGTTTGAACCATACTTTAGACCATATAATCAAGGTCTGGCCTGGGTCATGAGAGTGAGAGACAGAGGCGAGACCAGTCCAACCTAGTAGGTATTGTATTTTTCGTTTGAACATTGTTGTTTAAGTTTGTGATTATGACCTTATGTTGATTTTTAAAACTTTATGTTCAAAGTTGGGTTTTTGTGTATGTGTTATTTGCTTCATGGCTTGGATTGAGGGTGTGGATATTATACATGCATTTTTTCAAAATTTTAGATTTCTAGTCTTTTTTTCCCCAAATCTAGAGACCAAATAAATCGATGATTTTCTATTGAACATGGTTTGCTTGGTTTTGACCAAACCAAACCGTACAGACTACAGACATACATAGTTTTATCTTCATCGTAGACAATATGACATAGTCTCCGTAGTGTAGACTTGGATTCCAATCTACTAATCTCGCATATTTATGATCTGAAATGAATCTAACCTGATCGTTACTCAACCCTGACTAGTTAGTTTCTACAACACATTGACCTACCTAACTATATCTACTCGAGAATACTGACTTCCATCCTTCCTTGAAATGATACTATCATTGGTTGCTCACCCTTTGAATTTATCCTCGTATACATGGCCACCATAATACTAAATGCTCCATCATGGGAACACAGCTGACCAAAGATTGGTATATTTGTGTGACTACTTTGCGATCTATATGCCCTCGATTTTTTTAGTGGTTCTTGATTTTTTGTTTATCTATGCCTTTGTTTTGATTTGGGCCCTCAATTCCAGCCATAATGTTCACTTAATGCCATGAATCGTCCCACGACGTTGAGTTTGGTGGATCCTGTTTGTTTCTGCTGTTGCTATACCATCCCGACCCTGTTCTTATCACATAAAGGTCACTAACTTTACAATGAGTATTCCCCTCCAGAAAGTACCGATTAGTAGTGTACACTGTTTATGAGTGCAATCACACGTGAAGTTGTTGGCGATGAATGGTGCAACGATTGAGGTTCAACTATCATTAATTATTTGAGTAATGAGGCCAATTTCGTGTTTGTTATGATGCGGATTCTGTTAAGATGTGCATAAGATCTCACTTTAGGTAGATGAAAAATTACATCGGAAAGATGTGCGGTTTCTTGATACGGTAGCGTCTTACCACAAATCTTAGAATAAGGTTAAATTTTCAATATACAAGTAGATAGATGGAGGACACATGGTTATGAGTTATGACCATCTCCAATCCTAGAGCCAAAACACCAAAATGCTAAATAAGGGGACTCCAATGGCAAGATCAAAGTACCAAAATGCACAAAAAAAATCCATCTTTAGGGTTAGATTTGGCACACAAGAAGATAAGTAGAGCCAAAACTCGCAGACCCCATCAACAACATAATGCGATGCGCTGCACGGAGGCGGTGACGTGAAAAATACGTAAATATAAGGCAAACGTAAATACATCAAGAATAGATAGGTAATTCATGTGATGAATATATGATTATCTAAACCACTTATTGTGTTTTCTTCATTATATTGATGACATCATATTCAACTGCAAAATTTTTAACATCCAAACCAGTAGTTATACCAAAATATTTGCATTAATAAATTATTAGTACCTATATAAAAACAATGCGCAAATTCTCTAATTAAAATGATGAAATCTACATTAAGCTAGATTATTGAAAAATGTGAAATTTGGAGATTTTGGCATTCTAGCACTCCCCATTGGAGCTAGAGGTGTTAAACAATTATTATCCTATTAAAGGTGTAACAAATCATCAAATCAGAACCAACAGTTAAACGTTACACTAATAAGTGATTGAAAGTTAAGGATCGGTTCTAGGGGTGGGAAACAGTGCGGTCTGGTTCAGAGCAGACCATATATGCGGTCTGCGGTTTACGGTCCAGACCGAGAGGTTAGAGTATAGACCTAAGACTATACGGTCCAGACCAGACCACTCCTGTGCGGTTTGGTCCAGTATGGTTTGGTCCAGATAGACCGCAGTGAACAAAAAATGAACAATTTAATTAGTCAACTGCACAAAAAATTGAACCAATAGCCAAGAAAAAATGTTTTATTTCCTTAAAACATAAATTCCTACATGCATGGATAAGTTTGACACCATAAATCTCAGTAAATAATAAAGATACAAAATCAAAACATCAAAACTTGCACCATAATGTCATAAACATTTACATAATGTCATATGGAGACATGATCGTCTCTACTCTCTAGTGAAATGTGGTTGTGAATGAAGGAGGGGACGAGATTCTCAAAATTAAGATTGAGACTTGGGTATCGTTGTGGGAGTTTGCAGAGTGGTCGAGTGGTTGCTAACATATATTGAGAAGTTTGTTGGGTCCACGGTTTTGTCCAGTAAACCACGGTCTAGACCACACCATACCAAGAAATCAAAGCATCATATAATACAGACCATAGACCAAACCATACTTAACGGACTACGGCCCGAACCAAACTGTGCGGTCCGATTTGGACCATGGTTTTTCAAATGGTCTAGTCTACTTTCCCAGCCCTAATCGGTTCCCCATAGCCAAATTTGGCAGATTACTGAATGACAGTTAAATGGTTAGTAACCGACTAATCGATTACGACCATCCTCACAGTTAGGGTTGACAATATTTAGCCTCGATGAGCCGTTCGGCATGGGCAAAAAATAATGAGATGTTTGAAGGGATAGAAGATCCCTTCTCTACCCTCATTGTAATAGTGGCTTAGATTCAAAGGGGAATAATTTCAAGGATGAGTATGAAGGAGCACATATAGAAAGATGGACTTTCGTAAAGTAACTCGACAACAATCAACAACATTCAACCTTCCATGTAATTTGGTGGGATTTACGAGTTGAATAATTGTTGTTGGTCTCTTATGCTTGTCTGCTTCTTTAATTAAATTTGACGGAAGAATGCTGGTATTGTGCACTTGAGTTGGATTGAGTTAATTATGGATTGCTATCTATGTGAAATTATTTTTATTCAATGATAAAGATTAAGAGAATAACACAATAGAAAAGGAGGAGGTTTTCTATTGGTTATGTTATCGATATGTTATTTTGATCTAACCTCGCCGAATCACATGCTTAATGGTTATCCGATTAAACGATAAAATCACCGATAACCGGCTATACAGTTACTGTTATCCAAATAATATAAGCGGCATAGTTAATGGTAAGCACAAATTTCTTAATGATTAACCGATAGTCAACTAAACGATTACGATTATAACCAAAACGAAGCTATTAACAGCCCTAATTGGAGCAAAACCTCCTTCGGTGGTGCTAGAAGCCTAGAAGGCCAATTGGCACTTTCAAATTTTGCATTTAAGATAGTTTAAGGAGTGCCAAACATTGGGGCTTCATTTGGCATCTAACTCCAGCAAAAGGGGATTTTCACCGATGGTGAGTGTTAGAAAATGTATATTTCTTCATTTCAATCAAGTCATTTGCTCATTATTTTTATATAAGTGGTAATTATAAATTACAATGAACATTTATATATAGAGAGAGATATATATGGTGCCTTCTATGGTATCCCGGGTGAAATCCGGGGTACCGCATACCTTGAGTATGAAAACAATATCTAGACCTCGAATTAGCAGGATTTTTGGGCATGATACTATACCCTAACCCTTAATGAGTGAACCTTAGGTCCTAATTATCCAAATCATAAACTATAAACCCTAAGATGGTGCATTGCTTTTTTTGCCTATATTTGGACGAATCATAACCGTCGATTATTGTTTCTAATTAAATTGATCTTGGGGTATAAGATTTAGAAAATTAAGACCTAGATGTTGATCTTTAAGAGTTAGAGTATAGTATCATGTCCGAAAGATCAGTCAATTCAAGTTCTGGATAGCATTTTCTTACTCAAGGTATGCGGTACCCCGGATTTCACCCTGGGTACCGTATAACTCCCTATATATAGGTTCAGTCTAGCGTACGCCTGGCGTACGCTTACCTTACCGTACGCCTGTCAAGTTTTGTTAGTTAGACCATGAATTAACCGAAGTATGGGGTATGATACTATACCCTAAGCTCTAATGGGTGAACTCCAGTCCCCAATTCTCTAATCCAAACCATGAATATCGAGTTTATCTTGACTCCGCAAGCGAGTTTCTTTCCAAATGAGCTCCCCTAAGACATCCTCCATTTTTGTGAAATTACAATCCATAAGAGAGGAACGAATGCCTTCAAACTCCCCCTGTAGTTTCATAAATAAAAAATGCGTAAGACGAGAACTCAAATGCTCACACATGACGTCAAGAGACGCCGTAGAGGAGACCAATGAAGAAGTCAGCATGTCATGCTCCGTCCACATGGTCACAACAGATTGATAATAAGCTTGAATATACATATCCCCTTGATGCAATTTAGTCGGGATGGGATTAGGTGCTAACCCTTATAGGGGTTAGCACCGTGATAATTAGCAAAAATCACTACGGATTATTATAAAATCAATACAACATCTAAGCTAAATCACTACTAATTCAAACTAGTAGTAGTTTTTCCCTTGGTTAGGACGGTGCTAACTATTGTACAATTAGCACCGTAACCGTTCCCAATTTAGTCATATCAAGCTCCAACTCAAACTTCCGAGAGGCTGTGAGACCATCCACAACGTGGGTGGGGGGAAATGTGGGAAAAGAGGGAAAAGTGGAAAAATTGGTTGGTTTGGTCACAGTGTGGTGGTGGGAAAAGTGGGTAATCAGTTTAGTACTTTTTTGTTAAAATCAATCTATAGTTGATTTTTTCACTTTATTTTCATATAATGATCATTATTATTACGTACTTAGTGATAATTAATTAATACGAACATTTTGATATAATTTTTTATTTAATTTGGAAATATTTTTTTCATCACTAATTAAGTATGACATCAGCAATGACAAAATCACAATAATACGAGATGACCATGACTCATGACATGTTTCACAGAACCCACTAAACCCACAAAACCCATTTAATTCCCTATTCTCATGACAAAAAAAAATAAAAAATAAAAAGAAAGGGCTGTCCTTTCCCATCCGCCACTTCCCCCCACCATTTGTCTCATCTGGTGGGTTTTCCCACCCACAAAACCCATTTAATTTCCTATTCCCCCACATTGTGGTCACATTTCTCCTTTTTCCCACAAAACCAATCCACGCTGTGGGTGGTCTGATAGGGAGCAAGCGACGGGTTTGAACAAAAACACCAAAATCTAGCACAAGCAAATGAGAAAAAGGGGACACGATTGCTAAGAGCTTAAATAGAGCTCCGAGATCCCAAGACAAGCCAGGATTAAAAGAAAGAAACCTGATTCCCGAAAGCTGAAAAATGGGTGTTGATTTATGAAAACCTGATTGCCGAACAAAAAGCCCCACGGACCAGAAAGCGCAAAAGAGTCCGAAGGAAGACTGAAGCTGCCGTAGATACCACGCAAGCGCACGAAGCCAAAGACCAAAAACCAAAGGCACTGAACCTGAAGCCGAGGAAACAGAAGGCGGCACACCAAACAAAAACCAAAGCTCTGAAAGCCACGAGATTAATCCTAAGGCTCTGATACCATGTTAAACAAGAATCTGAAAACAGGAACCACGCAAGATTTACGTGGTATCCTCAATGAGTATTGTGGAGACTAATCCACGGAGAAGGTCAACCTGTCAGAGTCGATTGTATTAGCACTTAGAATCCCTAAACCTTACATCATAAACGGCTATCAACATATATATACTAAGCTGCATAACCCTACTAGAACCGTTAATGTAATTACGCTAATCAAGGGCGGACCCACCTTTAAGCAAGGTGTGTCTGTCAACCGACACACCTTGGTTCGAAATTTTTGTGAAGAACCTATATTATTTTGGTGTAAAAAAAAACACGGGATCTCCGACACACCTATAATAATTGTAACCAACACATCTTATTACATAACAAAAATTTTGTTGTCATAATTTTATTAAAATATGTATATATAAGAGTTACTGGAAAGTCAAGTAACTAGATAGTCTTCTAGACTGTATTTCCCTGTAGTTTCTTCCATAGATTTTTCTTTTAAGTTAATTTTCAACTTGCTTTCTAGTTTAGTTATTTCTTTCCACGTTGACATTTGTCGCCACACTCCCTTTATCGGCGTCGAGCCGGCGACATCCTCATTCAAACTTCCATATTGACGCTTGTGGCCACCCTTCCAAATACTCATACTAGCTTTCCCATCTTAAATTAGTGTTGACTTTACCTCTTGCAACTGCAGGCTACAAAATGACATTTTCCATATATGAGTTTAATCGAGAACAATCTTTGGTATAAGGTGAGTGACTAGCTTATGAATAATTGTTTAATCATGTACATAAAAAAGATTTGATTGCAACCTAATGGACAAATGTAATTACGAAATTTGTTAGAATATGAAAACTCGTCGTGGTTCACTGTAAAAAATAATGAAATTGGTGAACTTTATGAATAAAAGTTTTATGTTTATTTTAAATTATTTTTATTAATTAATTATTTTTATTAGCCGACACACCTATGCTAAAATCCTGGGTCCGCCACTAACGCTAATGACTGGTAAATTACAAAATGCTACATAGACTCCTAACAAACTTATGTGTGAATCTCTAGTCAGTATTACACAAATCATCATCAACTATTATCTTCAACCCCCTGATCTTCACGGTAATTACTGGTTTTGCAGGGGTTGACTTTGATAGTGGATGTCAAAGCAAAGCATCCAGTTGGGCCATTCATTTTTCCCATCAAACGATGATGTCAACTTCTACGATATGATTATTGGAAAAGTACAGAACTCCCAAATACTTAGAAATCATTTCTCTGTTTGACAATTTGAATCTTTTTTTTATAGGAAAGAAGTTTCATATTAAAAATTGCTGTAGGTAGAGACATGTACAACCGACGACTATATATTAAGCAAACATCATCTACTTATTGTAATGCACTAAGCTAATGCACTCATTGCACGTCTCATCTCATGCACCCACAACAGAGTTGTATAATTGGGAGGGGATTTTTCGTTAGTGCTTCTCATGCAACTAGCTATAAGCGTCAAGTCGGTCGGAAAATCAATCGAAAGGAAGGCCCTAGATCTCAGTACGAACACAACTATAGTTAGAACAGTGTTATCATCGAGTTCAACCGGCCAGCTAAAGTTTCAAACCCAAGTGCTTTTGCTAGCTGATCAAGAGTCCACTTCCCCCCGTCGACCAATAAATGATGGAATTCGGATATGGTGATCTTGATTTCAGTTGGTTGCTGTTCGACCATGTTCTTTGGTTGTCTTTGAATCTATTATTGAGCATCTGTTTTTTTCGTTTGACAATATATTGTGTTGGTCTAATCGCGTTTTATTATGGCATATTGTATTTAGGGTTAGAAGAAGTTTTCTATATCTTTATATCTTTAGAGCACTGATTTGTTCTGTACTACGACTAATTGATTTTAGACTAGTTTAGCTCAGTTGTACTTTTTGCGAAGGTAGCTTCTACTTTGAAATTTTTAAAGACGTAATTATAAAATAGTTGATAGACTATTAGAAATAATTTTTCAATATGAGAGATAATGTACAATTATTAAACATATTTGTAATATAAATATGAATAATAAATTAAAAATGGATCTTGTTATATTTATTGTATATTGAATAGTGCTGATTTGTTTTAGTTTTAAAATGTTATAAATGAAAGAAAATGATATCTCTAAAATTATTTCAAAAAATAGTACGGATAATCTTGTAATTTCGGAAAAAATTCTCGAAGAAGCACCGAATTGTAACTTCTGTTTTTAAGTTATAAAATGTATTTTTGCTTTTTCACCCAAATACTGAGCTTACATACGTATTTGGTCCGACTTTAACTTTTCAAATAAAAAATATTTTTTAAAATTGGGTCAAACATAGACTTTAAAGTATAGTTTCATAATCTGCAATATCTTCATAATTAATAAAATATGTTATATAGCCTTATAGTAATGCCACTAATTTTGAACTTAATACTCTATGTTCGAATTCTTTCCTTATCACCTAAATATCAAAATTAAGCTATATAAAAATATGTTTATCTCATCACAATGAAAGATAGGTATGGCAATTGTGTTTATAAACCACATATTTAATTCCTTATTATCGTTTCTTTTCTTTATCGAGAGACCTTGGTTACTAGATATGCATTATATCTCTCCTCAACAAACCTGTCCTTCCCGCCTTTAAACTTAATTCGTGATAGTAAGCTATGAAGTTGGAGCTTCTAGAAGAATAACTATTCATTTATTCATGTCGGCACACTCATCCACCCATCCAGGGTTCACATAATCGGGCTAGAGCTGGGAAAATAGACCAGACTGTTTGAAAAACTATGGACCAAACCGTATCGCACAGTTTGGTCTGAATCGTAAACCGGTAAGAATGGTTTGGTCTACTCCATAGGCTGTATTATATGATGTTTTGATCTCTTGATCTGGTTTGGTCTAGACCTCGGTTTACCGCACCAAACCGTGGACCCACTCGACTTCCCAATACGTGTTAGCACCCCACTCGACCACTCTCCCCATTCTCCCAACGAGACTCAAGTCTCAACCCTACTTTTGAGAAACTCGTCCCCTTTTTCATTCAAAACCACATTTCACCAAAGAATATCGACAATCGTGTCTCCATATGACATTATGTTAATGTTTATAACGTTATGGAGCAAGTTGGGATGTTTAGACTTTGTATTTTTGTTGTTTACTGAGCTTTAGGGTGTCAAAATTCTTCATGCAAGTTGTAATTTATGTTTTAAGGCAAAAAAATAATTTTTCCCGGTAATTGATTCAATTTTTTTGTAGTTGACTAAACAAATTATTTATTTTTCGTTCATTGTGGTCTATCAGGACCGTACCTGACCAAACCGCACAGGCGTGGTCTGGACCACAGCATATATTATGTGGTCTGGTCTCTGATCTATACTCTAGCATCTTGGTCTGGATCATAGATCGTATATATGCTCTGATCTGGACTAGTCTGCATCGTTTCCCAACCCTACATTGGGCGGGAGTTGTATCACCTCAACCCATAACTTGGTTAGGGTTCCTTATATCACATTTAGCATGTTCGGGCAAGAGGTACTAGTTCTGTCACGAGACACATGTAAATTTTGGTAAAAAATAATAAATCATTATGTATGGTTATGCAAGAGATCAAACTGATCACCACTTTGAGGTAGCATAAGGATATGTTACCACTTCAATAAAACTTAATTCTTGTTATTTGATTGCCATAAGATTAATTCATTACACTAATGTTTTCCGACGAGGAAACTTCTAGTGTTTGATTTTAGTCAATGCACCTTGACTTTTTGAACAACGACAATAACACGGTTCACAGCTCTCCAAACAATGTTCGAACGAGGGTGTTTGATGTTTTTGATAGTTTTTTTGGAACAAGGTATGTTATTCTACTCTTATGGAGGTTCAGTGAGAGCTCTAGAAACTAAAAGCTACGTTATTCTACTCACATGTGGTGTCAAATGTTAGTCTTGGAGAGCTTGGTTTCATCATATTGTCTCTCCGAAGTGATACACCATGCTACCAAACCATCCATGGTAGCTTGGTCTCCATACTTGGTTGTTAGAATCTCATCAAGTTGGTATATACCTTGCACTCTGCCGTATTGATACCCCCGTTAGGGGGCCACCAAGCCCGTCTTACGAATTAGTCTCCATATGACTCCCTGAGGGACTCTACACCAAGTCCTCTTCAAATTGACACACTCTTAGCTCGACATCCTGGCCGACCAGTCCCAACCCCAAGATTTCATACTTAGTCTTGAGAATATAGGGATGGATCCTGACAATTTAGTACCCAGCGAGGCTTGTTACTTCCTCATCGGGTTGTCACTCTGCCAGTTTGATCTCTATACTTAGCCCCCATAAATTTGATACCCGCTATTTCACCATACCAAAGATTATATTTTGAAAAATATGTGAAGTCTAAGATTTGGATCCCAAACCCAATCAGAAGAAAACCCCTTAAAAATGTAAATGTACATTGTTGCCAGATTCCCAAGACTTATTTGTTTCAAACTGAAATTTAGGGTATCGAAATGTTATGCAAGAGGATTGATGTTTTGGTCAATTTCCTTCCAGCTTTTTCTTGATTTTTTTTCCGAAGTCTTGAGAAATAGATTGTGGGTTTCAAGGACCATTGCAATATCTCAAATATCGTATCATATTTTCTTTTCCATAATCGACGAGATGAAATGTTGATAAATTTTTTGAAAAAAGCTATTAAAACACCTATAAACCAAAAATATCATCCTCATTCAACGGAAAAAAATTGTACTCACACAATTGTTACTGTTATAAACTCGCTGCTACGGATTGGGAAATCGCTAGAATCGACAAAGCGAGAATATGAAAGCGAGAATCGAAAACACGACACACGATTTACGTGGTTCACTAACACGATGTGTGTTAGTTAGTCCACGGGCGAGAGAGAGTCAGTTTCACTATATCGAGAAGATTACAGAGGAGATGAGAAGTATTTATACTTCTCCATGTGGGTCTAAACCTAATCCAATATGGCAAGGGAAACAGTTACAGACCAGGCCCAGAACCCAAATCCAAATAACATTGAGTCCAGAACAGCGAGACCCCCGACTACCAGTCGTAGTGGCTGATAGTTCGATTCAAGTCACGTCAATAGTTACTCCTTATTGAAAATCATCTTGACATGTATTTCAAGCTTTCCAAAAACGATGAAACAAAATTTGGAGGACAACAGATTGTATGCACAGCCTATTTTTGCCAAAAAAATCTATCACCAAGACAATCATTGAAAATTACAAAGAAGCAAAAAGAAAGCAACAATATTAATAAACCATGAAAGAAGGGGGTGGAAAGTGGAAAAGCAAATTAACACACATAACACAAACACCCTGAAAAACGAACAAACACAACGCCAACAAAATTTAAACTTACCCACCTGTATGTTTTGGTTTTGTCCATCCCCTAAACATAAGGATAATTAGAACACATTGAAGACTTCTAAATCTGAATCCGAACTCATCAAGTTAAAGATCCCAACGCTTAAACTCATCTCTAATTGCCCTTCACGTCTGGGGTTCTTTATATCTTTTGGTCCGCCACTAGAATTTGATCGAACCGTCAAGATAAATAACAGTCTGCTTCCTTTCCTTCCCTATATGTCAGGGATCTAATAAAGAGAGCGCTCTTAAATCTTTGGCGCCCAACAAGTCATCATCATCTATGTTCAAATTAACCGAATAAACTCGATAATGTGCATGCTTTTTCTCCCATCTTAGCCCAACCAAAGGTCAATGCCAAAAAATATGGACCCATCCCCACTACCAAGAAGGTCGGTCCATCTAGCGCAATCTCCCTTAATTACACCTCTATTCTTTCACCTAAAATCATTTAAATGACTCAAAACTCATTTTCTCGACCAAACATTTAAAAACAGACTTAATCAATACCAACCCAAAGATGGCGCTCATTGTCCTTTAACAAAAATGCTTCTTTTGACTCACATTAGGAGGAGAGATGGCACTCCACTACTCTCGCCAGCTTGTGAATTGTGCTGGTATTCCAATTTATTTATCAATGAATAATATGCACTTTTAACTTTTAAGTAACTGAGGACACTTTAATTGAGTGGATGAAAGATGGTCAAAGAATTCGGGACACCATATATATAATAACCCAAAAATGCCTAAGCCAGAATGTCAATGAAAATAATATTTTTTTAATATAATTATAGTAAGTTTTTCCATTTTAGGTAATGACTGGATGGTTTTTTGTCGTTGCAGCCACACTGTCTGTAGGGAGAGTGTGTCTCTGCAACACTCACCCTCCAAGTTCTGTTTTTTGAAGTTTTGTTATTGGGGGTATTGTGTGTTTTGTTGTTTGGTGTTTTTAGGGGTTAATACAATCTGTATTATGGAGTGATCAAACTCCAAGGGAGAAAAAAACAAAGGCAAAGTTGGGAGTCGGAGAGGGCAGTGTTGCTCCCAGGAAGGGAAGCACAGTGGGGGAGATGATGAGGGTGTTGCTGTTTGGTGGTAGGGTTTTTGGCATTTTTTGGGAGCACAAACACCAACCAAGTTATGGCCTTATGGGTCTACAACTAAACTATACACTATAATGTCCTATGGTACAACATTATCCGCATTTCTGCACACTTAGCAGGAAAGGAAAATCTTGGGAACAAGAAAGATAATGAAAGGGTGGGGACGAATGGATGAAACTCACCAAATATACTAGGCCTAATATCAAGAAAAAAATATATATAGTTAAGACTTTGTGTCAATCGTGTGTCGTCGAAAAAATGATCGTTGTGTTTCAAGGTTTAGTTTTTATTGTTTTTTATTGTATAAGTGGTAAACGGTCAATGTATTGATCGGGGGTAATTAGCATAAATGGTAACAAACCTTTGCACTTAGTACAAAATGGTCACAAACCTTTAATTTGTAACAATACGGTAACAAAACTTTGAAATTGTATAAAATGGTCACCGCTATTTAATTTATGACCGTTTTGTTTTAAGTACAAAGGTTTGTTACCGAATTGTTACAAATTAAATGTTTGTCATGTTTTGAGGTCTCGAGTAGTTTGTTCGTTAATTATATGACACTAACCACTTGAACGACATATAAGATGTCAGGTCATGTGTTCATCGACATATTTGCTTTGCCGAATAAGAATGCCCTAAGTTGACCTTTCAATTTCGAAACCAAGAAAGTAAGAAAGTGACATAGTTTTTTCAACTAAAAAGCAGTCTGGAACCCGTTTGTGAGCCATTGAATTCTCTCATTGTCATCCTTTATGACGATCATATCATTCACTTACATTAACAAAATCACCATACAACTATAGTGAATTGTAACGGTGTTTGAGCATTCAAACTTTTGAACTTAATTTGTACAAAACGGTCACCAAAAGTCTAATTTGCAACGACACGGTAACAAAAGTTTGAACTGGTATGAAATGGTCACACTGTTTAATTTGTGACCGTTTTGTTCTAAGTAAAAAGATTTGTTATCAAATGGTTACAAATTAAAGGTTTGTGACTGTTTTGTACTAAATGCAAAGGTTTGTGACCATTTATGCTAATTACCCTATTGATCGGTGATGTCAAATGACGTGAATTCTTTTGTCATGTCATCAGACCCTTTGGGTGGAACTCAGATCTTTGAGATTAGGGTATAGTATCATACTCCTAACTCAGTTTGTCACTATTCAAGCTTTAGATATCAAACATTCGAACCCTTGAATGGTGAATTTAGACTGGTGTAGGCCAATATATTAAGAGTAAATTCATCCTAACATCACACGTTCTTTTATTTTATTTTTTAAAATTGACATATATATTCTGAAAACAATCGTTAGAACTCAACTTATCACGATTCAAGGTTTAGATATCTCAATTAGAAAGGTTCAAATATAAAAAATCAATATGTCCTGAGTTATTTGGGAGAAACAAAAAAAAATAGATTTTTTTCTCCCATACAGAATACATTGATTTAACGCTAAAGTTTAGTATAATAGTATGCTACGAAAACAAATATTAACTACACCTCCCGTTCAAGAATTTGACTAGAATGCTGAAAAATGTAATAGGTAGACTAATAGAGTACAATTAGTTGAAAGTTAAAGTCTTGCGCATATCTAAAGTATAATTGGGTGAAAACATGAGTTAGGAACTTAGAGATGTCAAAATAGAATAAATATTTAGTTAAATTGACGTTGAACGAATAATAAATAGGACATTAGATTGAAAGTAGTACCTATATTACCCAACCCACTACTAATCGAGTATTACCCAGCCCAATACAAATCAAGTCATGTAATACTCCAATGGACGAATTTAAATTGCGTGAAAACTGTTCCAACACCAATAGGAGTCAGGAGATTATAACATCCAACACATCATGACGCCAACCTTTCTTTTGTTTGTCCTGACATGAACTTTTTACTTTATTTACCCTAATGAAAATTACGGCGGATAGTCGGGAACGAGATTGATTCACCTTTTTTTAGGACAATAATAACCAACTTTTATTCCACCAATCGAAAGAAACAGGAAACCCGGTTTAAATCTAAAGAAGATCAGAAATGAGGTCAAGAATATTGATCCAATCATCAGGTAACGATGCTCTCGCTTTTGATCGTGCAACCCAATCAGCTCTGACGTTGAGTGCCCTGGACACCTCCTTGATTCAAATGAGAGGGTTTGTTCTAAGGATAGAGACAATCGAACCAATCCACGCTGCACACCTCCACGACCATCGAGAATGATCTTGATTCAACGCTTTAACCAGAACCTGACAGTCTGATTGAACAGTACAATCTGAACCATATTCTTGAGCTAATTTCACTCCTTCCAGAAGGGCCTTAGTTTCTGCTTCAATCAGGGTGGAACAAAGAAGATCCTCAGCTCGTCCATCACATACTTGTCCATGGTGGTTAACAACCACAACACCATAAGCCGCCGGCTGGGAGTCGTTAATGAACGACCCATCACAGTGAATCACCAAAGAATGATTATTTGGCAGTGGATTCGTATGAGACTAGGTTCCCTTAAGCTGAGAGGGAAGGTAAGGCATGGGAGGTGGGGACCTTGGACAAGAAATCCATTCATTAAGCTCTTTATACGTTTGTTGGCACACGTTCGGAGGCCATGGTAATCTGTTCTTGAAGGAGCATTTGTTCCTAGCCTTCCATATATTCCAACAAAGGAACACAACATGGATCATAGAGCTATGATGAACAACATCTTTGAGAGAGTAGAACCAATCAAGGAAAGGGTTCCCTGAGGAGGTAGCGGGAGAGATGGGAAGATAGCATTCCATGCTACATTGGCATGAGGGCAATGGAACAGGCAATGACTGATGGACTCAATAGGGTTCTGGCACACTTGACAGGTCGAATTAGGAGCACATTTCCGCTGGAGAAGTCTCTCTTTCGTTGCTAACTCATTCCTAGAGCACCTCCAAATAAAGAATTTCAGTTTCGGGGGGAGGTGAAGGCTCCAGATCCATTTCCATCTTTAATCATTCCCGCTTGGTTGAGGATTGGTGTTAGCTCTGTGAATCTTATGGTAAGCAGACTTCACCGTGAATCTTCCTTCTTCAGTGAAATTCCATGCCCAAAAATCGTCCGCTCCTTCCTCCCTAATAGGAATCCTCAAAATTGCTTCCAGTTCCGAGCAAGAAACATGACCGTGGATGGCATCATGCTTCCATTTTTTATCTCCTGGATCAATCCAATCCCTAACCTTTTGATGATTTTGGGGGCAGCTTTTGAGTGCAAAATTATCCAAGTAGGGGATCCAAGGGTCTTGATCGATCCACGTGTCTTCACCTGAGCCGATCACTCTAACTGCTCCCATACATATCACCTTTCTTGCCTCCCAGAGACTGGCCCAAATCCAAGATGCTTTGCTTCCCTTTTTTGCATTAAGAAAATCGTCTCTTGGGAAGTAAAATCCTTTTAAGAGATGGCTCCAAAGGGAATCAGGGGACGTGAGAAGGCGCCACGCTTGCTTAGCCAGCAGAGCAAGGTAAACTCGTTGAAACTCCTGAATCCCAAGCCTCCCTCTGACTTAGGCATACACAGAATCTCCTTCCTACACCAATGGAGACTATTTTTCTGCATAGACCCTGACCAAAAGAAGTTACTAAGGAGGGAGTTCATTCTTTTAGTGAGGGTCTTCGGAAGATGGAAGAGGCACATGATAAAGGATGGTATTGCTTGAATAACCGCTTTGAGGAGGACCTCTTTTCCACCATGAGAGAGGAGGAGACTTTTCCATGCTTCGCCCATTTTTTCCATTCTTTGGATTAGAAAACTAAAGATTCCTTTCTTTGAGTTTCCCCATTCCGTGGAAACTCCCAGATACTTTGAGTGACAATTAGTAGCAGCAAAGCCGATACTCGCAATGATATTATCTTTGACATCGTTGGGGACATTTGCACTGAAGAAAACTGAGGAATTGTTGATATTCACCTCCTTCCCTGTGATAGCTCCATGCTCTCCGATAAGACCAATAATATTATGCGCTTCCTGGTAATCTGCTTTCCCGAAAATTACCGTATCGTCTGCAAACAAGCCGTGAGTGAGCACCGGGCACTCGGCAATTTTGTTGTACAGAGCCTAGCAATAGCCTTTCTTCTTCAACAAAACGCCAAAGTTAAGGCCATTGGGAAACGCTTCTCTGCCAATCGGCAAAGCCTTTTGCTTTTTCTATTGCTCCCCGCTTGGCCAATTAATCTCCTTTTTCACTATTAATTATTTAATAATGATCCATCAAACTATTTGCAGTTCCCGTCTAACCATTTTCATTTGTAGATAATTGATTTCAATTTTTACACTTTTCTTTTCTAATCATATCTTGTCGAGAGCATAAAACTCAAATAAATTAAGAAGTTATTCGAGGTGTTTCCATGTAGTTGATGTACGCTGCATAAGCACATACCTTTCGGCTCATACATGTTGTGGCAAGCTAAATTTACCAAGGCATTAGGCTCAACCTAGAAGAGTCAAACACTTATTTCCTCCAATATCAAGTCTATGAAATGCTGTAGTCGTCCAAGTACCAACATATTCGAACCAAGAAACAAAAGTATTTTTTTTTATTATTTATCTATTTTCTCTATCTTATCCTTGTTTCATCGACACCACGAGATAAAAATTGTCGGTGATTTGTTTTTATCAAAGCTTCATTTGTCTTTGTTTTATGATGCTTAATTCAATATTGACTAAGAACGGGAATACACATGGATTCTATGCTTGACTTTCATCCTATAGATCTAGCTCATTCTAAATAGAATCGAACGGGTGGTTCTTCAATCAAAATTGTGAAGATCTATCATCATTTCTCAAACCACATATATGCACTAAGCAGTGATTACAAACTTCTTTCTCAAACCAGCAGTGATTACAAACTTCTATGGAGTAATGAACTTATTTATCATGTTTTGAATTTTTTCTAACAAAAAATGATTAATAGCGTTTTTATACTCATGTACTATTGCAAGTTAATAACCGTTGAAGGGGCTGGAAAAAACATTGCACAATTTTTTTTAATATTGTCCTTTTTCCAGTAAAAATATAAAAATAAATAAAATTATTATAAAATAAATTTTAATAAAAAAGTATGAAATAATTAATTTTAAAACAGTTTATGTAATAAGCGAATAAAATTTGTTAATTTTCTGTCCCTTTAATCGTCAACTAGGCAAATTTTATTTACGTTTGTAATATAGGATTATGTTTTTGAAAAAAAAATAGTAGAGTACTACTTTTGTTAATTTTTAATTAACAAAGATATAATATATTACTCACCTTTATTGAATTATTAATAATGATTCATCACCTAATTATATTTCCCGCCTAACTATTTTCATTTCTAGCTAAAGTTAGGTTTTAAGATTTTTTTATTTATTTATATTATTATTTACCCCAACTTATACCATATGTTCTACACAAAAATTTGACCGGCAGTTTCAGGACTCTTTCTTTGGATTTTTTAGATGATTAATAAAGAGTCATCAACTGTCCAATAATAATAACTACAAAACAAAAGTGTGTTTTATTGAACACATCACATTTCATTAACTAATCACTTTCATTATGACAAAAAAATTACGCTTGGATTTCGTTCATTGGGTGTTCCTACCATAATTCAATTTGTAGATATATGCGATTTTAAATAATATAAAGAGTATCTTATTTACATTTTTCTATGAAAAATAATGCATTTCAAGAATACATTTACTCATTTAGTATGTGTAAAATTAAGATATCTTTAGTGAGCTCTAGTTATTTTGTATTTTCCAATCTTATTTTTTCGAGAGCATAAAGCTTAAAATAATTTGATTTCAAGAGTTTTCCATAGAAATCCACTGCATAGCCTTCGGCACAACTCACAAGCATGTTGTGTCAAATTAGATCTCCCAAGGCATTAGGCTCAATCTAGGAGAGCAAAACACTTGTTTCCTTCTTTTGTCGCAAGCCAAGGACCCAACATCAAGTCTATGTAATGCTTTAGTTCTCCAAATACCAAGGAGGAGGACAAACTCGACCCAAGAAACCAACTAGTAATTTCATCTATTCGTTATTTGTTCTACTTTATTTTAGTATCTTCGGCGCCCTTAGATAAAAATTACCATTGACTTAGTTCATAATTTTACTAAAACTTCACTTTTCTTTTCTTTCTACGATGCTACGACATTGACTAAGAATTTGATTATACACTCTGAGTACAACACTGACTCTGCTTCATCTTGTATTCTTTTAGCTCTAGCTCATTCTAATTAGAATCAAACTAGTGGTTCCTCAATGAAAATTGCGAAGATCTATTACCATCTCTCAAACCCACATAAGCAGGGAATGACAAATGAGAAGGGTGGGGCAGGTTGGGTATCTCATACCCGTTTGCACCAAATACAGGCAGGTTGGGTAATACTCGCTCTGATACAGATCAGGACATGTCGATCTATTCTCACATGTTATTTGAAAAAAAAATTGAAAAATGAAAAATTTCTTTTACCATAATACAAAGGAAAAACACTTCACGCATAAAAAATAATGATAATAGAATGAGTAATTGAATCTAAATAATTGAAAGATAAAATTACACTCATTTAAAGTTTCATTGAGTGAAAATAGGATTGGAAACAAATCAAAAGAGGAGAAAAAATATATATTGAGAAAAATTGAGATATTATAGGTAAAAATGGGATGGAGTAGAACTACATGTTAGGAGTTGTAACTCTTGTCCCGTTCTATACTGCTGCGAGTTGGTTATACTTGATGAAACATATTCAAATTGTCATCCCTACATAACCAAAAAATTTAAAAGGTTTTCACCAACTCTTATGGAATAGTGGGCTTCTTTAAACATGTTTTGAACCTTTTTCAAACAAAAACTGATACACTGTAAAGATCACCTATTTGGTAGGAAATGTATTTTGTTTAACTTGTGCAGACATGGAGGGATTGGGTAGATTTCATTTGCTTATTTTGCCTTTCTGGGTTAAGCAGAGGGAGCTTTATTAGCTTCTTTCATGTAAAAGATGTTTGACTCAGATAATCACACAACCCACTGAAGTGCTCATATCAATACATACTCCAAAAGGTACATGCCACTATACTATATGTTAATTACCCATATTAATAATTACATTATAATTACATCCTCCAGTTTTCCCTTACCTTTTTGGTAAACAAAGCAAGATGGATATTCATTAATTATGCTGGTGAAACCTTAATCAGTGTAATTACTAATTAATCAAACTTAGTGGCCAAAGTAGGTGGGCAGAATGCTAGATTGTGAGTATGAATCCAACATTCCACCCTGTTAAAGGACTTGTTTTACCTTAAACTCCCAAAATGGAATGTGACTAAACCACACCAAAGAAATCTGTATATTTGAATTTCATTCAATATACAGATTTCCCTAATACTAAACACCCTGTTCAATTTAAAGTACAATATTAATAACAAAAATACAAACTGGAAGGAAAGGAAAAGGAAAGAGAGGGAAAATGGGTGAAAATTAGAGAAGAAGAAGGGGGAAAACGACAAAAAGAGTGAGTGAGGAAGAGAACTCTATAAGATTCCAACTTTTGTTCACCGATTTTCTCAATGAGAACGGCCTTTGGCTTTTCCTCTATCCCAACTCTTCCCCCTCTGCCCATCTCCTACTTATATCACTCCCTCCTTTCCCCTCTGCTCTGCTAAGCATTTCATCGAACACTTTTCCCCCTGTGTCTCCTCTCGACTCTCAACTCTCAGCCTTCCCCTGTTTCTCCTCTCCCCTGTTCTCTCAACAGCAGTGAAGTTAATGCAATGGCAGTTGACACGGTGAAATCAGTTCTTTCTAAGCCCAACGGTTGTAACAAAGACGAACAGACAGCCCAGAAGGCTGGAGCTAATCCACTGGTGTTCGATGCCAAGTTCCTGAGGCACGAATCCAACATTCCCCAGCAATTCATCTGGCCTGACAACGACAAGCCGAGAGGCAATGCCCCGGAGCTTAAAGTCCCAATAATCGACTTGGGCGGGTTCCTTTCCGGCGACCCTGTCGCCACAAACGAAGCCGCGAAACTCGTCGGCGACGCCTGCCGGAAGCACGGGTTCTTCCTGGTAGCTAATCACGGCGTGGAAAGCAAGCTGCTTTCCGATGCCCATAAGTACATGGACGATTTTTTCGAGCTCCCGCTCTCTGAGAAGCAGAAGGCGCAGAGGAAGCTCGGAGAGAGCGCCGGTTACGCCAGTAGCTTCACGGGGAGGTTTTCCTCCAAGCTTCCATGGAAAGAAACGCTCTCCTTTCGGTTTACCGCCGAAAAGGAGTCGGCTGAAATTGTTCGGGACTATCTCCTCGACAGAATGGGCCAAGATTTCTCGGAATTCGGGTAACTTGCTAACAAACAAAAAAAAAAAACTCTGTTTTCCCACCACTCTGTTTTTTCACAACGCTCTGTTTTTTCCTCTGTTTTTTTCCCCCTCTCTCCAACTGATGGGTTTTTTTTTTCTTCTTCCTATCTTAACAGGAATGTGTACCAGAACTACTGCGAATCGATGAGCACGCTTTCCCTAAGGATCATGGAGCTTCTGGGATTGAGCCTGGGAGTGAAGAAGAGATCGCATTTCAGAGAATTCTTCCAAGAGAACGACTCGATAATGAGGCTGAACTATTACCCACCCTGCCAAAAACCTGACGCCACATTAGGAACAGGGCCTCATTGCGATCCGACGTCGTTGACAATCCTCCACCAGGACCAAGTGGGTGGGCTTCAAGTGTTTGTGGACAACGAGTGGCGCTCCATCACCCCCAATTCCAATGCCTTTGTCGTCAACATTGGCGACACCTTCATGGTAAACAAAAAGATCCAAACTTGTTAATTTTTCAAAAAAGATTCACCAATTCAAAAATTGGGTTCTCTTCCTTTGCATCGGCGAAATCTAAAAAATGTTTTCATTTTGTGGTAACAACCAACCAGGCGCTGTCGAACGGGCAATTCAAGAGCTGCTTGCACAGAGCGGTGGTGAACAGCACGACGGCGAGGAAGTCCCTGGCCTTCTTTTTGTGCCCAAAGAGCGACAAGATCGTGACGCCGCCGGAGGAATTGGTGGACGAGAACAATCCCAGGGTGTACCCGGATTTCACATGGCCAACCTTGCTGGAGTTCACCCAAAAGCATTACAGAGCCGACATGAATACCCTCGACGCCTTCAGAAATTGGCTTCTTCTTCAGCAGCAGCAACCGGCGGCGGTGTGACTGACCTGTGAATTGCCAACATTGAGGGAAGAAGTGAAGGAAAGGGAGGCTGCCACCGAAAAAAGAACGTTAATTAGTTTAAGATTAGAAGGAAAAGGCCACCAAAAAAAAAAAGGAGCAAGAAGGGACAAATTTAGTACAGGTGTAGGGGGTAATCAGTAAAGAAAAAAGGCCAGTTCTTATGTTAATATGGTCTGTGACTTAGCATTTTGATCGTGGAAAATAAAGGGGGTAGAAGGGAACACAGAGAAATAAATAAGTACTTGGGCAGATAATTTTTTGTACTTCAATTTTTGTTTCTCTTTTGTTAAATTCGTCATAATACAGAAGAAAAAAAAAAGATTATCAGTATTTTCGAAACTTGCTTCTTTTCATCCAACTCCCTTTGAAATATGATGTTAAACATGCTCCGGTCGTACTTAGAAGTTATAATAAGTAGTCATGTACTATTACAATGAGTCAAATGAGTATCACCCGAAGATAAGAGACTAATCATTGTTGACTAGGACAATTACATTTGTCATAGAAGCTTTCCGATCCCCCGTTGCATAATCTCTCCGAATTGCATTTGTTGACTAACACAATTACATTTTGCAACAAGTGTGATTCGGTTGAGGCTTCTCAAATCTCGTGTGCATAATCTCTCTTAATAATTGCATAATACAGGTGTTCTAACTCGTATTTGTGGATCCTATTCCAAATTGTTTGTTAATTTTTACGATGATTCGTGAGAATTTTCTAAACGGGTGGTAGATATTTGGGTCTTGAGAGGAAATAAAGAAAGAAAACTGTTACCCTGTTTTTGTTGTTTCTTTGGGATGGTGTTCAGAACACAATATAATAATGAGTAAAAAGGAAGTCTGGGGGGGATCAGACAAATGGCTTTCTTTTGGCCACTAACTTTGTTCCTAAATGGGAAATAACCCCCACTAAATGGTAAAACCAGTAGTTGTTGGGAAGCAAAAGAAACTGCCCCTTAATTCCACTATTATGTGACCCATCCAAAAACCCACTATTTCTATTTTCTAGTGCATCGATTCACTCGTAATACCATGTGAATTCTGTGTTAGACTTTACCGATCAGGGTGTATGTATGATAGTCCGAAATGGGAAGACTAACATTATGATAAAGTTTTGAACTAACTTTACATTGTGAAAAGAATATTTCCATTTACAGTTGAATTACAAGAAATTTCTGCCGAAGATAAAAATATCATCATTTTAGATTCCAGAATAAATAACGGTAAACAAACTTTGAAGTTTTCCGAAAGAAGAAGTGGTTGATTCACTGGTAATACCATGTGACTTCGGTGTTAGACTTTACGGACCAGGGTGTATGTATAATAGTTTGAAACATTGTGATAAAGTTTTGAAATAAATTCACATCGTGAAAAGAATATTTCGACCTTACACAAATCTTTAAGTTACAAGAAATATCTTCCGGTGATAAAAATATCAAGTTAGTTTGATCATATGTTACACCATCCACCCTTCACATATATTTATTGAGGTTCAATCAATAAACTGTTTTATGAAAGATTGTCATTACCCATATGAAAGTTTGTCATTATCGATGAAAATGCAAAGATCATTAAATCTAAAGGTATGTGTCCCTTCATGAAATTTAGAATATTTAATTTGGTCGGTCTAGTCCCAAACTGGTTTAACCCAATTAGTCTAATTCAACCAAATTTTCAACATTTTATTTCAACTTGTGTTGAGTCCTAGTGAAAGTCTTATTTTGTTCTTTCTTTTTAGATATTTTCATGACAAAGTTAGAAATCTTAATTGGGGAGCTACAAAATCCTTTCTTAAGAGATTTGAAACAAAGGTCATTGAGGAGGGCTTAGAGTCTTACCATCCAGTCCAATCTCATAATTTATAACAAATTTTAGATTTATCATTACCTACATTTGAAAATAAATTTGATCCACTATTAATAAGTAATGAAAATAAAATTAACACATAATAAAGTTATTTTACTAATAGACATCCAATAAACACTTTCCAATATACTTTTTATCACTCACTTTTCCATAAAACAATATCTCCCCTAGTTCACTCCCCTCCAAATCCTCCCTCCCCCCATTTTCCTTCATTCATTGAGAAACAGGGGTTAATATTTCACACACCTGATTAGGGCTGGTAAACGGTTCTCATGTTACTGGTCTAACTGATAACCGAACCAAAACCAGTGGTTACGGTTACACTAATAACTAACTAAATAGTAATGGTCAGTTCTCGATAGCCAAATTTATCTAACTAATAACCAAATGTTAAACGATTAATCGACTAACCAATTATGGCAATCATCATAGTTAGGGTAAAAAAATAATATGGCTTGATGAACTGCAGGCATAGGCAAAAAATAATGGAATGTTTGAAGGTCTACAAAATCCATTGCCTACCCTAGTTATAATAGTGACTTAGTTTCAAATGAGAATAACTTCAATGAAGGACTTTAGAAAGAACATATTAGAAGGCTGAACTAGCACACTGTATTTCGACAACAATCCGTAACATTTAAGTTCCATGTACTTTGGTGGAATTTATGAGTTGAGTAATTGTTGTTGGGTATCTTGCCCTTGTTTGCTTCTTTAATCCAATTTGATGGTAGAAAGATGTTATTGTGTACTTGTGTTGGATTAAGTTTATGGATGGATATCTTCTGTTGATTAGGTTACCGATCGGTTATTTTGGTTTAAACGCCTTGTCGAATAACTTGCTTAATTGTTATCTGGTTAACTGACAAAATAACAAAGAACCGACAATACGGTTACCGTTACCGACTAATATAAACAATACGGTTAACGGTAAGCACAAAGTATTTAATAATTAACAGAAAATCCACTAAACAATTTTGATTATAATCGAACTGAACTGATTGTCCGCCTTTGGAACAACTGTTTTTCCGATCCCCCGACCCAAATAATGCACCACATTAACATAAACCGGAAGGGTACAGCCTGCAGAGAGCAATTGACATTTGACAGAGCCATGGCTTTCTTTGTGTTGTGTAATCCTCTCTATGTATGGACAAACATATTAATTTCTTAATATAGAAAGTAACGGAAAAAAAGCTTTCTATCTTGCGGTTTTTTCAAGGTTTAAACATAATTTAACCGTTAATGCACTAAATATTAAGGGGTTGAGGTTGAATAGTCGGTACGGTAAGATTTCAGGTTTTCCCCCTTACTTTATTGTATGAATATCTCATATATTAATATCTATAAATATGAAGTAATGTTAGTGTTGCCTAAAAAGTTATCTTTTGATACCCAAATTTAATTAAATCACAACTTAGTCACTATAAAGTATATTTAATATTTTCATACCCCAAATTTAATTTCAATGTAAAACATTGAACAATTATACTTTGATATCAAAATTTTATGAAATTTTCGTACCTACAATTTTTTAAATTTACATATTGATCCACTGTTTAGATTTCACTTGAATCCAATCCACCAATCCTTTTGAACCAATCTATGAATCCAATCCACCATAACATAAAAGTATAGATTTAGTTTGTACAATACAAGATGTTGTATCACTCAACTGTAGTAGAAGATTTGACCATTTCATATTTGATCAATACATGAAACATTAAATAAACGATAAAACAGAGATGACTCTCAAATATTGCAACATCAAATTTATAAACTCATTTTGTACATTTACGGGGTACTAAACAAACTTCTACGATGAAAAGGGTTGATTGTTGTAGAAACAACCAACTAAAAAAATTAGTCAAAACCTTTCCATTATCCACTTCCTCTTCGTTTCATTTTTCGCTCGCCTTCCATAACCCTTTCTTAATTTCTTTGTTTGCCTTCTTCGTCTAACCCTAATTAGTATACTATTTTTATTTATTCTAATTACAAGTATGAACGGGCCATACACGACTCACCAACAGTCTAGAGAATTAATAATTAAACCATAAACTTTTTCAGCTCAATGTCGAGTTCAATTAAAAATTAAAATATATGGTTATTACTTATTAGAAAGTCGCCATCTTCGAATATGGGATTTGAAGGCGTGAAATTTTTCACTCAGGCTAGAATTTTCAAAAATTATACATGAATGTTGGGCTAGGTATCTACACATATCAAATAAATAGCTTTCATTTTTCTATAAAAAAGTAAATAATTATCATCTTAAATACATCACCATAATAGGTATTAAGACTCAACTATGGAAATTATAGTTTGGTACCTAAACTTAATAGATCTTTAGATTTATAACCTAAATTTGTTTTTTTGGCATATAAGTCCTCAATATATTGATGGAACATTATATTTTAGCCTTTATCTCATCGAACAGATCCAATTTCGAATCCACTCACCAACAGTCTAGAGAACTAATAAATAATTGAACTATGAACCACTAACTTTTTTTCAGCTCAATGTTGATCCCAATTAAAAATAAATATATATGGTATTACTTATTAGAAAGTCTTCATTTCCACTATGGGATTTGATATGTGTAGATATCTAGCTAAACATTCCATGTATATTTGTTGAAAATTTTAGCCCGGGTGAAAAAGAAAAACTCTATAGAGAACCAAAAGGAATACAAACTTTCAAACTCATATATATGTCATCCATACCCTACCCATAACCAATGGGTCTACTTGGGTTTAGGTAAATATAATTTACTTGTCAAAATTTTCAAAAAAATTTAAATTGGATGTTGACCGCCATATATATCTTCTCATTCAATATTATATTGTCGAGTCAATATTACTAACAAAATTGCTAACGAAAAATTAATTTTACACTAATAATACATGTCCGTATATCAATGTCATCTCCGCCTCGCGACAAGGCGCGACATCACCGCCTAGTATTTTTTAAATGTCTTGTTTTGTAGTGAATATTATATATATGTAGTGAAATGAGAGGGAGATTTTGGAAGGTATTGAAATAAGATGAGGTGATCAGTTGGGCGTAGGAATAGTTGCAACATTTGTCGTGGTGTTTGTCCAGAAAAATGCTGCTGCAAACATTCTCTCCATCTGATGACCGCTAGCTGCGATGCCCATTGGTGGATTTTACGGGGGAGTGGGGAAATTTAACCTGACAACAATTCGATGGTGTATTTCAATAATTGTAATAACTTATATGTGTTGGATATAGTTTAATAAAGGATATAATATCATATACCCAATTATAGGTTCTAATATCACAGTATTATTACAAAACTACATTTGGACGGTTGATGTAGAGGAGGGTGTAATTTAATAGTAATTTTGCAGGGGTAAGACAGGCAATGGCGGATCCAGAAATTTTAAATAGGGGTGTCCCTCCTAAAAATTAAGTTAAAATAATTATTAAATAAGAAAATATCTGACTTGTCCAAAGGAAAACAAAGCACATGACGTGTTTCGTACTTTGGAAAAATTGTAAAATACAATCGATGTCCAACAATGCTCTATAAATCTCTCTCTATATATCCTACTAGACTAGGGGAGCCCGTAATTGGGTTTAATAGTTAGCTTTTGAAAATAATTGGGATAAAAAATAGCTTTTTACTATTATATTTGGATTTGAAATACAAGAACAAATGAGTTATAGTCTAATGAAAAATATGTTTACTAATAGTAGCATCGACCCAAGTTCAAATCACATAGGCAACCACTTAAATGTTTATATTTACTCATACACAAACTACTATTGGGGAATTATAATCATTTTTCAAAATTTTACGAGTGTCCCGCCACCACTTAAATATTATTTTTACCTATATACAAACTATTATTGGGAGTTGAATAATCATGTTCCCAAATTTTAGGGGTGTCCCGGGACACCCTAGAGCCCCATGGATCCGCCACTGAAGACAGGAGAGTAACGGGTTTGGTGGGACAGTTGGGCGAATTTTTTTGGTGCTGATGCAGATATTTAGATGTTAGTTTCAAATTTTCTACAAATTTTTAAAGGACAAGTCGCATATTAGATTTCAAAAAACTTTGCATTGAAGAAAGATTTTTGTTTTTATTTTTTACAAGATGATATTTATTTCGATATTTTGAAATAAATACACTAATATCATTATGTTATATGATCATAGTGAGAATATTATCATATGATAGTATTGTTAATCTAACCATAATGGTAAGTAATTATATTATAGTGATAAAGTTACAACAAACATGTGTTTTTTAGTTACTTTTGTACTCAAATTATAGCAAAATGAATATCATTGTGTATATCATGATTAATAAGTTATTCTCTGCAATTTTTTTAAAACTTAAGTTAAAACAAATGAGATATGTGATCATATCACTGTTACACCATGATAATATGAAAGTGATAAGATTACAACCAACACTTGTCTTGAGTGTATATTTTTCTCAAAATATAGCAAAACGGATATCATTGTATATATTATAATTATGTGTTGTTTATATGCAATTATTTTTAAAATTTTGAGTTAAAACGAATGAGATATGACGTATTAAAAAAATAAGGGATTAAATAGTAGACTTTGATAGGTCAAAAGGAGACATAACCTGTTTACAATTGCAATGGAAGCTCTGGATTGTTTGACTAAGAAAGCAATGGTGGATAATCAGATTCCTTACCATCCTCATTGTAAACCACTTATGATTTCCCATTTGTGTTTTGCGGATGATTTGATGATGTTTACCAATGGGTCAATAAGAGGAGTTGCTGGCATTAGAAGATTAATGGATAGTTTTTATAAGCTATCTGGTTTGAGATGCAACCCAGCAAAATGTCAGCTTTTCTGTGCTGGTATTCCTAAGGAAGAAATGCTTGCTATTTCTGAATTTGCTGAATTCTCTCTGGGAACACTACCTGTGAGGTACTTAGGAGTCCCACTTATTACAGGAAAACTTACTAGGCAAGACTGTAAAGTGCTGGTGGATAAGATAACACAAAAACTGAGAAGCTGGTGGTCAAAGCTGCTAAGCTATGCTGGGAAAATACAACTCATATCTACTGTCATCTCTAGTACCCTTCAATACTGGCTCAATATCTTCTTACTGCCTCAATTTGTTATCAAGGAGGTGGGAAGATTGTGTAATGAGTTCTTGTGGGATTCTGCTGAGGATGGCAGTAGAAAGAAAGCATTCATGGCTTGGGATAAGTTGGCTACTCCTAAGAAGGAGGGTGGACTTGGAATTAGGAACTTTGGAGTATGGAATAAGGCGTGTGTATTGAGGCATTTATGGGAGATTCTTACTCTGGGGGGGTCTATCTGGGTTGCATGGATTTCAAGGTACAGGCTGAAGGGTAGAAGCATATGGGAACTCTCAGTTGTTTCTGCTGGGACATGGATTTGGAAACGGTTGTTGAAATGCAGGGCAATAGCCTACCCGTTTGTTTCTGGGAATGGGAGCAGTACTCTGTGGCAGGGGGAGCAAATGAAAAGGTTCTCGGTGTCCAGGGTGTGGAATGATATCAGGGTGAAACAACCAGAAGTACAGTGGTGGAGATTAGTCTGGGCAAAGGAAATCAATCCTAAGCATGGATTGATACTGTGGCTTGCTATCCACAGGAGATTGGTTACTCAGGATAAACTCTTGGCCTGGGGAAAAAATGTCTCTGGCTGCTGCCTTTTGTGTCCAGGGGGTGTAGAGAGCAGGGATCATTTACTGATTTATTGCTCTTACTCAATTTCTGTTTTGAAGCTTGGTATGAAAAGCCTTTCTCCACCAGATGTAGGAGGCTGGGAAGCAACAGTTGCTTGGTGTGCAAGGGAATGGAAGAAGAAGACTGATAGGTCGAGAATTTGCAGAATGTTGTGGAGTGCTGCTGTGAGCCACATATGACGTGAGAGGTGTTCTCGAATGTATGGGACTAAGGTAGTCAAAGATCCTGCTATGTTGGTGAAGTTGATATGTGAGGAAGTTACCTACCGAGTATGTGAAGATCCTGCCCTTCAGCTAGAGTTAGATAGTATTCAGTAAATATATAGATAGGAGCGGATTGTACGTTTTGTTTTCTGCGTTGTAAACGTTTGAGAGGCGCTGCAGGGTTCCCTCTGCAAGTGGGCTGGTCTTAATGCAATTTTTTGATTTCGCATAAAAAATGTGATAATTTTCATAACTTAATTTTTATTATTAACAACATTTTCTTAATTATTAATTAACTACAATATTCAACATCTCGTCATTTTTCACTATGCAAAGGTTTCATAAGGTAAGTTAAATTTTATATAATAGTTAAATTAAATGTGATATTATTTATAACTTAATTTTATTGTTAGATCATAATTTATGATGTAACATCATTCTATAATAGTTATATAAGCTACAAATATATTATATATAATTTATGGAGGGAAATTTGTTTCTTACGTATCACTTAAACTAATGTATTATGTAACGTATGTCTTCCGTAATGAATAAGGCATTACGTAAAGATTATAAAGGTATATTAGTGAGTGGATTAAGTTTAAAATCTAATTAATTTCTTATGACTTTGAAGCATGTCCAAAAAAAACTAGTTGATTATTATGGTGATAAATAAAAATTTAATATGCATAATACATAAGTTTCAATATACTATTTACAAGTTTTCACAACCATAATTTGGAAGTTTAGATGAATCTACAAGGTACTCCTACATTATCATTCTCGCTTGGGGGGGGGGGGGGGGGGGGGGGGGGGGGGGGAATTCGCGCATATGGTGGGACAATTGTATTTGATTTGATGACTCCACGACAAAGAAAACAAGAAGGCGATCTTTCACATGGGTTTAATTACGAGCTAGTGGCGACACCAATTATCTACCTAACCACCACTATCATGCCAGTTGCTCGATATTTAAGGAGAATGGCAAGACGGTGGTGGAAAACCATCAAGTGATTTGGAGAACCGCCAATTCACGGAGGAGGGTTTGGAAGGACGTGTTAGAAGTTCTTGTTATGAGACAAGTCTTCATCAAATCTCGTCGGCCTAACTACACTACTACATCTAATCAAGTCAAATATACCTTAACTAGATGGAGGAGCACAGTGGTGACACTATCTAATCTACTTATCGAATCTACTGCTACTTTAAAGTTGTGACATTATCTAATCTAACAATTGAGTGATGTAAGGAAGTGGTTAAGTACCATACATGGACCTGTATAAGATCCAGCATAACTTTCTCCCAACGACTTGAGTTATTGAGACCAACTGGTTTATGACATGGTATCAGAGCTGGTTTGTCCGTGGGGTCACGTGTTCAAGTCCTCACGACCCCCAATATTAATCGTTGTCTTTCAAGCACATGGTATGGCGGGCCTGTGCAAACTTCAAGCCCATGAGTCGGCTTTCGTTTGAGGGGACGTGTAAAGAAGTGGTTAAGTATCATACATGGGCCTGTATAAGATCCAGTATAACCTTCTCCCAACAACTTGATTTATTGGGACCAACTGGTTTATGACAAGTGATAAATGTCTTCTAACAAGACTAGCATGTAACTTAATGAAGAACTCAAGTAAAGAAGCGGTACTTGGGATAGTATCCCCTAACTCGCGGATGAAGCTAATGAAACAAAGTATTCATGCAATCCCCTACTCGATTATGATGTTGAGAACCAACTGAGCTAACACCTAAGACATTGGTCATGTCATGCCCAATGGTCATGCATTCAACTAATTCCTAGAGCATTAGGCTTAGATTCTCAACTTGGATAAGGATCCCAATTGTTGCTATGACTTGAAGATAAATTATCTGGCATCGATTGGAAGTCACGGAGGTGTGGTCTGTAATATGTATCTCTTCAAGTATGGCGAAACAGTTATCCCTTGCCCGTGGACGTAGCTAGCTAACACATATTGCGTTAGTGAACAACGTAAATTTGTGTGTTCTTTACTTTCTTACATTGTTGATTTTCCTATCTGTTCTAACACCAAGAAAAACAAGACTTCAACTTAATGGTCATCCTATTAAAATCTCATTTTACTTGATGAAGATTCTATCCTTGGCTTAAATATCTTAAAATATATTATCACTAATTTGGGTCAAGTACCAATCAATTAATCACTTTTACTAAAGAAAGAAATTGACGTAATTATACATCAGATAATCATAAAATAGCGAGTATGATTCTTACATCAACATTTCATCCCTAACAATCATTTACATGAGTTAGGGTTCAACTTATCCAACATACAATGTGTTCATCCCCTTAAGCTAGGGTTCATGAACTTAAATAATCATTAGTGCTTTACTTAAAGAGTAGTAAGTAGTTAAAGATAATTAATCAAAGCCGCCACACGTAAGGACAACGACAGCCTCTTTCCCGTACTTGCCAGGGTTCCAAAGTTAAAGGCCCCCAGCATAGCATCACGTGGCAACATTTGTTGTTTGCCTTGTCCCTTTTCTCCCCTCTCCACTCCCTTACAAAAAACCCTACATTGTATTCTCTCTCTCTCTCTCTCTCTCTCTCTCTCTAAGATAGTAGGATTACAGCAGTGCTTTATCATCTTCTCCATTACCTGACATAGCTTGGGATTTCGTATCATACTTCTTCATATGGTGGTCATGTGGATCACCACCTTCCTCATCACCCAATGCTTGCTCCCGCTCTTTGCATTTTCTTCCTTTTTTTTAATAATATTTCAGTTGAGATCTTGTGTGGTGAAGTTAAGAGAAAGGTAAAGTACATTGATTTCGATGTGTTTAGTTTATGGTATACTTTCAATTTTAAGACGGGCGATTGCGCAATTATTGTTTTGAACATCGGCTTCGTTTTAAAATGATGTATATTTTCAATGTTATGACATTGAGAAAAGAGAGAACCGTGAATTTGTGCGTGCATACATGATTTGTTTGTATTTAAAGAAATTCCGAAACTTGCTGGTAGGCCTTCGAAAATTCATTTATTGACAATTTAATGAGTAACTAACGAGTAACATCCATGGACTAATTGTACTTCTAGACGGTATCATCATAGTATACAAATGGCGACGATTACAATGTGAAATTTGATAGTTAGCGTCTTAGTAAGAGTGTAGTTTTAGGATAAGATGACATATGCCCATAAATTTGAGGGGTGTACCAAAAAGCGCTTATAGATCGATATAGCCAAATTACTTTCGAAAATTACGTACCCATTGAAAATTTGTCCAAAACGTACGTTTAACTTAACAAATGCTAAGTTGGATTTACAATAATTTCATATCATAACCGACGACGTTTTTACCTTATATTAAGTTTCTTAACACGGTAAATCAGTTTACTCGTTTTTGTTTCAATTCAACAACACTACGATTAAAATGTATTTCGACCCTTCACTTCATCCATAACTCACGAGAGTTTGATCAAAACCATGCGCGATGTCTCCCTAGTGAATTTCAAACCCTTAATTAAGCTCACACTCGAACAAGAGCCACGATGTATGTAATGGTACTAGCTAGTTACCAGATTTACTTGATTAATTAGCTTCAAGATCAGTTTATAGTCATAACAATTAACAGGCATTTGATAATCATCATCATCAAGCACATAATTTTTTTTGAAACAACATGTTCATCAGTTAAGTTAAGTTAAGCATGGTGGTAGAAAACCAGACAAATTTTGCTTGGTCAGCCTGAATCGTGTCATTATCAATGTTGTGTACGTATGTGAAGCTAGCTAGGTGCGCTACATCCGACAATAAGCCAATTCGAACGCATGCAGACAACAATTTTCGAAAGACGACGTCCTACTCTAATTCTATCCAACATGCATAAATACGTTTTTATTTATTTATTAATGTACTACAGATGCCAACAGTACTGATGAGCTAGGAACCAAAATTCCACGTGTATATAATATATATATATATATATATATATATATATATATGTACGGTACAGCTTTCGACCTTTTTTTTATTTTATATCCATTTTCGAGTAATTAATCGAACCAAGCACCGCCCAGTAAAACATGTGCCAATCAGTGCTCTCTGTAATGCTCTGCTACTCTGCAAGCTTTGACAACCTAATGAATATAATACAAATAGATATGTTCAGCTGCAGCATGGCCTACCCTAATTCGTTTGTGCTTGCAGCTAAACTAAACTTATAAATGATTTCATAACAGTGTCTGAGTCTGAATCGTTCTCTTTCATAACTATGTCGGGTATCTATAAAATCTGATAGTAACCACAAGTGATGTAAGGCATGAATGTTGGCACAATGTGCTTTTAACCGCAGTTTGCACAAGCACAACCTACCATTTTGGAGGAAAATCTCTTGATGGCCACCAACAAAGTTGCACACATTCATGAGTTTGTCGAATATCTGTAAAATTAGGGAGTAATCACCAATGTATTTGCTGAGATTCTTGTATTATTGGGCTCGAAGTTTTAGATAATGGTCTTACATTTACAAGTGAGATTGACAAATCAAAGGGGTAGTTCTAGTGATGTAAGGTATATATGGAAGTTGGCACAACATGCTTTCAGGTTTAATTAATCGCACAACCCATCATTGTAATGAAATCTCTTAAACGGCCACCAAAAAAACTGTAAACTCGAATCAACCACTTTCATAAATTTATCGAATATCTGTTACGATTCTCCGTTTCGCGATTATCGTACGACAATAAACCTTATAAATTTGACCAAGAAAAGTAGTAGTTGTACAATGGGATGACCACCTTCATAAAAGAATGCATAAAAGTAATAGAAAGAGGGGTTACCATAATCATGATTAGTCATATATACATAACAACTTACCTTAATCCCACCATAAAGAGATAATCACACACATATGAGCTGACTGTACTCAATTCAACCTATTGATTAACATCTTTTCATATGAGATCATCTCGAACGTAATAGTAATTACGTGTCACACAAAATTTGTTAATTAATCAACTATACAACTCTCTCCCTCCCTCCCAATAACATACTTTAATGTTATTCTAATTCCAATTATCGTTTCTTTGTCGTTTCTTTGTCCTTTTATCAACCAATTTTTGGAGCTCATCATCTCATGTAATTTTTGTTTTGTCTCTTGCGTTGGCTCTATCCAATGTATATATAGTTGTTGAAAGTGAAACGTGTGTGGAGATTTAGTTAGTGGGAAGAGGACGAATCCCATGTAACCCCGCAGCATCGCAGGCATATATGTAGTTTGCACTATTCAATCCTCATATCTCTTATCCTTTCTTCTTCTTCTTCCATATTAGAGATCCCAAACATGACAAAAGAGATAAGTGGAAAAAGATTTGTAGAAGAAGCATAATCTTTAACTTCATTGTTAATGCTATCTTTCTCTTTTGTAGATACTTGACACGTGGGTGTGATTAATACTTGTCATGAATTTTCCAGCCATTAATGTCCCAAATTCAATGTTTTTTAGGTGAGTTATTTTGGTCAAAATAACTCGTTTTGTCAGTATTTTATTGAAATAAGTTATTTGAATCATTAGTTATAAATGACTCAAAATGAGTTACATCTGTATAATTTGAAAATAACTCGTTTGATTTTGGACACGGTAATAAATGGATATCTTGAAGCTATGTGAAAGATGGTGTATTATTTGTTGGAGATCTAAAAAAAATTCAAAGTGTCATAATTATAAGGTTATTTGTTGGAGGTCTATCATACCAAACTACAAGTAGAAAGTCTTCAATTGTCACAGATAAGTACATGACTTGTATCACTGAAAAATGTTATTTTACTTATTATTGCACGTGTTATTCTTACTACTCTGTGCTGTAAGTCAGTCAAAACATATACACTTGGAGCGAAATAAAACTCATAAAAGCAAATGCTGCTATTTAGAGCTTCTGCGAAAAGTTGTTTTGAAAATACAAGATTATTCTTACCATATTTTAATGTTATTTCAGAAAATATAATTTTATTTCATTTATATCATTTTAAATATTAAATAGAACCTAGTCTCTTTGGCTATACAATCGTGTGGTTTCTGGAAATTTAAAATAAAATCATATTATTTAACATAAAAGAAAAATCAAACAAGATCCATTTTCACAATTTTTTATTGTTTATAATTTTAATTCATATTTTATATTATAAATCCTTTATAGTCATTTTACATAGCCTCTTATATTAAAAAAACACTTCTAATAGTTTTTCCAGCAAAATACTCAATTGCTTTTTTTGAAAAGTACTTCCCTAAAAGCTCCGGTCAGAGACTGCTTCTGCAAAAACTACAACAGGGTCAAACTAGCCCTATATCACTTTTCATCGTTAGACTAACCACAACCAGAGGGGCAAAAATTAGGGGTTTTAAGGCTATTTTAGCCCCCTCGAAAACAGAAACAGCTGCAACCCTGATGGCTAAAAATTAATGTTTCGTATTATGCAATCCTAACTTATGAATAGTTCAACTTATTTTTTAATTTAAAATTTATATATTCATTCACGATAATTGAATACGAACATTCCGATAAAATTTGAACAAATTCTGAGATACTTTGTTGTTAGTTTTTTTTTTTACAATAACACTTTGTGGTTAGTTGAAATGGAAGAAAGTTACATCGAAATGAACTTCGTTCATCAAAATTACCAAGATTTTGAACAATTTTGGAGATGCCTTTTTTAGTTGAAATGGAAGAACGTTCCAATTTTTAAATATATTTTTTTGTTTTCAAATAACAATCGTGAAAATATGCTGAGATGCAATCCAAAGATCATATTAAGAATTATAAGGGAAATTTTAATTATGTATAGGTGTTCACTCAGCTTCATTATACATTCAATACCTTTTTAAAGAAAGTGTACCAAAAAAAAAACCAAATTCTTCGAATTAATTGAAATTTTTTTATTATTTTTAATTAGTGGGATTGGACAGAATCCTTAACAGAGTTGACTCAGAGCTGATGATATTGTTTTACGTGAAGTGTCTTTTCTCAGCAGTTTATGACTCTTAATTCAAGTCGTTAACTCCAACTATGTGACCTGGTAATTAAAGCTAACTCTAAGTCATTAGAGTCATAACTAGATTTAGTACGTAAATACAAATTTAAATTATAATTATTTGAAGATGTGATTTTTTACAGCAATGAAGATGTGATTATAGTAATAGTTGGGCTTAATTGCAAGTTTGGTCACTCGAATTGCTACAAAATTTCATGTTTGGTCACTAAAATTGGTTTATTCCATTAGTAGTCACTTAAATTAGTTGAACAATCCAAGTTCGGTCACTCTCCGTTAACCTCCGTTAGACTCCGTTAATGACGATCGTTAAGTGATAATGTGGCTAACAGAAATCACAGTCAGCATATTTTAACCCTAAAAAATGACTACCCGACCCGCCACGTCAGATTTGCCCGCTATGTCACCCTTCCTACCCAACCCGCAAACCAACCCAATAATCGACCCAACCACAAATCCATCCCCCCTGAATCTGAAAAGTAAAATCGATAACCCCTTGCTGCTCGCTCATCTTCCTCCTCTGCTGCGGCAGCGACGGGGGAGGACCAGGAGACGCAACCACAACTTTTTTCTTCATCATCTTCTTTACTTTCTTTCCATCCTACTCCGCCGATGACCTTATCACCGTCGCGACAGACACCTAACGGGCAGCCCCAGCAGCGCATCCCAAGCCTCTGAAGGTAGACCTTCTTCTTGCCGCCGACAGTACTGTTGTTGGCGATGGTGATTGTGGTGGGTTCGCTTGAGTTGGCGGAGAATGGGGAGATGAAGAGGGAAGAGATGGTGGTGGATTTGGGAGGGCGAGAGAGTTGTGGGTTGGGATCTATTTCGGCTGTTGCTGCTGGGTCTAGCTGATGGCGATGAAGATGATGGGAATGGAAGTTGTTTCTACCGGACCTTCTGAGCCTAATTTGGTCCCCAAGTGTGCTGCTCTCTGGGAAAATAGGCATGATTACTGTTATCTGGCAACGAATCGTTGCTCCTGCCACAGGGAAAGGGAGAACCCAGAAATGAAGTGAAAAGAAAGGCAATGGAGGATGAGAGGACGATGGAGAATGAAAAGTGACCTACCCTTTCCTATTTCGATTTTACTTTTCAGATTCAGGGGGGCGGGTTTGTGGGTTGGGTAGGGAAGGGTGACATGGCGGCCAAATCTGACGTGGCGGGTCGGGTAGTCATTTTTTAGGGTTAAAATATGCTGACTGTAATTTTCTGTTAGCCACGTCATCACTTAATGGTTGTCATTAACGGAGTCTAACAGAGAGTGACCGAACTTGGACTGTTCAATTAATTTAAGTGACTACTAATGGAATAAACTAATTTTAGTGACCAAACGTGAAATTTTGTAGCAATTCGAGTGACCAAACTTGTAATTAACCCTTATAGTTGTTTTGTTTTCTATGCATATTAATTCGTCCAAGGGTTCAGCAAAACGCAAATTTAGTATTACAAAATCTAGAACTGCAAAATCTACAAAATTATTGTCTTACTTACCACTCTTAATAGGAATCACACTCGCCACCCTGTTACAATTAGAAGATGGTATGATTCGTATAAGGAGTGGTATAAGGAGTGGTAAGACGTGGATTTTGTAGCTCCTGTGTTTTGTTTGTACCATAACCGAAGCCTTAGAAAATCATTAATCTTTGGAGAAATTGGACACATGGGTTCATTACACGTAACATCATAAATTGGACCAAAAAATTTTGGTTTGATAAATCATTATATTTTCTATACAAAGTTATTGAATTATTTCATCACATTCTTGAGATAACATATATAGTTGACGGCTAATCAAACCCTCTTTTCTCCTGAAGTTTGTTTTTTCAGTTAAGTATGAAGTGTCGTTGTTTCAGTAATCTTATAATTAATTAAAGACTAATTATAACTAAATATCCTCTATCAATTCATATGCTTTGACTCTTGTTCCCCCTCTGTAGTTACAAACAGTAGGCTTTGATTAATTGACCCGTCAAGTAGCGATATCCAGTCGTAATCAATGCTAATCTCGACTTAAACAAGGCAAAGGAAAGCCACCATCGTCACCACACATTATTGTTAGATAGGCTGAGTTCTTAACATGTTTTGTATTATCTAACGCAAAAAAGAAGCTACATGGTACAAATGCGACTAATATTCCGAATCGAGTTAATGATAAAAATACTATAATGTCATAAATAATCGTTCCTTTTTATTGTTTGATGAAACCAGTATCATAAGGAAAAAATCAACTTTATGACAAAACGTATTTTGAAGCAAAATTGGAAAGTTCTTAAAAGAACTTTGAAATTAAACATGTTTAGACTGGAACAATACAAAGATGCACCGTCTTTAAAAAGTCACCATATTACTATCTAAAAGTAAAATCGTGTGGGACTAAGCCCAAAACAGACAATATTGTACTTCTTAACCCTATATTTTGAAGTTAAATCATTGTGAGACCAGACTAAGCATAGCTAGCCTTGTACGTTTCCTCGAAAGGTAATATTGTTGACTGTAGTCATGATCGGTCCATAGTGTGATTAGTGTCACGTCAATGGAATTAAGAAACTCCACGTTGAAACCAAGGCTGTGAACTAGAATTAATCCTATACTTTCTAGAATTATATATTAACAAAAAAAGCTAATTCCAACAAGATGCTCCCTGGCCTTGGATAATAATATTTATTTTGTTCCCAATTTGCTACTTCTTCCATTATCAGAGTTTTTATTTATTTATAAAACCCATTATTAGAGTTAAGATAACGTTGATTAGGACATTAATTGACATGTGTAATTAAACTTTTCAATAATTAATCTTGTACGCATGGAAGTAGACGAACTTCAGGTGACAGCAACACCAAATTCACGAGTATATACTTAGGAGTCCTGAACCTGTTGAAATAGGATGGCATCACTATTTTCATACTAAGAACTCGATAGTATGGTTATTGTCATTAGGAGGAAGAAATCTGTAACTGTATGGGGTTTGATTGGTTTGGTGTAAATGGAAATCGGTATTATATAATCTCTTTTAATTGCGTGATATTTACATTTACATGTCATTTTGAGATGTATTTGCAGAAATACAATTTGGTCCAATATTGTATTTGCACAGTGAAAATGTTTCATAAAATTGGAAAGGACTTGTGGGACTCACTCAATTGCATAGGATGAGGTTTCAAAATAGTATTTACCTGAAGTATTTGAGATTGTTTGGTTAGCTAATGATATAAGATTTATTTTGAAATTTCTCTTAATTATTCTAGTTATTTGAGAATGATTAGCTCTTTATATTGCACCAGAGCTTATAATAATCAATATTTTTTTTTTTTTTGAATTCTCACGACATTGAATATGAACAGTTGATTCAAGTACAAGTTATAGTGGACCTATGCAAACACTAAGCTCATGAGTTGACTTTCATTTTAATGTGATATTTTTAATGAGAGTGATATCAATTTACTTTTATTGTTAGGTAATATCTAAAAATCCAAACATGAGACCTCCATATTAGATAAGCAATCATTCACAATTTTCGTAACCAAGTACAAAATTCGAACTGGACACAAAGAAAATTCTAAATTCCTAATTAAGTGTGTATATTTCCTTTTTCTCAAATACTTTAATTTAAAATGAATTCAATGAAAAAGTTTCTATTTATTAATTCTTTTGATTCTTCAAATTATTAAATTTAAGGTTAGCTTCGTGCAAATAATGGATAAATTATTATTCAAATTCAGACATATAAATATATTCATTATTCAATTATAAAAATAGGATGGATTACATTAAAATGCACTATTAATGTGTTTCTTTCTTTTCTAATCTATATTGAACTCATCATTATATAGTTTTAGTTTATATCTTTTTAAGTGAAAATGAGATGTATTACATTATGTTAATTTTTCAATTGTGAAAATGGAATGTGTTATACGACATTGAAATGCAATATTAGTTTATTCATTTCTTATCTAATTTATATTGATCTTTCATGCTCGAAACTTGTAGTGTAAATTTTTTTGAGTGACTTTAATCATCTTAAAATGTATATTTATCATTATAATAACAATATTTTTCTTTGCAAATTTTTTTTACAATGATAGACTGAGAAATTTGGCCCCTAAATTCCAATCATCACTCCTTCCCTGCAAAAAATGCATGTATTTGATTCAGATTTTTGAACTGATTTAAAAAAACTCTATAGAGGAATACATTAGACACGATATGTTAAAATTAAGTATATAACATAGCAGTATGTGCATAATCAATAGCATGTGGTTGATCATACAATCAACAATAATTTACTAACAAATATGTTGAATCAAATTTATAACAATACTGTCAATACACGAAACGAATAACATACCTGCTAGACAAATTATATCATAGATTCAGTGATTTACACACCTAACCCGCAACAAAAAACATTGTCAAATCATTCTACCGTATCTAGCATTATAACAACCATATCTTTTTTTTTTTCCTCATCAGCTCCATTAGTTGAAGAAATCAAAATCTAGCTAGCTAGCTAGCTTGCTACCAAGCAATTGGACAAATGAACTTTTCCCCACATAGGATTTCATTCATTCGTTATGGTACAAGAATTTCACAAACTAAAGGGTGGAGTATCTCTTGTGTTGCTGGCAACTCCAAAGACAAACAACGTTTATAAATTATAATAATATATATTCTATGTATTAGGTTTTTTTTCTTCTCTTTATTCCATAATTTAATTGTTTATCTTGTCTTAATTATTGGGGGCGAACCCAAGTATGGCTGGCTCGTAATTGTCACAGCTGTCTCCACTTCCTCATATTCTCTTCCAATTTTTTGGTTCTCGTACTTTTCCATAATTAATTATCAAGTAATATAAAATATCAATGTGTTTATTTTGTTAAAATAATTAGGATTAATGGAAATTATCATTCTTCGAAAAGTGACTTTTTTATGGGTATGTCTGTGATATCTTTGTTACAACTCCAAATTGTGGTGGTTTGGAGTCTCATAGACAAGTAATACTGTGGGTTAGTAGTAGGGGTCGATAACTCGATATCGACCGGTTAGTACGGTGAATCTATTATATTATATTTGTTTCATGTGGTTTACACTTTATAACAGTTAATCGGGCTATTTTATTAGTACCTTAATTTAAGGGTAGATGAATGCGTACACCAACGAAAAAATCATAGCTCTATAAATATGACATATGGACGTCAATCAGAGTACCAAACAGTTTCATTGTACACGTGGATCAATTTCAAGACTCGATGCATGTACTAACAACTTTCACCAAATCAAACTCCTGGCTCTTATATAATAACCCTAGTACTATAAAAAAAACTAACTTTCAGGTTTCTTATAAATAAACTCTAACTAATAAGGAATATGACTTTATAAGAAATTATATATTGATACTCATACTCTAACATATTTATCCTCCCAACAACGAGCTATTAACCTTATGATACAAGAATAACAAGATTGTGAGTTCAAAAAGATCAGTTCGAACGATACATATTTCTAATGGGTCAATCTCGTTAATATATGAGAAGCATAATAGACAATGGCAGAGTTTGTGTAGCCCAGAATATTAATGGACTCTAGCCTTTCTCAATTGTTGGTTTGAGGTTATTATAGGTGCAAAGTGTTGAACAAATATTTCTGTTAAAATTAACAAGATAATTGCATTCGATCGATTATAATGATTTAGGTTCTTACCAACTCAATCAAGGGCTAGATAGCATGACAAAAATTACCAACTCAACTAGTTATTTTCTACTCCGATCAACTAGCTAGGCACCCCATTATTTTTTTTATTTTAATTTATCTGAATTCATCCGAGATTTGTGGCCCCTAATTTTGGTTTTATCTGCTAAGGGTCGGGATAGATAGATAAATAAAATACCTTAAGACAGCAAGAAAAGGTTAATTTATATTTCACCCACCTTAATCATTGAGCAAATCTAATCTCCTTCATTATTAATAATTTCAATTCCATTTTCTTTCTTCTCCGCTGCTGTCTGCTGCTGTTTTCATCTTGGATTCGATTTTCTTCTAACTTTTCTCGCCTGTTAATTATTTTTCATAATTAATTATTCTTTTTGAATTATATTGATTAATTCATTATCTTATTGAGGGAGAGTAATCTTGGGTTAATTTTCATAATTAAATCTATCTTATTTTGGCCGGTAAACCATTTTCTAGTCTAAGATATTTCCAGTTGATAGTTAATTAACAATATTCTTCCAATCATTTGTTGTACGGTAATCTTAATTAATGTGGACCACATTTCGGATCTTAAATGTTTGGATGACATGTATCGTCAAACTCTTCCTTTGTTTTATGATAAATTATATTAGGGCTTATTGAAGTCAGTGATTTGTTCAATGTTTGTATTTGCATAAAATTAAATTAACACCAGAAGCATTGAAATTAAAAAGACCAAGTGAACATTCTATATTTTTAATGCTTAATACTAAAAAAAACAATGATTGCTTTCTCTCTTGGTTAGGCCGAATAAAATATTGATCACTATTTTCATTACGGGATCATTTGGATGTGGAAATTTTAAAACGTTAAAATTTGTCTGAATTTCCATGTTTTACAAAACCAAGGAATTAACTTGTGGAAATTGAAAAAAAAAATTCACATTTGGATAGGGTTTAGTTTTGTGAGAATTGATGGTGTGGAATTTGAAAAAAGAAGTAAGAAAACATGGTAATATCAAATTACTATGGGGAGGTGTAATATTCTCAATTACCATGAATGTGGTAATTGAAGCCAATTTCCATTGTCCAATTTCCATACCATTTTTGCTCTCCCAAACGTGGATTTTTAACCCAGTTACTGCATTATGTAGGAATCAAAGTTGATAATCGATACTCGCAATTTCATAGTCAAACATTGTTAGTTATCTTATTTAGTGATGTAACAACTTTTGAGTGAATTGACTTGACAACCTAATGTAGCCAACTAGAAAATGAGATGCAAGGAGGTAGAGGTGTTAAGAAATTAAGATAAGAAATTTAAGAATTAAGAACATAGAAAGATGTTGATAACTAGACCAGCATAAAAAAGCTGGATTGGATGGATTTTTCGTGTCATGGGCCCATTCAACGGCTGTCTCGTAATCCAATACCTGGATAATCACTTACTGGCCTTTGGGCCTAACAAAAGCCCAATGGAATGGTACCTAAGCCCGAAGCCTCGATCACCCACAACCATTTGTTTTCCTCCAGCCTCATAGCCCAGAGTCTTTAGCAGCCAATAGCCATCCGCCCATGGGCCTTCCCCGTGCCCATCTGCCCTGAAAATTTTGGTTCCCTGAGCGTTTCTCCAATTACCAAGGTTGTCAACCCAGGGCTGATCCGGACCTGGTCAAACTAGTAGGTCAAGGGTTAATGTGTCACTCGGTTTAACCCAAAAATATGAAAAGATTCATTATATTATACTTATCGTGATAAATTATATCAAATCTCATCTAACATATGAGTTATAACATATAATATTCCACCAAAATAACATGTCGTACTTAGATCCAACATATAGTGAAAATTCACACACTTATATAACATATATATTCAAATGTTCAACTTAGAATTCCAAAGATTGAGTTAGGCAAAAAGAAAAATCGGAAAATAGGCGCATTTCGCAAACCAAAGAAAAAAATGACACAATTTGACCTCCAACCCGGTACCTTGTAGCGGTCGACCCGACGGGTGCGTGCTACCCGTTTTTCTCATTGGGCCAGGGTCAAAGTGGGTCGACCCGCGGGTTGACAACCTTACCAATTACAAATGACAAATCAATTAGAATTCCATGTTGTGTTTGAGTATCAGTGATCCGATAAGAAAAACTGATTCTCGGAGTTGTAGTTTGTATAGAATATTCTCCCTGTGAAATGAATAAATCACAGCTTAATCACAAAATATCATATTATAAACTTTTTCAATACAACATTTGATTCGATTTTACAATAATTAATTTTATGTATATCAAACTAAATTTACGAGAACTATTTAGACCGGCACAATAACCCTGGTAGGACTAGCCACATTACAGAAAATAGTAATAAGCATTTATTTTTTAGTAGACTTAATTCAAAATCTACAAATTTCAGTTCCAATGTGTTTTATAAAATTGCAGGATATTAAAAATAATTATCCAAGATATGGAAATAAACAACACATTGAAATATGATGTAGAGGAGTTACACTTTTATTATTCCTCACTCTCGGATACATATTACACCAAGTTGAAGAGAACATAGAGAAAAAATAGTGGTTTTCGGTGTCTTCGTCACCAAGTTGCCTTCATATAGGCATGAATGCACGTGATGTGGATAGAGGTGGGCAACAGTTCGGTTCGGATTGGATCGAATCAAACTAAGGGGAAACCCGATCTTGTAGTGAAAGATATCTTATTAACAATGATCAGATTAATACTGCATTCGGTCGGATTTGGTCTGGTTTCAATATTAGTGCGGTCTATTTTTCTTCAGTATTATAAAATTTATGAGACCAAATACCGAATCATATTATATTCAATTCAGTGTGGTCAGGTGTGGACCAACCAATTGCCCTCCGTTAGATGTGAATACATTTTCCTCATTGATTGGTGGTAGGTAGGAAATTAGTTGTTGGGAAATGTACACGAAAAAATATTTCATCATATTTCCACTAGGACATTTCAGGTTCGAATCCCTTAAATAGCAAATGATTCTCTGTTACGTTTTTTGGCTACCGACTCGTTAAAAACCTTACTAAGAAAACACAATGGAAAAAAACCTTAGTTAAAGAAAATAGTGTGCCGTGCGTGAATTTGTGGAAGGTAGTTCAATAGACAAATACGTTGGATAATACATTGTTAACAAACTCATTAGTTTCACAACTCTCATGAAGTTCATGAGTAGTGGAAAGAAATTTTCATAGTACCATCAGAAAAAAAACATTGCAATATCGTCGTCATATAAAATCACTTGGATCAATATTTTCTTGATATGGGGGCAGCTCCAGTAATTTGAATTTGCCTTTCTTGTGGAAGCAATAGTACTTTCTGCAAACTGCAAGCAAGTTAGAGTTCCTGCATTGGGCAACCCTATTCACAACCTCTCATCTCTTATTCTCTCTTTTCACCGCTCCCTCCCTTTTTTTCCCCCATTAATGCGCCCTTCTCATCACATCGCGCGTCCATCTTTCTGCCCAGCAGATCACAACCAAGCGTCCGCCGTGAAAACCAGGTAATAGTCAACAATGGGTAGAGGTGGCTATACGGTTCGGTCCTGTTAAATTGAATCAAATTGATCCGGTCCCAGTTCGGTCTTTTCGGGAATATAAGGACCAAAGATTGGATTGGATACACTCCGATCTTGACCCGGTCCGGTCCCAATTATATTTTGATTTTAGATTGAGCTTGTGGGAATTTAAGTGTTAGGGTCTCTTATCCGGTCTTTATCCGGGTTTTTTTTACCTCAAATCTAAGCCCGAATATGAGATTGGATTGTTTGCTATCCGGTCCCAGTCCGGTCCCTGTCCGGGTTATACGGTCCGATTTCGGGTAAAACCAAACAGTCGTGGACCAAATTGCCAACCCTAACAATGGGTCAGCCACGAAATGGGTGAAAACGGTCAACAAGCTCCAACAGGCAGCGGTCTCGGCCCGCCTGAGCATCCCGAGCAGTTGGTCTTAAATGATGGCAAGGTGTTGCTAATGCTAGCTACCAACAATCTCACCTCAGGTAATCAAAATTCAAAACCTACAAATTAGATACATGAAGTCTCGTCCACGTCAATAGTTGCACTTTACTCAGTTACGTTGTGCAAGTCATGATTCAATCTTCATTTTAAAAGATCACGTTTATTTTCCTTGGTAAAGGGAAAAAAAAAAATAGGTACCACGATCCTCCAGGTAGTGAAGAGTACTATTGAAAAATAAAGTTTAATAAACAAAAAAAATGTAACATCGCAACTAGTTAGAGTTGTGAAGTGTGTGGAGTTATCTAGAGTGTGTATTAATGTGGGTGGTTATGGATTAAGAAAAGGAGAAAAAAAGAAGAACCACAAATGGATAGATATTTGTGGGGTTAAGTAGATGTGAAGTGGTAGTTAAGTGTGGCAAAGTATAAGTCACAAATTAGTGTTGGAACATGGCTATAAATAGCCATGGTTTGTGTATGGTTTCTTTATCCCAAGCAAAGCAAATAAGAAAGAAAGAAAGTAGTGTATTTATTAGGGTCGACCCACTGACCCGACCATTCCTGACCCGCCTCGACCCTATTTCTTTCATGACCCTGTCTGACCCTTTAGGGTCGGGGCGGGTCAGGTCAGTGGGTCGACCCTAATAAATACACTACTTTTCTAAAAATTACAATTTGATACCCAAATTTATATTTTATTACATTTTAGTACCTGAATTTTATTTTTTACAAATGAGTCCCAAAAATTTGATGGTAAAATTACGTTTTGGTGCCCAAATTTTTTTTTATTTATACAATTTAGTACCTAAACTTTTCAAATTTTGCAAATAGGTCCAGCGTGTTTGTATGATGCTAAGGGTCATAGGGTCAAAAAGTGACCCAACCCTAAATTGACCCGCCCTACCTAAACTGGCCCTATAGACAAATTGACTCAGCCCGACCTTGAGAGTCGGGGTGGATCAATGAATTTTAAGGGTCAAACTTACACCCCTAACCGTTATCTCCCCGTCTGTACCCAAGATCCAATTCGCCCGGTAGTGAATTGATGAAAGATAAGCAAGTCGGGCGAGAAATTGACCTACTAGACTATTTGCGCAGCGTTTTGCCCCTTCATCCACGATAGTTCTTGGAATCTGTAGCGATCCATTGACGTATCCAGTCTAGGACTGGCCGTCATCAGCCACTCCAGTAGTGAAAACCCTAGCACGCGAGAAATTTTTTCAGAGCATGGAGGGAAGATAGAGAAGGGCAGAGAGAGATTATGTGTTATACATATTCAACTTTAGCTCTTGTATATGAATATCTTTTAGTACATATGTGAAATGATAGAACAATTTTATTGCAAGTAGTAATAAGCTTCCTAACGTACAAGTACAACCTTAATTATTACTATACTTTATAGACGATAAGTATACATGACTAACTTGTTGCATTGAATAATGCATAGAAAGAATAAAAATACAAAACTAAAACACTATATCTATCATGGACTTTGTACAAAATTCATTGTTTGTTTCATGTATTTATGAGTAACAAATTCGTGGGTCCCACGAACTTTAAGGTTCCAAATCCATGGACCTGAAAGTTTCACCTCTTTAGGTGAGAATTGATCATGGACTTTGAAGTCCATCATTTAATACCAAACTATCCCTCTTATTTCATTTCTCTTCTCATAACAATGAGGGCAATAAATGTAAGGGGCCGTTTGCTTGTTGGATTTGAAAAATGAGGGTATTGAGCAGCAAAAAACCTTGGGATTCATGATGGATTTATAGTATTATGGATTTGAAAGTCTAGTGTTTGCATGATAGATTTGATAATATATTAATGATGGATTTGTCACATAAGCAACTAACAATTAAGGATTTACAAATCCCAAATAAATATGTGGAATTTACAAGTCCGTGAGGTCCACGGATTTGGTCCCAAAATAAAGACCAAATTCGTGAACCTCGGGATTTGACACTCATCAACAAACAATGGGCTTGTGTTAAATCCATCAAATTTGGGATTTCGATACCAAATCCGTGACCCAAATACAACAAGCAAACGATTTAAAGACACGTATCAGCTACAAACCAAAATACTCAATATAATAAAGACTGGTGAAAATGATGAAAAAGATGAATATACATAAGACCATATAGATATAATAAAGACTGAGTAGTTGCTACAATTACAAAACGACGAGTAGATCCTAGTGAGAGGTTAGGGCTAGAAATTATAAACAAAAACAAATGTTTAATAATAAAATTTGAAAGATACACAATTCAAAGAAATTCAAACGTTGTCATCTTCTCCCCGTCATCATAAATTCGTAATCATCCACTAGAACTTTAATTTACAGAAAATACCCATAAAACCCAAAATACCCATAAAGGACCCGACCCGAGAAACTCCAATAATGAAAACAACCAGTTATAACCATAGTTGAAAATCCCCTAATTAAACACAAGCTTAGGAAGCCGGCCACCATTAATTACTCATGATATTTCATCATTCATGACAAAATAACACGATTCATCTGCCTTTGGAATTAGCTGCCCGATTCCTTTGATGGAACGACCGTTCAACCCTAAGCTTCTGTGACTCCATAGTATCATTTGTATCATCGGTTTCATCCTCCTCGTCCATGTCATCTTCCATGTGGGAAACCTGTTTCGGTCGTTGCCCAGGTAAGTTTCCCTTGAGCCACTCCACCACCTCGGTCATAATGGGTCGGTTCTCTGGGTTGGCATCGGTGCAGCGGATTGCAACCATAACCGCCAGCTTCAGCTGCGACCGGTCGAACTTGCCCTTAAGTCTCGGGTCTGCTATATGGTCGATGGCACCCTTCTGAATATAAGGAGTGACCCACTGAATGATGTCACGCTTGACTCCACCAGGGAGTTTCTCTAAAGGGCGTTTGGCGCTGATGAGTTCGAGGAGGAGGATGCCGAAGCTGTAAACATCGCAGCTGTCGGAGACTTTGCCCCACATGGCGTACTCGGGAGCAAGGTAGCCGAGTGTGCCTTTCACTCGGGTGGTCATGTGGGTTACTCCATCGGGGATGAGCTTGGCAAAACCAAAGTCAGCAACTTTAGCTTGGAAGTCGATGTCGAGGAGGACGTTACTTGCTTTTATGTCCCTGTGAATTATGTGTGGGCTCGCTTCATGGTGCAAGTACCTGCATGCCAAAAAAATGAATTATGATCTCTAGCCGTGTAATTAAGCAGAGTTCGAGGTACATAATCTCTTTTAGATTATTGTTCACAAAAATATATGAACTCAAGGTATGGTAGATAAAATTGACAAAAAATCTACATACATCCTAAGGCACCGGTGAGTATTGTTTTTTTATTGTTGTGGTTGCAGTACAATCACAACATCATGAAAATGGAAAAGAAATTTTTGTTTAGTTAGTAAATAGTAACTCTTAAAAATTATGCAACGTAGAAATCAGAAACATAACCCACATTTTCTTTTTGTGAACCAATACTAATAGATTTTTTTAACTATATGATCTATAGGTCGATGAAGGTAAAAATATAATGTTAATTTGACTTCGATACAACTCGATTCCACTTAAATTAGATCCGGCCCTTAACAAATTCGACATATAAATAAATAAAATAAATTTTAAGCCCAATAGTACCAGATCTCATATCCAATTGAGTGGACACAATTATCATTATTAGCCCATTCTAAATTACACGTAACTCTACCGCGCGCTAGCTGGATAGAACCTATGATCAACAATATACTCCTCATCTCTCAAACATTGGAAATAACACTTACAAACTCAAATTATGACTTGTAATTTGTCAATTAAACTTAAATTATAACTTGTGACTTGTAATTCACTAATTTGTTTATGAAGAATACCAACTTGGTTTGGAAACGGGTGTTTGGCCTTGTTAGGGCTTTGGACGAGAGTGCCGTGATACCGAAACATTGTTGGCGTCGTCCCATTCCAATGTATCCTTTTACTTTCTTCCCTGCCATTCTTATATTTCGACAACGACGTCGGAAAGTTTCAATGGTGCTAACAACTAACAAGATGATGATGATGATGTTGATAATACTTCTTCAACTACTACTCTGAATCTAAATTATAACTAAAAACAGGCCAAATTATATAATTAGGAAATTGTTAATGACGATGATGATGATGGTGAAAGAGTACTACTCACGCTAGGCCTTCCGCTGACCCAATGGCTATGCTCATTCTTCTTGACCAATCGAGCAAACACTCGGCGGCGAGCGGGCCGTGGAGGTGGGTGATCAAGCTGTGATTCGGCATGTAATCGTACACGATCAGCCTCTCGTCGCCGCCGGCGTAAAACCCTCTTAGCCCCAGCAAGTTGTTGTGCCTCACCCTCCCTAGTATCTCCACTTCCACCGCAAACTCCATCTCCGCCTTCGCCGTCATCGCCTTCAGCCGCTTCACCGCTATCTGCACCCCCCACCCAAAATCCATCGAAAAAACAAACATTTGTTATTACTTGGTATAAGATCTTGAAATTTTCTAAACAATTTGAGTTATTGGAATCAACTGGGTTCTTTACATACTATTAGAGCTTTACGTAATCAAAAGTCTTTTTATTCAAATATCGGTAATTTATATTCATGAAACATCTCGTATTGAGAACATGTGCAAACGAAACCTCTTAATTACCTCGTCGCCTTTGGTAGTCCTGCCCCAATAAACACTTCCAAAACCGCCTTCTCCGATCTTGTTATCATTGTGGAAGCTGTTGGTGGCGTAGAGAAGCTCTTTTAGGGTGTATATATCCCAAGGGTAATCCTTCCCACTACTACCCACTAACCTAATTATTCATAAGATCAACATATATACAAAAGGGTAACAAATCAAGGCTACGAAAATGACATAGAGATTCAATTAATCCTATCTCTTACGATAGTTAATCAAAATAGTTTACCTGATGTTACTATTACCATCGGGCCGTCTGCTTTCTGGGAAGACGCAGCAGAAGCATCTCTGCATCATCTTCCACAGATTATGATGAAGATGGCGAGAAAAAAAGAAACTTTGAAAAGGAGATGACTTTTGGTAGTGTTTTGAGAGGAAGGGGAAAGAACAAAGGATGGAATATCAGAGCCAGATCATGAAGAAAAGATGGATGATGAAATGGGGGAAAGGTGGAAAGATGGATGAAACTTTTGGGCTCCTTTTTGTTTGGTTTGTGGAGAAATCTAAGTAGAGAGAGTGAGGGTATAAAGGTGGAGGGGACGAGGGGAGTTGTTTGAACAATTATGGTGAAAGACAAATTTGATGATGATGAAGTTATCTGTAATTAATTTCTTGATGAACGGTTGAAACGTTAATGCATTGTTTAGAGGGAAAGATCTCGTTTGGAAGATTGGTAATTATTATGATATTTGGTTTCCCCACGGCGGCAGAATCGTGAGCTAGAGAAAGGGACCCTATTTTTTTTCCTGCTTTGGCTTTGATTTCAGACTTGTCGATATTGTGAGTTAACAATTTTCTGCCTAATACACAGAAACAGAATATACACGGCTGCTCTAGGTACCCTCAATTGCTACTACTATATTTAATTAATGGGCATTCGAAAGAGGATCATAAGTGACCAAATATCAAATAGTTCAAGTTAGCAAATTTTTTTTTAATTAAAGATGATTGAGATTAATATCGATAAGAACAAAGAAAAGGGAGTATTACATGGCGTTGAAACACCGGAATGGAATTCCAAAGTAGAAAGAACATGTCAAAACATTCTTTCATTGGCTAAAAGCATTTAAATGTTTCAAGTCCAACTTCCCATTTAATTCTTGTCGGATTGTGGAACACATTTTGGTTTCTCGATTCATCACATTTCTTTCTAGCACTCTTGCTAATCAGTCTCTTACTAATGTTGCAAATTAGTCGAGTCTCTAATTTGAGCTTGAATCGTTAATAAATAAGTCGATAGCACGAGTTCGGCTTGTTTATTTAATTAAATTTTTTATTGTTATTGACTCGACCTCGATTCATTCATTAACTAGCGAGATCGAACGGCTAGACTTAAGATATCATATCATTTAGTTCAAACTTTTTAATTGTTCATATCATGTTACTTAATAGTAATTAGTATGTGAGCAATGTATGATACGTAATTTCTTTTTTAAATTATATATTAAGACATATTTGATCACGTATTCAAATTCTAAAACATCATATGTGATGAGATATATAATCTTGCAAATCAAATGAATTATCAATAAGACAATGATAAGCTATTACCCGATTCATTTGCTAATTAGTTGCTAGTTGAGATGGTTTGCTAGCTATACTGTCGAGTATAAGTTTTCTAAATTTGTTTTGAGTTTTTTTGTTTTGCATCTAAACGCCGGAGGTGATGGTGATGATTGTTGGGGAGTGATCAAAAGAAATAAGGAAGACGAAATTGTTAGGTTTAAAAATAGAAGGTATGTAAAATGTATGATTTCAAAATAGTTGACGTTTCAACTATTTGAAAATTTCTCATGACCAAAATCTCTAATTTTTGCAGTCCTTCCAAAAAATGTGGGATTGTGACAAAATCCACCACATAAATCCATCATCCAAATGATCCTTGATAATTTTTCCGTTAAAGTTAAACTCATGTATAGCAGTAAAAGTATGTATGGTGATGTGGTGTCCCATATAATGGATTGTAAAATAATGAAACTAACAATTGAAGATTTAATGTCAAAATTCATACTAAAAGTATGCTTGTTGATCTCCAATAATGGATTGTTGCCATTTTACAGTTAATACAATTTCAACAATGAGTTGAATTTGATTTCTTTTTCTTCTGTACTATGTAGTGTAAGTGATGTATAATAAAAAGCGACTTGGCTTGCTTGTGCGTGTACCTAAATTTTGGGTCGTGTGTGAGCTGGCACAAGACGAGCTCATCTCAGAGTCATTTATCTCGTGACGTGCTTACTGCTTAGTACAATAAATCAGTTTTCATATCATGTCATGCCAATTCATTTTCAAATGATGATAAAGGTTAGATTACAGGTAGTTTTGGATCAAAAGATTCACACGCGTGATTACTTCGTATATTTATTACTTACCATCTCCTTCCTCTCTCCAACTACGACCACTCTCTCACCCTCCTCCTCTTTCTCTCTATCTATCTATCTATCTATCTATCTATCCGGCGAGGAGCTGTCGTTGACTATTTCCTGCCATTGTGGCGGCGAGGAGGAGTCGGCCAAGGATTCCACCGCCCCGTCGCTCCACCCCCTTCATCACGCCGTCAAAACTAGCCGGTCAGATTCATAATCCTTCGGTCGATTCCATATATGGTTTTTTCGTATTGATATGTATTTTTTGTACTAGTATTATTTTTTTAGTGGTATTCTTTTACGCATTGGTATTGATTATCATGTGATGTTGTTGCTTTTTTTTGTTTTGATGTTATCGTATATGTATTGATCTTCATGTATTGGTATTGGTTAAATTTGCAATGATGTTGGTTAATAAGCGCTATATGTTGTTTTAGTGGTAATGTTTCTGTGTAGGCTCCATAGTAGTATTTTTATGATTTGATATTGATTTTTTGTTTTATTTCTGTAATGGTATTGGTATTCTTTAAAGTGGTAGTGTTTGTTTAATAGCTTGATATTAATTTTTTGTTTAATTTTTGTAGTGTGATTAATTCGCCAGAACAGAGACAAGGAAAAGATTGAGAAAATGAAGGCAAAGAGGTGGCTCGAAGTACAAGGTTGTCAACCCGTGGGTCGACCCACTTTGACCCTGACCCGTTGAGAAACACGAGCCGCACGCACCCGTCGGGTCGACCGCTACAAGGTATCGGTTGGAGGTAAAATTGTGTCATTTTTTTCTTTGGTTTGCGAGAGCGCCTATTTTCCGATTTTTGTTCCGCCTAACTCAATCTTTGGAATCCTTAGTTGAACATTTGAATATTGATCTTATATAAGTGTGTAAATTTTCACTATATATTGTATCTAAGTTGACATGTTACTTTGGTGTAATGCTATATGTTATTACTCATATGTTAGATGAGAGTTGATATAATTTATCAGGATAAGTACAATATAACATGGACCAGGAAACCGGATCGTACTGGCTGGTTCGACCGGTAAAACCGGAAACCGGACTAGAAACGAAACGGTAGCCATTTTGTGGCTGAATTATCGTATCGCCCGGTTTTTTCGGTTTAACCGGTCTAAAACGAAATATCGACCGATTTTGTTCTGACCGGCGACAGGCTATTTGAAATAAAACGCCGCTGTTCTATGCAACGAAAATTATGAAAAAAAAAAATGTCAAACTCTAAAATCCAAACTCTAATCCCTAATCAATTGCTCAAGAACACCGCCACGCCGAGTCTCCCTCCCCTGCTCAATTGTCCTTCGTCTTCTCTAGCTCAGTCCTGCCTCTAGCAACCGGCGACGGTGACGAGCTCGAGAAAGCCGTCGAGTCTCCCTCTTCTCTTCTAGGGTGGACCGCCCTTCTTCGTCTCCAACTCATCCCTGCCTCTGGCGACCGGCGAAAAGGACGAGCTCAAGAACGCCGCCGAGTCTCCAACTCCCTCGTTGGTGACGGCGGTTGCCATCTCAAATCAATTGCTGTCCGTTCTCCGCTGCTTGCCATTATTCCCTCCAGTCTCCTTAACATCGCCAAGATCTCTGCCCTCCCTCTCTACTTCCTAGTTCTTTGTTCGTAAATCCTAATGGAAGTTTTGTTTGAAGAGAGAAGCAAATTGGAATTTGTAAAATGGAGAGAGAGAGAGAGAGAGAGAGAGAGAGAGAGAGAGTGGAGAGACAGTACTATTGGAAATTGCAATGTGAATAGACTATAGAGTAGACGAAGGGTTTTCACTTTTCCTTTTCTAGTTGGAAAATTATTGCATGATACCTGAAATTATATTATATGTTTAGTCCCTACAATATGAAGTTATTCCATTATATACCTATAATTTTTATGTTGATATTTTATTATTTTATATCTGGTATATTTGATATTATTCCGGTTTTACTCCGGAACGGTACCATGTTTTGGCCGGTACGGTTTTTTGGAAAAAAAATTTATTATTACAAAAACGGTAATTACCGGTACGAAACGGTTGAACAACGGTCGTACCACAAAATACCCTACCAGAAACGAATCCGATATAACATCCGGTACGGTTTCCTGAACCATGCAATATAATGACTATTTCTATATTTCCGGGCTAAAACGAGTGACCCACTAACTCGACCGGGTACGGGTCAACCCGCGGGTTGACAACCTTGCGAAGTATGCAAAAGTGGGAGAGAGAAAATGTTAATTAATAAGCTTTTTAACTTTCTAATATAAACTTTATTAAAAAATAATTATATATTTTTTCATACCCAATTTTAAGAATGAATAAAAGAACCCGCAAACCGACCCACCCGTCCAACTTGAACCAACCCACCCGTATGTATCATCAAAATTAAAGTTTAAGGTTGGGTGAGGTTTTCTTTGTACAACCCGCCTCTATTGGGTTGGGTCCGGATTTTGGATAACGGAAGCCCGACCCAACCCGTGTTGAACTATTGTCATAAGTGTTCGTATACAACACATATTTGAGTCGTGAATAAACATATTTATGAGAAAATTAAGCTATATTATCATCAATGCAGTCAAAATCGCGTTTTAAAACTTACTATTTTACGCTTCTAGGTCACCAAAACGCTTTTGTTTCTATGTAAAAACTTTAGTGTATAAAATCAGACTAAATTACGCTTTAAAACTTAAGCTTTTACGCTTTTAGTTCACTAAAATGCTTTACATTTTTACGCTTTTACTTCACTGAATGGGTATTCTTTTCATGAATTTTTTTTTTTACAAAAGCTAATCATATATTGATTCATAAAACAAGTTACATCCTGGAATCCAGCCAATCATAAAAGCTAATCATGAAATTAATTATAAAAACTATATTTTAAAAATAAATCACCAAAAATATGATATGTTTGAGATTAAAAGATACATACCAGATACTTGAATGCATTTTGAACTTCAATAAAGTAATCTAATTCACCATCTAGACTCTTCTCAAATTCATTAGCATAGAGTGGAAGGTGGCTTCTTGATAAGATTTATGTTTATAAACTTATTATTAAGAGGCTATAAGTTGCTCTACTTTAGACATGAATTGCAAGTATTTATTAACTTATCTAAATTTTGTGCACACATATTTTACATAGTATATGTCGTACTTAACATATTTTTAGTTCTTTTACAGTATGCGTAAAAAACATACGCTTTTACGCTTTAATTCTATGCCTTTTCCGCTTCTAGGTAGAATCGCGCTTTTGACTGCATTGATTATCATAATTTTTTCTTTTAATTTCTCTAGTCTGATACATTGTTCAACTTAATATTGAGACGTAGATTTATTATAATCTATGATTCACATAATCTTTTTTCTTGTGTGTACACTTTTAGAAGAAGAATATATTATGAATATGTTACCTCATAACTACTTTAATTTAATTCGTCAAATATTTATGACAAAACATAGACATATATTGAATTAAATTGCATTTCATTAAAATCCAAACAATATTCACGCAAATTGAAACTTTTTGCCTCCATTTATTTGCTTAAAATCTTAATTAGTTATATAATATTTTTGCAATGTATAATAGTTGCCTTTTTTGTGTTGGGTTGAATATTTAATTAAATTTATCTCCATCCCACCCAACCCAATTATAAACAAAACGTATGGGTCGGGTGATTAAAATGGCCAAACCCGAACCACCCGACCCATGTACACCCTTAGCCAATTTGCAAGTAATCACCATAATCGCTCCAGATTAGATACCTTGTGACAGCGGATCCCATGACCAGGGAGGTCCTTAGTCACTTGATTAAGCTCCTCATAGCCCTTAGATCTGGACACACCAATCTAACGATTAAAAAGTGTGAAGGGATTTTTAATTAGTGACAAGGGTAATTTGAGTATTATGAAAAAATACGAAGTATACAAACCGGACTTACAAACAGTATAAACCATAAAAAAAATCAAACTACAATGACAAAACGTACAAACCGATTTACAAACAATACAAAATATACCAACTATACAAACAATACAAACTCGACCGACAAACAATATAAACCATACAAAATAAAAAAATAAAAACAACTTGGTTGACTTTGAAGGTTTTATCCCTATATAGATAGGTTTGTCCCAAAGTCAACCCGGTTGTTTTTTAGATATACAAACGTTACAAACATGGTGGATAAAAATGACAAACTAGATCGACATACCATAAAAATGGAAAAACAACCGGGCTGACTTTGGAGGCTTCATCTCTATATAGAGGAGTTTTGTCCAAAAATCAACCACGTTGTTTTTTGGACATCAAAACATTACAAACATTATTGTCAAAAATGGACGAAAATAACAAAGTTTACCAGCATTATAAAACTAATCGACAAACATTACAAAACATACTAACAATACAAATGCCACTACTTACAATACAAATCAGTAAACTTGTATAGTTGTATTACAAATCAATGAATACAAAGTATACAAATTACAAATCATGACATAAATTATACAAACTAGACAAACAAATATTACAAATTACAATACATACAAATTTGTCATATAAACATTACAAACATAATAAATAAAAATGACAAACTAGAATAATAAACGATACAAATCGTATTGATACAAAATTACAAACCAAACTCACAAGCATTACAAAATAGTCCCAATAAACACAACAAAACTGTGGTTGTCGCCAAAAAAACCCCATCGTCGGAAAATCCTCTCCGCCGCCGGAAAATCATTGATTCTCTCGCTCGTAATTTCCCCTGGCCAAAAAAAATCTCCATCCCCCGCCGGTAGTCTCTCTCGCGTAGGGAATTTCCTTGGCAAAAAAATCCCCTGCAGCCGCCGGGAGAATTCTCCAGTAGTGACCGGCTAGCGGGAGCGCGGGGAGAGACAGCGGCGCGGCAGTGGGCCATATATTTTTGTTTTAGTTTAATTATTAGATTAAATAAATTATGCAATTACTATCTTATCATTCATTAAAAAGATTAATTACAACCACCACCAGATTAAAACTTAAATGGATGCCTGATATGGGCTTAGTCACATGAGTAGGGACCTGATCTTACCTCATACCTTGTGGCTTGTGCCATGTTTGAGTTGGGTCTTGGTTGACTAATTAACTGACGGGCTCGTGACTCTTTCTTAAGGCTAATAATCGTAATTACTAATGGGCCGGATGAAGAAAAAAGAATTTGGGCTAAGAGGAGTCAAGGTCCGCCCAGCACTGTCAGGAGACATAAACAGTGTTTGGCAACTGGGAGTGAAAATTCGAGAGATAGACGCTCTGTTTGGCAACAAGGGGGTGTAAATTGCAGGGGAGGTGCAAGTTGAGGGGTAAATTGCTGGGATTGTAAGTGGAGGGGTAAATTGTTGTTTGGATGAAAAAGTAGAGGGTGCAAATAGTGTGAAAAGTAAGTAATTATATTATTTTAAAGTAGATTTTAAAATTTTAAAATAGATTTTAAGATTATAAAATAGATTTTAAAATTTTAAATGTTATCATAAAATAATAAAATAAATATTACTATATAATAATAAATATACTTTACTAAAAATAGTTATTATATAATAATGCTCAAATAATAATTAATTATAAAAATTGTAATAATCATTGATCGAGCGATCTCAAAACTCGAAGCTCAACTCGTAGCTGGTCATCCTATATAGGGTTTTCGTGTCTAGTTTAATCTTAAATTGTCAAACTTAGTCAAACACGTTTGAATTTGTAAGTTTTAACTATTTAGTCAAATAAACTGAGTTAACCAAACAATTTCTCTCTATCTTTTCCACAAACACCTCGTATCTCTAATTTTCAATGCAAATTCGATTCAACCAAGAGATCTAGATTTGACTTGACGAACATTGATAAACTTGTTTCCAGAGTCAAATGGTCAACCCTGAATAATGTTTACATTAATGATATTTATAAAAAGAAGAAATTGATAATATTAATTAGTATATAATTATATATAACACAATTAGAAAAATAAAATTCCATAATTCCCCCTCCCCCTCTCTTCCTTCCTTCCCTTGCACCCCAATTCGGGGGGTAAGCCGAAACAGTAAATTTGCACTCCCGTTTTGCACCACCCTACTGTTCCAAATTAACCAAATAGGTGCAAATGTGTTGGAAACTGTGTTTACCCCTCACATTTGTACCCTCCTCCCATTTACCCCTCTTCCCAAACAGAGTGAGAAAGTTGAGAGACAAAGTGTAAGGGTGTAAATTGGTGAGGAAAGGTTGTCAATCCGAGGATTGGCTCACCAGTTGATCCGGAATTTGTGAGAAAATGAGAGTGTAGATTTTAGAGTAGGGTACTTAAGTTTTTATTTATTTATTTTGTATGGTGAAAATTTCAAGTTTTACCACAAAAGAAAATATGTTCAAATGTTTAAAAAAAAGGTCAAAGTGTTTGTCTTAATTAATTATTACGACATAAATAAGAATAACGAAAAAAGTATGTAAATAACATGATGAAATCTACATTTAACTATATTAGGACAAAAAAAAAAACTAAAGAGTTGGGATTCGGCACTTTTCACCTTCGATCAAAATCACTTTTATGGTGTTAATTAGATATCAAATTTAGCTTCAAAATTTGGCATTCTAGTATTTTTCATTGGAGATGGTTTTAGCTAGGAGAAGCCCTTTGACATTATCATTTAGGACAGAATGTTTGACTATGGTCATGACTCATGTGGGTTCAATTGCATTTTGTCATATATTTGATGGTGGGGGATCTCTTGGTCTTGGAAGCAAATTAAACAGTGGGTTTCGGTTGGTCCCAGATTCCGTTTTAGGATTACATTTGTTTAACTAGCTGGGAGGCATGGGAGGGACAACCATTCAGGGAAAAAATAATTGGATTTGGTAGTTAGAAGAGATCTATACGTACGTCTGAAAATAATAATAATAATAATAATAATAATAATAATAATAATGGAACTTTGCTACGGTGACATGCATGTCACGTTGACATGCACTTTTCGGTCGACCTTATATAGAATTAGGTCGACCTAATTTATTGTTTCAGTGTAAAAGTAGTTTCATGGTGCTTACTTTGGAGATTCATATCATACAATTGGCTAGATGAAAATTGGAGATTAATGTCTTGTCTTGAAGCTGAAGTGTCCCTCTACACATTAAAGTACTTGGGGGGTCGATAGGAAGTCCAGAAGACCATTTTTGTACCTGATCAAAAAGCTATGCCAAAACTGAGAAACTGCCTGAAAATGACCAAGTCTGGGAACGTGTTTGTGAAGCCTACTTTGGAGCTCAATTTGAGAAGCATGGATGTGATTCGAGTCCAGGAGCCTCTACCACGTTAAATTAGATATGTTTTTCTACAAAGGAAATGCATTGGATGAAATATTGGATATCGTTAAGGCTTCAAACAAAAGGCTCGAAGTTGTTACGAAGGCTGTTTTTCTAGCATCTTGCTTGTACTCGAAGTCTGCCAGAAAAACGGCCTTCGTAGCAACTTCGACCCTTTTGTTTGAAGCCTTATAGATATCCAATATTTCATTCAATGCCTTGAATTAGTATAAACCGGGTTGACAACCTTGATACACACTATATATCATAGGTAGGATCAAGGGTGATCTAGCCACTCTTTGAATTGATTTAAGTTAATGAAAATCCTTATATTAATTTAAACGATTTAATCAGTTGTTGATGTAGGTATAGGCATATTAAACGATTCATAATGAAAATCCATATAAATTTATTGTATAAATCTTTTATTTTTATTTTTAAGCTCAATTATAATGCAGCTGAGTCAAAGGTCAAAGCTCAACTATAATCATTTTTTCATTTTTTTGTACTGGGCTTACATAATCATGGAGAGAGAAAAGCTCATTAAATATGTAATCATCATGACGACGTCTAAATCAAATATTGATTTCTGCTCTTAGGGTTGTTCATAGTATAGCACTTAGACTAACTCCAACCCATAAAGGGGAATTTAGCTCCCCAAATGGCCAAATATGGCTTTTTAGCTCCCCAAACCCACTTTTCACTCCAACCCTATAAAAAGCTAAATTTAGCTTCCCATTTCCATTTTTCAATTTATTTCAATAAACCATACTTATTTGACCTCTTATTTTTATATTTCACTTTAATTTTTTCATAACTCGTTATTAGTTTTGAATACAAATTTTTCGATGTCATTTTTTTTAAATTCCGAGATAATTTTTTTTTTCAAAAATTAGTCGTTAAAATATTACCGTTAAAACTTCGGGACCACTCCAAATATGACCGTTTTTTTGTATCCGTTACTTTACGACCGTTTTTTTGTCATTTTTTGCACCAAATGTCTTTATAAATGACAGTTCTTCATTTCATCAACTCAACTAAAACTTCTTCCCATTTCTAAAACAAACACATTCATCATGAGTATCTCAGATAGCTCATCGTCTGGAGAAGAAGAAAACGAAGAGTACGAAAGGTTTCACCACCTACGTTTGAGTTTGATCGGTCGGAGGCTGGCTGAAGGTGCATCAAGTCGCCGTCAAACTACAAGCCGACGTCACATTGATCGTGAGAGGGTCGAATGTAATCGACGTCTTATGAGGGATTACTTCGATCCAAATCCAGTATACAATGCTCGCATATTCAGAAGGCGCTATCGGATGCAGCCAAGATTATTCCATCGCATTATGGGCGACATTGTGAGGTTTGACCCCCCATCTTCTGATATCGACACCCAAGCTCTGCACAAGATTTCATCTTCATTCGGACGCCAATTAGGTCCTCTCTTGCCTGTCATATTTCTATTTTGAGAGACGATAACAATTGAATTTTGAGAGAATGCGATTTATGCTCTGAGAATGAGTGAAGAGAAATCTATGAAGAGTGCTGTAATATATAAGAAAAAATATGGCCGTTAAAATATGACCGTTTTTTATGGCCATTAAAATATGACCGTTTTTTCGTCACTACATCAATTATTTCAAATTGAATCACAAACAACCAATGAGAATAGAGAAAAAAAATCCAAAACAAATTGGCAAAACAAATTCCCTCACTACAAAAGTTAAAAGAAAAAAAGAAAAAAAAAGTAACAGCACGTCAGCTGCGGAGAAGGGCGCCGGACGCGCGCCTGGGGCGCACGTGCGCGGAGGAAGACCTTGCCCCGCGCGCGTGCGCCCCAGGCGCGCGTCCGGCGCCCTTCTCAGCATCTGACAAACAAACCCACTTTTTGGCAGCCAAATATCACTCCCCACCCCAAAACCCAGCCAAATTTCCCTTCCAAAATCCCAATACCCATTTTTTGCTTCCCATTTTTTTGTGGGTTGGAGCTTGAAAAAGAGCTAAATTTGGCTTTTTTAGCATTTTAGCTCCTTGGGTTGGAGCCAGCCTTAAAGCCCTTAATTTGTTGTTTATGCAATTTTTTGGTTTTGATTTCTGCGCTTAGCTGTCTTTGTTGTGAATTGTAATATATGTGATTTTTTTGAAAAAAAAATAATATATAGGAATAGAGAGTGCAAACAAATAGTCAGCTTGGCACCCTAGAACATCATGAGGAATATTATTCTCTCCAGAGAGCAAAATGTTGAATCGCTGTTGACAATGATCCATTCTCTCTCTCTCTTATGCACATCATCAACGTGCATGGAGATGCTCCCACAATCCACAAATCCAGAGAAAACAACACATCTTAGCAGAATCAACATGATAAGTAACTTTTGAATTTGCACAACACCTGGAAGTTCCCCTTCTAGTCACAACTCATAATTAGGAGGAACATGCCATAAAGTTAATTTGGCCTGTAAGTATGATGTAACACGTCCCAAACCTAAATTATGATCCATTCTAGTCACAACTCATAATTAGGAGGAACATGCCATAAAGTTAATTTGGCCTGTAAGTATGACGTAACACGACCCAAACCTAAATTATGATCCACGAATACGTATGAGTCCAACTTGATCGCAAAACACTATCAAGGGCGTGTCTCAAACCTTTATCTATAAATTGGGACAAGGCCTTTCAAATAGGTGCTCTCTCCTTTTCGTTCAATTGTGACATATCACTTATCTCTCTATTCTCTCTATTGTATACTCTTAATCTTCTTCTTTACTGCAAAATTAATAATGATAGTCGGAGTGTGGAAATCGAGAGCCACCCTGTCTTCCACGAGTCTGAACTAATGGTGATCGAGTGGGTGTTTTTTGGCAGAAACCGGAAATGCTGGATACCGGACCCCAAATGGTAAGCGATTTTAGCAGGTATAAAATGGTAAATCACAGTTTTAGTACAAAATACCCTATCACTACTTTTCCCAGTATAACTTTCGGTACGGTTTCACTTAATGAATCAAGAAGATGAGAAAGGTGGGGCTGACTATTGGAAAGGTATATAAAGGCAAGTCTTGCAGAAGCTGCTTAAAAGTCAAAACCTAGATAACACATTTCGCTTACATGCCAGCAAAGATGAACGTTGAGATTGTAAAGCAAAGGATATATAGTCTCATATTCTCCTATCATCCAAGGCAAACAATGGCGAGCAGCTGTCACGAATGCACCACCACTAATCAGATTGCTCAAGGAACTCCTCGATCCTACTCAAAGTGCAGGAAAGGCTGAGTGTTTCCTATAATGGCCTGCTAAACACTGCTGCAGCTGCAGCATTACTATTTACTACTACTTACTTATCACATAATCAAAATGATCGAAGACATTAATATAACTAACAGGAACCAGTTAACAAGTAAATCGAAATGAATTGAAGCTCATAATGCAGGAATCTTCCAGCCCAGCAATACCCTTTATTTAAGTGAGTCAGCTATAGCTAGGAGGGAAGGATAATAATAGGGAAGATCAGATCATTGTGAGCTGGCAATATATATTTTTCCAGTACAGATACGCATATAATTGATCATCAGGATACTGCAGATCGCCTTTATGATCCACATTATTCACTGGACAATATAATTCAAACACATGTGTATAAAGTAGTACACCATAGCTAGAAATGTATATGCATGTACCTCTTTTGTTTTGCCGGTTGGTGGAACTGCACACCTTAATTAATGAAATGAAACCCCAGCCATATATGCACCATCAATATCCCATCCTCTTACTTACCTTTACAACTAACTAGCCATAACCTCTAATCTATCACTGGAATAATTGCTTCACATTTCCTTTCACTTGGAACTAAAGAAAACAAACTTAATTAGCTAGCATCCTGAATTTACATCATTGTGTATTAATTCATCAGTAACTCACAGTACAAAAGCCAGTAAAAAAGACATATGGAAAATGAAATGAAGATTTTGGTCTGGTCACCACCAAAATCTTTACCACCCTTATTAACTATACTCTCTCCAATCCACCCTATTAAATGTATGATATAGTGCCATCATGTAAAGAAAAATCGATAAAATTCAACAGAATGATAGTCATCATGATTTGATCTCCAATCTTCCGCGGTTATAATTAAAAACAGTTAGATGTATGAGAAATAATATTATTGGTGTTTTCCCCCACATTTAAAGATATCTAAACCACAAATGGAACCATAGCTAGCATTAACCTCAAGAATGTTCAGCCAAGAAGGAAATTAAAGATATCATAAGAAGAAAAAAAGCTCTAAATCAACTACCATGCACATCTGAAACTGTAAGGAAGTGGTTAAGTATCATATATGGGCCTGTATAGGATCCAGTAAACCTTCTCCCAACAACTCGAGTTATTGGGACCAACTGGTTTATGACATGCTCGAGTTATTGGGACCAACTGATTTATGACAGAAACCATGTAAAAAAGTACTATATATGCATCTAGTTAACTAACAAGGGAACACCAAGCAAGGTAATCAATCATGTATTTCGTCCCACCTCAGGAAATCAAAACTAGAATGTGATTAAATGGTTATCGTACGTGTTAATGCTGAATCAATCCCACTTTGTCACCCAAAAAAAAAAACTGAAACTAATGATCAAGGATTAAGTTAATCTAGCTAAGCTTGGTGGTTAGGAAAGGGAAACTAATAGTTGGATCACCACCATTGTTAACTCATGATGCGCACTAAATAACCAAACCCCCCAACAGGAGACCATCAACCATCGCTAATTAATCCCTACATGATCATCAAACTAATCAAACATCGTGATCATCAAACCGAAACTAATGATCAAGGATTAAGTTAATCCTCATCAGCTTCTGCTGCAGCGCACGTGTGTCGAAGCTTGTCTGTTCCTGATCAACCTGCGACCAAAAACAAAACCAACACCCCCCAAAACATTTTCACCAATTCGTTTCTTCCTTTACTAGAAACCCTAAATTCAACAATAATAATCACCTCAACAAGGAGCGTGTGGAAGCTTTTCCGGTTTACTACGGTGGAGACGCAGTTGACAACCGAAACCCCTTCCTCTACCAACAACCGCATCACCCTCGACAGCCGCAAGCCGCAGCCACCGCCGCCACCCTCCTCCTCCGCCAGCACGATCTCCAACCCGCCCAAACACCGCCGGACCTCCACCGTCGGATGCCCACCGCTTGGCCTCGCAGTGACGGAAGCGGTAGTAGTACTACTCGAGCCAATATTATTGGTCAACGTAGTAGTATTCTTCTTCTTCTTCCTCCTCAAAATCACGAGCTGGTTTTTTTGGGCGTCGAGGTCTTGGATCCTCCGTTGCAAGTGCTTTATGTAATTCACCGCCTCGTTCATGTGATCCGACATCGATCTCCTTCCCTGCAAAATACGTACATCCAAAATATATATATATATATACTAATTAAAACCCACAAATTCTACGAGGAAGAAAGAACTCAAGTAAAGGGTTATTGAGAGTTGACCTTGATGAACTTGAGAGGGAGGAGGAAACGAAGGGAAGCGTAGAGGGTGGACATTTCTTGCCGCCGTTGCCTCTCGATTTCTCTGTGCATCACTTTCTTCTCATGCTCCTGGCCGCCGCCGTCCTTAGCTGCACCGCCGCTAATACTATTCTCCATGACGGCAGGATTAGAAGCCGGCTTCTTCCGTCGCCGTGGAGCTGGAGCTGGAGCATGATAAGTATGGTGAGGGTTAGGTATAGGAGTAGGAGGAGTGGTGTTGGTGGGGAGAATCAGATGTTGAGGATTTGGTGATGAGGAGGAGGAGATCTGGAAGCACAGCTCATTGCCTTGGTATAAAGGAAACATCGGCTGCTCAACCAAGACTTTTTTGACCTTGTGTTTTTGTTAGCCGAAAAAGAAGAAGGGTGTATTCACTGTACTTGTTTTTTTCAGATGGGAAGAAAGGGTTAGGGCGGGGGACAGCAATGGAGGGGAATATATGGGATACGGTGGTTAGGGTATTGTGATCTTCTCCATCATTGTAAGCACAATTTCTTAATGTGCCAAGATGCTCCCCCCACCCTTCTAATATATAAGAAATAAAAGGAAATCAAAAGCTATTAGGGTATTGTGATGTTCTTGCATCAATTTTTTTTATTATTTATTAAATTGATCTTCAGATTTTGGTTTTAGAGAATCGAAATATGGCGCGGGGTTTAGTGGGCGCATGTATCTCGATACACATACCGACATCAAACGCGGCGGGTAAGGTCAGGTAATACACGGGCGGGCGGGGTACATGTTGGAGCAGGTCGATCCGTTCTTATATATCATTGGAAGGTAAACGTTTAGTTTTTAGTGATAAATAAAAGAAAATGAGTTATTGGATAAATAATATATACATATAGTTCAGGCTACCTTACGCCCGTTGAGTTTTGCTATTTGGATCATGAATTAACCGGAATTGGATGCATGACACTATACCCTAACCTTTAATCCCCCCCCCCCCCCCAACCACACACCATCCCAACACTACTATGGGTCGGGTATTATCGGCTGCAGCGTAGGACATATTCGGGTAATAACCATCAAATTGAGTTCAAATTGTCATCACTACTGAAGTTTGTCTATTAAATGTTAGGATATAATTTCATACCCAAAATCGGTTTAATTCATTAACTGAATTGAGATATCTACCTGAAAGTAGGGCTGCAAATGAGCCAAGCCGCTCACGAGCAACTCGGCGTTCGAATCGGAAAAAACTCGTTCGACACTCGACTCGTTATTTAACAAGCCGGCTCGCGAGCCAACTCGTTAGTTAACGAGCCAAGCCTGAGCTAGACCATGCTCAGCTTGATAAGCTCGCGAGCTAGCTTGATTCGGTGGCTTGTCGAGCTAAGCTCGCGAGCTGCCTTGTTTTGAGCTTGTGGAAGGATGAATTACTCTTTTAAACATGAACATTGTCTTATAATACAGATGTGTATGAAATTTAGATGTTATTTCTAGTTTCTAGTGTTCTTTCTATCATTTAAATTCTTATGTTTATACATTTTTCCAGCAAAAATGATTTTAAATCGAGCTCATCTTGAGCCGAGCTTGTACTCAGCTTAACAAGCTATGTTAATGAGCATTTATCGAGCTCTACCGAGTCGAGCTTGAGCTAGATTATTTTTATTCAAGCCGAGCTCGAGCTCGAGCTGGATTATCAAAATTCGAGTTCGAGCCGAGCTCGAGCTGAAAAATTAATAAACGAGCCGAGCTCAAGCTAAGCAAAAACTCGACTCGACTCGGCTCGTTTGCAGCCCTACCTGAAAGTAATGGTATACTTGAGCTTTATTCCTCTATTTTGGTAATTTGAAGGGTTAATTGTGGTGAGAGGAGGAAGAGAGTAGGTGGTGGACTCACTCTCACAGCCCTTTGTTAATATTAAATCTCTGCCTCCACTTACTTTCCCATTCGAGATTACATTACACAAGCACAGAGCTCCAATAATGTTGTTATGTTGGCTCATCTTCACCGTCCATCATCTGATCAAGTAAACTCAATGTAGATGACCACGGCTCTTTAATTGGTTTTGTTGTTAACTTAAGTTATTAATTAAGATTTTTGAAATTTTATGTAATTGTGATCACTCCATTACGATGATAGTTGATAGTACGAAATCGATGATGTGCGACTGAGACATAATAATTCGTACACATGAGAGGAAATAATAATTGGTCGACAAATGAGCCGTAACATATGACTTCGGTTCACACTTAGCCGCAACATTATTCCTTTTCCTCATGTCTGGATTCGGTCGACAAATTGTGATCACCCCAGTTTGTATATTTTTATCATATATTCAGCAATCGACAGTAAACTTATCTGCCACGATTAAAAAGGTCAATTATCAGTTACTAACTTTTCATTCAAAATATTGAAAACAATCGTTAATGAGTCGAAAAAATAGATTAGATTGTTTGAAAAACTGTGAATCAAGTCGGATCGCATAATTTGGTAGGCACCGTAGACTGTTAAGAATGCTTTGGTTTAGTTAGTGGTTCGTATTATATGTGGTGTTTTGATATTATGGTCTGATCTGGCCTGGTTCAGACCACTATTTAATTTATCGAACCAGAGTATGGACTTAACCCACTATCAAAATTTGTGTTAGCAGCCCACTCGATCACTCTGCCTAACGAAATCCAAGTTTGTAATTTTTGTGAATCTTGTCCCTTCCTTTCACAAACCACACTCTATCGGAGAGAAGAAGTTGGGTTGCTCTAACTTTGTACATTTGTCATTGAGTTGGATTTCGGATGTTAAAAATTGTGTATGCATTTTGGAAATAGTATGGACAGAGTAGTTAATTATTCTTCGAGATGTAGCGAGGTGGCAATTTATATCCAATTTATCAATTCATTCATTAAAATATCCAATTCAATTCATAAAATCCAAATCCAATTGGATTGGTGGGGATTCGTGAATTAGTGGCAAATAATACTTTAGTACCTCTATCTTTTATATTTTACAATTTGCTACCTTAATTTTATTTTTTAACAAAAAGTATTATTATAAAATTATATTTTGGTACCTAACTTCTTACTATCACATTTTATAGTACATAAACTTTTCTAAATTATACTGCTCCAATGTTAGATATCACTTGGATCCATCATCCAAACCACCAATCCATTTGATCCAGTATATGAATCCACCAATCTATGTGTTTCATGAATCCACCAATCTATGAATCCAATACATCCATCATCTGCCTGCGCTTCAAAAAAAAAAACACTCAGTTGCTTGAGTAATCCTATAAACGAGTACAAAACGCTCAATCATGCTTATGGGTTGTCCTAATTACTGATGTTAGCCACTTCCTTCTTTATGGGAATGAGAGGCGCTTGAAAACAAGTGTTAGCCAATAGCCACATGACACGAAGCAAATCTATATATATACTGAAATATTACTATATTAGCGACTAGTTGGTTAACTATTACAATTTAATGACTATTCTGCGGCGGCAGACGGCAGCGTTTGCCCTTTCTCCCTTCGATTCAGTTAAGCTTCTTAGCTTTAAAAAGACATCCAAATCCCAAATAAACCACACCATAGATTGGTGGCCCGCAACATAATTACGCATATTAAGACACTAACCAGAGCCAGCTATCTTAATGTGTCACACATATCATTATCAATGTTGTTTATTAACTAGCTAATCTATTTTTCCACGTTGATATGATGTCATGAGTTACGTAAGCTTTGATATTATTATACACCTATATCGACAAGCTATCTAGCTGTGTTGTGGGATGTGCTGACTTTGGTTGATGTTGATTGCAAGTAAATAGAGACCAAAACCCCACAAGCCAAGGCCACAACAAAATCTATTCCGCTCTACTTTTCAATTCAATTCACTTCTTTAATGTTTGTCCAAAAATAATTCACCTCATGGATGAGATGATGATTATTATTATGCTTCTTTTATGTAATGCAGGCAGCGGCGGATTCAGGACATAGTAGAGCACTAGGCCGCATTCATTAGAAAATTAGATACCGTAAAAAATTATAATTTTTTTACAATATCAAATGTACACGTCTATCTTTAATATAGTGAATTCATTAATAAATGAGTCTACATCCATACTAATCGCATACTACTCTTTTTCAAATAAAATAGTTAACCAATCGGCGAGAAATTCATTGCTCATTTTGTTGCGCAAATCATTTTTCACTTGTTCCGTTGATGAAAAGGTTCTCTCCATAGTAGCTGTTGAAACGGACAATGTCAACACTAGACAAATCAATCGACTAATCAATTTGTATTGTGTATCCATCCTTATTTTCACCACCTGCTCTAGTGATTTTTCAAGTAAACAAATCTCATATTTCTTTTAGCCTTTTACGTTTTATACTTTTAGGTTTCATTGTTTGTTTTTCTTTAGACGAGACTCATTTGAGTTAGAATTTCTTAACTAAATTTGGAGTTATGATTTTAATATGTTCATCTTACCATTTTCCTAATTACACACAATTGTATTATCAAAATAACACGGGGCCGAATGACTAAAATCGATAAACGCATAAGGGCTATACTAGTTCCTGATCCAGAGGAGGGCTGGGCCATGGTCCGGGGTGGCCACCCCCTGAATCCGCCACTGAATGTAGGGGTGGTTTGGTTTTGGTGATTGTTTGGTGGGGATAGTTATAATGCATGTATTGTTCACAATGCATTGTTTTTTTGAATTTTCTGCACAAACAATACATGCATTGTTTGCTTGATTTGACACAAACTATCACTCAAAATGAGTGATAGTTAAATCTCAAGTTTTTTGTGAGATTGTTGTGATTGTTTGGTTATTTTTTTCTTCCAACTATGTCCCTACCTTTCCATGTGTGTTACTTTTTTATACTAAAAGCAAAGGGTAAAAGTGACATTTCATCCTAAAAGTAGTATAACTTGTTTAAATACTACGATAACTATCGCAAAAACAAAATGATGTAAACTATAATACACCAATTTTCTTATATACATGCATTGATGACAATCCACCAATTTAACTATCACCAAAACCAAACGACCCCGTAAACTCTTGAAATTTTCTTAATATTTTTTCGGTAATGCAAAGAGTTTTCTGAAATTTAGAGTGACGAGCTTTCCATACAAAATAATAATCTAATTTTGATGTTTTCTTTCAATTTGGTGATGAAAATCGACTTTTGGCGCATTTTATCACACAAAACAATAAATGGTTTGTCAAGAGTTTAACTCTCTTCTTAGAAGCAGTTGTGAAATTATACGGTATCGACAGTTCGAACGTAAAGATATCCTACCAGTAAGGATTTTTAGCAGTATGAAACGGTTGAACTACGATCAAACCACAATTTTCAATACAAAATATCATATTACTAACATTTTCAGTACAACCTCCAATACGATTTGGCAATCCTTACTCTATAACATCTATAGCAGGTGGAAAAAGAAAGAAAAAAAAGAGTATTCATTGCTGGCAATGGAGGGAGAAAGGCAAAAGAAGGAACAAGAGAAATTGAGGGGAAGAGAAAAAGGGCAAAGAGGAAGAAAAAAAAAAGGGACAACCAAATTTTGTGGTTAAGTAAATACTTCTATTTGAAGTTGTGGAGGCAAATGGATAGCCCTGAAGTTGGATATGGAAAAATAGTATCATTGCGTTGAGTTGGGTTGTCTTTTTGCCGTAATGGAGCCATTTGGGGTATGGCCCTGAATGGTTGACATGGATCAAAGCTTGTGTGACGATAGTGTCGTTTTTTGTTATACTGAATGGTTCATCTCACGACTATTTTCGACCTCAACAAGGAATTCGTCAAGAAAATCTAATGTCCCTATTCATTTTGCTACATATACAAAAGCTTTCTCGATCTTGCTCTCCAATTCACTCGGATCACAGCAACTCCATGGCCTGAAGATTCATCGGCATATTTCCCCCACCACCTAGCATCTATTCTTTGTCGATGATTCATATCTTTTTCTGAGGGCCTCTTCTACAAAATGCAATCATCTTTTCCAACTTTTGAGTTTGAATGAGGCGGCTGGTGGACAAAAGGTTAACCTGCAGAAATCCACAGTTTGTTTTAGTTCTATTATTTCTAATCGGGAAGCTCAGGAGTTGGCAACCCTTTTGGGAGTCTCATCAATTGAAAATCTTGATAAATACCTCGGTTTTCTAGCGCATATTCCGAGTTCTAAGGTTCTCACCTTCCAATTTGTCGAGGATGCATTAACTGCCTGCATTCAGAGTTGGCAGTCTAAAGCTCTCTCCTTGGCAACAAAAGAAGTGATGATCAAAGCTATTGGCTCGACGACTCTAGTCTACACGATGTTCTCCTTCAGAATTCCATCTGCTAGCTGTTGTCGATTGAATAGTTAATTAGCGCAATTTTGGTGGGCTGGCCAGGACAAAGATGACGGGAAGCATTTGATTTCTTGGCCAGCTATAGGTGTCCGTAATTTCATGGAAGGTTGGGATTCCGTGATTTTGACTTTGTTATGTGGCCATGTTGGCTAAACAACCTTGGAAGGTTTTGATATCCACTAATTCCACTCTAGCTCGTATGTACAATGCGAGCTATCATCCCCAATGTGACTTTCTAAATGCACCAGCGGGTAACCGACCTTCTTTAGCTTGGCATAGAGTACTTAAAAGTTGAAGTTACTTAAAAATGGGCTTAGATGGCAAGTTGGATGCAAGACAACCATAATCACTCTTGCAGATCCTTGGTTACCATCTTCTCCTCCTTCTTCACCAGTTCTTTTACAGGGTGTCTCGGTGGCGAACCCTTATGTGGCGTCTCTAATTCATTCGCTCACCCGTACATAGAATGGTGATCTTATTCGAGCTACATTCACCAGTGACAACGTGACATGGATCCTTTCCATTCCTCTCCTGGCATCTTCTCAGCCTAACAAACTCATTTGCCATTACTCCAACACGGGCTAGTACACAGTGAAGACGGGATATCAATTACTGTCGACGGCCAGAATTGAAATGTTTGCAGCACTCCCACAGCACCTGGATAAGCTGTTTTGGAAGACATTGTGGAGTTTACTATCCCGCCCAAGTTGAAATTCATTTTATGGCGGATTGTGCGAGGCTTCTTGCCATTCCTCTCAATTCTTCAGGCTAAGTCATTAAGTTCAACAAGTATATGTCTTGTGTGTTTAACTGCAGCTGAAAATGTATCCCACTACCTTTTTAATTGAAAAATAGCTTGTGTGGTTTGGGTATTCGTTGGGAAGGATCATATTCGCCAAGCCATAGGTCATTTGGACGCTGATCTAGCTTGGCACCAACTTTTCTTTTCTCTGCAACTGAAAAAATTTGGCATTGCAGAATTAGTGTTCTTATCATAGAGGCTTTGGAAGGGCGTTGTTGTTTAGTTTATGACCATATCCGATACTTGTCGGGTAAACTCTATCAACAATTTACTGCGTAGCGAGATGAATGGAGAGCGGCTTTGAGTCCAACTCCACGAAGGAACCCAGCAGTTCGACACCCTCCACAGTTGGATGCGGCAGCAACTTGCCCTCCAGGGGGGCTTCTGGTCCACTTTGATGGTGCTCTTCAACGGAATCTAGGAGGGAACCATTGGTTTTGTGGGCTTCTCTTGTGAGTTCTCCATAGTTTGTGCTTACGGTAAGTTCTGTGAAGGTCTGTCGGATCCGTTCATAATGGAACTTTTAGCGCTTCGAGATTCAATGGATTGGTTCTTAACTCGTGGTTTTTCTTCTATTTGTTTTTTTGGTGACTCGCAACTTGTCATTCGGCGAGCTATGGAGAATGATGACTGGAGTGGTGCAATACTTGAGGAAGTTTGTTTGCTGAAGACCTCTTCATTCATTTGTTTTGTTTTTTTTCTCCTCGTAGAACTAACAGGACTGCCTACTGTGTGACAAAAACGGTCCTTGCATCGGTAGCTCAACAATTGTTTGACTACCACTATTTACTTTTCAATACCTTGTAATACCCTATCTATAAATTAACAATCTATCTATGATAAATAAAAAATTGTGTTTAAGTCATCTAGTGCAACAAGACACAATGAAGCCTCGTTAGCTTAAATAGTGTCAGTAGGGGAGGGGGAGGGGGGTTCTAGACGTATGCATGATGGATGGTATCAACGTTGTCAACTCGGTTTAACCTGCTAGTCTAGTTGAACAAGTGGGTTGAGGATTAATGGTCCGACCACTTTACCGGTTTAGTTCGAAAATATGAAAAAGTCATTATATTGTTCATTTATAAATTATATAAAATTTCATGAGTAATAGTATATAACATTACACCAAAAAAACATATCGTACTTGGATCCAACATATAATGAAAATTCAGATACACTTATATAACATCAATATTAAAATGTTTAACTTAGTATTCCAAAGAGAGAACTAGGTGAATAGTAAAATTGCAAAAGAGAAGCATTTCGCTAACTAAAAGGAAAAATGACTCTGTATGACCTATAATTCGATAAGCTTATCGCACATCGACTCGTAAGTATGTGGACCATTTTTCGGGAACGGCTACGGTGCTAATTGTACAATAGTTAGCACCGTTCTAACCAAGTGTAAAACTACTACTAGTTTGAATTAGTAGTGATTTAGCTTAGATGTTGTATTGATTTTATAATAATCCGTAGTGATTTCGTTATTTTTAGTAGCGTTTTTTGCTAATTATCACGGTACTAACCCCTATAAAAATTAGCACCTAATCCCATACCCATTTTTCTCACTGAATTAGGAACAAAACTAATTAACTGACGGAGCGGCCCGTGGTTGACAATCTTGGCACAACAATGTGATTCTTGATCTGCTAGTTATGTAGGACAATGGTCAAACTTTAGTGGACTCTTTTATTCGTTTATTTATGGACTCAACTCAAGTGGACTCGTTTGGGCTTTCAGGATGTATTTCTTTAGTTTCTTTTATAGCAGGCCGAGCTCACTCCTTAGATTGGCTTGCTTGCGTTGTATTATAGGACCAAGTTAACCAAAAGCCTGAAATCCATGGATTTAACTTAAACACCAGACGCTCGTTTGTGTCGTGAATTTGAAAAATGAAGGTTTTGGTATAATTTGGGTTTTGAAAAACCATGGATATATGAGGGTTTTAGGTTTATTATGGATTTGATAAATTTTTTTTTTTTTGACAAAAGATAATCATATATTGAATGAAAAGAAGACAATTACATCATGGATAGAAGCCAGGCCTGAAAATCAAACAATCGACAAGAAGCCGGATACAAAGTTAGGGCCTTTCTAGCCACAGTATGGGCTACCCTATTGCTATCCCGACCTGCGATATAAGAAGAGAAAGCAAATATGAAAGGTATGTTGGTAAAAAATGATGGACTTCAAAGTCCATAATCAATTCCCACCTATATAGGTGGAACTTTCAAGTCCGTGGGGTCCACGGATTTGGTCCCTTAAAGTTCGTGGAACCAACAGATTTGTTTCCCCTAAATGCATGAAACAAACAATAGATTTTGGACAAAATCCATGATCTCACCAAATCCCTCACCAAATTCATCAAGCAAACAAGTCCTAAACTCGGTGTACCGCTGAAAGCGATCGACTAATCGACCGCATTTCCCAGATTTTCCTGGGAACAAGAAGAACGATCGTTTAACTGTGTGTGTTTGATATGTATATATAGTTTTCTAGCAGTTCCATTCAGTGCAAACCGACTATCATCAAACGAAGGAGACATTTCACTGTACTGGCTTCTGAAACATATAACAGGACAAAACCAACTTTTCAGCTTTACCCTCTTCCTACCTAGCCAGGTAGGGGATGAATTTCGAGTGTCATTGTCCCAGCGATCCGTCGGCAGATCATGCCAAGCCTCAAATGCCGTATTGTATCCATCAGAGCCGAGTACCGTGAGCAACAAGTAAAGAACCCAAAGTTGCAGAAGCTGACAATTCGGCTACCATAAATGGATGGCAGGCAAAAATGGATGGAGACAACAGATCACAGGCGTGCAATCAGAGACAAGGAAGCAATTCTTCCCTAACCGAATCCTCTAAAATCCAACACTGATTATCAATGGAGCTTCAGCAGAGACAACTCTTGCACGTTTAGCTCAGTATTATTACAGCTCAAACTCAAACTATCTAAGGCAAGATCAATGGTTCATTGTAAAGTCAAAAGGATCTTTCTTTTCTATACAATCAAAACAGTGGAAAGAAGAAACCAACAAAAACCAATCATCTACAATGGCTTATCAGTGTTGAGACTTCCCTTCTTCCGCTGTTTGGACTTGAACCGAACCCTTGAAGGAGGCGAAGGGGAGAACTCGATAGGCAAAGCAGGAACCTCAACACCACCACTCAACATCCCGACAACCTCCTTCATCGACGGCCGAGCAGCCGGAGACTTCTGCAAGCAGAGCAGAGCCACCGTGACGCACAATGTGGCCTGCTCTCGATCCAAACCTCGTATCGATCCATCGACCAGATCGATCAGCTTCCCTGCTCGAGCCAGGTTTCGAGCCCAATGTATCAGATTGGCACGCTGGAACTCGGACATGGGCGAATTCGTCACCTGAAGGGGCCGCCTCCCTGCCATCACAACCAAGAGCAGAACCCCAAAGCTGTAGACATCGGACTTTTCAGACAAGTCCCCTCCTCCGCCGTACTCCGGCGCCACGTAACAGACTGTCCCTCGCATGCTCGGCGTGCTGCTGACTCCGCCGCTCTTGGGGATTGCAATGTCCCCGCTGAGCGAGTCGTGGCTGTTGAATCGGCCTCTGAAGAGCTCGCCGCTGAACCAATCGTGGCTACTGTTCTTCTTCCTCTTCTTCTTTCCTCCGGTGTATGATTCTTCTCCGTCCCCTGCAGCAGGCCACCAATCTTCGGCGGAGTTGCCCTTTACAATGCCCATTTCTCGTTCCTTCTTCTTCTGCTTCCTCTTCTTCTTCTCCAGCTCTTCGCAGTACTCTTCTTTCCACCATTCCCTTGGCGCCCTTTTCCTTTCCTTTTTGAGAATCTTCTTCTCCTTCTCCTCGTCGAGTGATACCCACCAATCCAATCGCTTGCGTTGTTCCTTCTTTTTGCTGGTTTTGGTAATCGGTTGGTTGCTGGTCGATGGAGTTGAACTTGAAATCCATTCGCTGCTGGGGGTTTCCCTCTTGATCTCTGTTCCAATCCACTCCATTACATAGTCCTTCACCGGCGCTGCCGCACCGGCGGCAGAGGCGGGGACGCCATTGTCCTGTTTCCACCACCAATCTTTACCACTCTTTGAGGCTTTCCCACTCTTTTTAAACTCCCCTGCTTCTTTCCCGCTAGCTACACTAACTTTATCGATATCCATAATTACCTCTGTTGGCGGCGAGATGGGTACCCCGACCGTCTCCGGCGACAAACTGACACCCCCGGCTGTCTCCGGCGACGTGAGGGACACCGGACCTCTGAACACGCTCTCCGGCGACTGGTCCACTCCAAAACCGAACTCCTCGAACCCTGCGGTGGTCACGCTCTCTGCTTCCATCACAGATCCACAATCTTCCGCCTCCAATTCGACCTTCTTCATCTCCGATTCCCCGTTCCTCTTTTCAAGGACGACCCGATTCTCGGCCGGATTACCCTGATTCCCCTCCTCCGCCGCCGCCTTCGACCAAGCCAAACCGAAATCCGCAATCCTCGCCGAGAAGAACTGGTCCAACAGAACATTGCTGGGCTTGACATCGCCGTGAATCACCGGCGGATCCAACGAGTGAAGATACTCCAACCCCTTAGCGACATCCACGGCGACGCTGAACCTCTGCTTCCACTCGAACAGCTCGGGGCACTTCCTGTGGAGCAGAGCGTCCTGCAGATTCCCGTTGGGCATCAGCTCGTAGACGAGCAGCATGGCCCTCCGCCTCCTGTCGGCGGAGAATCCCATGGCGGTGACAGCGTGAGGCGATTCGAGCTTCGACGCGAAGAAGAGCTCGTTTTGAAACTCCCTCTCCCCCTGAAGCGACCCGGAGTCCATCAATTTCACCGCGACGAGTTGCCCGTCGGGGAGCGTGGCCCGGAAGACCGACCCGAACCCGCCCTGGCCGAGGCGGAGCGCGGGGGAGAAGTTGTTGGTGGCGCGGCGGAGGGTGGAGTGAGGGAAGCGGTGAGGGGGCTTGGAGTCGGAAGGCACGGTCCGCTTTTGGGTGAGCTTGCGGAAGCAGGCGGCGAAGATGAGGAGGAAGGAGAAAGCCACGGTGGTGGTGGCGGCGGCGAGTGGGGGGAGGAGTTGGCGGGAAGAGAGTCGGTGGTGGGGGAGGAGGGGAGATGGCGAGGGAGGGAAGACGGGGGAAGGGGATTCGCTACTGGCGGCGAGATGGACGGTTTGCTCCGGCGAGAGAATCGAGCGAGACGGCATGATTTTTTCGCCGGGGGGAGGAAATCGGGGGTTGTGCTAGGCGGCGGGTTTCATGACTCTTGACTGGGGAATTGGGAGAATGGGGAAGAAAGAAAGGGCGTGGGGAGTGGGGTGGTGGACCAAAGGGAAAAGGGAAAAGAAATGTGTGGGGCAGACTGAAAATTTTGACGTCTTTCTTGTTTTATTATATTATTTGTTTTTATTTCATTGGCTGGCTATTTTTGTCAAGTTTATTAAAACTCGCCAAATTTCCCGTTTCTTGCAGTTGTGGGGTCTCCGAAATTTTCTGCTGTGTTAGTTTTTTGTATTTGTGTAGGAGGAGAGAGTTCTGTTTGCAGGGGAAGTGTCAATTTTGGGGGGAAATCGACTGACATTGGATTTACTCAATTTATATGAGTGGATTTAATTTCGTTGAATTATATAAGTAGATTTATCATCCGATGACAGTTGACAAATTCAGAGCATATGCTTGTCTGTAAAGTCTCTCGCTCTCTATCTAATATCTATCTTCCAAGGTTTCAACAATTAAGTGTCTCGTGCTAGCAAATTTTTAGTAGATATGAAAACTTTGACAAACTCAAATAATTCACATCTCTCAAGGAAATATACTACACTGATATCACATTCTCGTCCGATGGCATCAACAAGATATATAAAAACAAATCGACCATCTGGGTCGTCTGCCTTCTCATGCACCTGATCCTTCCAGTTATCGGCGTCTTGTGGGTCGGCTCCTCTACCTCACCGTCACTCGTCCTGACATTCAGTACGCTGTTCACATCTTAAGTCAGGCGGTTCATGCTCCCACCCAGGCCCATGTTGCTGCCTCTGTTCGTGTTCACCGCTATCTCAAGCAGTCTCCTGGCCGAGGTCTTTTCTTCCCGGCCGCCACCCCGTTACCTCTTATCGCCTACTGTGATGCTGACTGGGCTGGATGCCCCACTTCTCGGCGTTCTACTACCGGTTGTTTCATTCGTCTTGGCGGTGCTCCCGTCTCCTGGCGCACCAAGAAACAGTCCGGTGTTGCCAGATCTTCCGCCGAGGCTGAATATCGTGCTATGGCTACCATTGTCAGTGAGGTTGTTTGATTGCGGTGGGCCGGTGGCTACTGTTCGAGCTTTGCGTCCCCACGACTGAGGCGACTCCTCTCTACTGTGATAATCAGGCCGCGTTCCACATTTCGGCTAATCCTGTTTTTCATGAGCGAATTAAACACGTGGAAATGGATTGCTACTTTGTTCGCGAGTGTGTTCTTTCCTCTTGATATTGTGCCTCGCAAGATCTCCACGTCTGATCAACCCGCGGATTTGCTCACTGAAGGCTTGAGTATCGACCAGTTTCAGCATCTTCTCTTCAAGCTTGGCATGCTTGATATCCATGCTCCCGCTTGAGGGGGAGTATTACGGTTACTTACGTTTCTTGGTGTCCAAGTAACCGTGTTAGTTTTGTACTATGTTTACTTGTCCTTGTTTACCTATTATTGTTCGTCAAAGTCTCTCTATATATAGCTTAGCCGAGTCTTATGTCAAGGCAAGCTAGCAGCATTAGTCATCAAATAAACCAGTAGTCGTGAGCTCCTTCGAGCTCACCGTGGATTAGTCCTGTTCACATCGAATAGGGATACCACGTAAAATTCTTATGTTCTGTGCTCATTAAATTCCGCATCGTGTTAATTTCTTCATGCATACTAATCAGAGTGACATGTTTTATTAGTCACTGAACTGGATAGTTTTTTTTTTTGTCCGTAATAGTAATTCATATCATTCAAACTCATTAATAGTCAATATCGTAGGTTAAGTTTGGTTTGATTTCCCGTACGTGGGCTACTTGTTTTTTTAGGTCTGATTGGGACTTGCTTACCAACTACCGAACAAAAAGTGGGAAATCTTGGTTAGCTTACCTCACAACATTATTAAATTTCTGTGTGTGAATTGGTTAATTTTGGATTATTTAGTATTTATCAGTTGACAAATCTATGTTGCTGACTACTTCCATGGATTTGAATTGCGTTTTATATGATTAAAAAGCGTTCATTTTCACACCATTTTCATCTACTCCGCAATTTGATTTTGATTAAAATTGAAGAGCTCTCATACTTAACACTCAGTAAGAAGTAAAGGGTTTGCAGGACTTGGAGATCAAGACATGGGAGTAGCAAAGTAGCAATACAAGCAAGTCGTTCATTAATATTATTTGGAACTTCTCTACATGAATAAATGTGATTTTAATGTGCCATAATTAGATATTTCGGGGAGTTTGTGATGATGTTCTAGTATGTTCTAGGGGTCGTTTGGATGAGGAATTCTAATGGATCAATCTGACACAATTGTCTCGTTTTGAGTCAATTGTGCTAGATTGATCCGTTTGGCAGCAGAAAATTTGGATGAAGCAATTTGCGCTGGGGAATTCTGAATTGACTCATTTTGAACCAATTACAATTGTCTGGGGTGGGGGCAGGTAATCTGAATTGACTCGTTTTAAATGACTCGTTTTGTAAAATAAAACAATTGGTCAAATTATCTCGTTTTATAATTGATCCATCCAAAGATTCCAAACTAACCCTAGTATGCATTGTGATGGTTTGTAAACATCCACAATGAACTTTGTGATGGCATAAGATTTACTTACATAATATATAGTCAAGTGGGGTGTATTCATTTCATTTCATATCGCTTTTTCTTCAGTTTCAGCGCCGCTCGTGCAGCTGCTTAGTTTAGACGCATTCTTCATTAGGAGACAAGTTTGCCTCTAAATAAAGAGCTTTCAAAAGCTAAAAAGGAGCTTTTGCTTTAGGCAAAGTCTAATTGCACAACTGCACATGCATCTTCATTACTCGGAGTCTCGGCTCCTAGACAACAGAAGAGACGTTTGACAAATCCAATCCCCGGCGGCCATATCAAATCTAATCTCATCCTACGTCAGTCTGATAAATTATTGGAAAAGGGTCCAACCCACTACCCACCTAAAAGTGACAACTGCCACGTTGTTTCTTCTATTGGCAGAACGATCGCCGCCGCTTGTACAGTTGGGATGGTGGCCGGCGACGAAAGATCGACAATGCTAACTTCTTGATACCGTCTAGAGCAGATCCAAATGTAATAAGTATGCTAATCCGACCACGTATTGCGTAAAGACGTATGGTAGTTGAAATTTTTTGTTTGAAGAACCACCTTCCATTTCAAGCAAGTTTATTAAGACTTTCGGGTAAAACCCCACGAGTCAACTCTTAAGAGTAGGTATCAAATTCATTAAAAAAAAAAGAGTAGGTATCAATTAACTTCACCATCGTGGGTATTCGACTTGCCCTTCCTTGCATTGATTGGATATGGATTGGGTATTGAGTAAAAACGTGAAAAAAGAAATGACGGGATGGTCGGATGAAGTGGGTATGATTTTAGACTGTCTTGTCCTATTCGAATACTCATATCTGCCCCATAAATAAAATCTCTCTATATAAAATTATGTATAAAAAACTTTATCGGTTGGGTACCAAGAATAATTATAGATTTATGGACTAATCGATGTTGTAGGGTTGGATAGTTTGAATTTGAATTAACAACAGCTATATATTTGTTGATTTTATGGTTTATTAGCTCTATTTGATGTTATAACTGAAAATATGTGTTGAGTAAGTATTATTGTATTAAATCTAGATATAATTAAATTAGATATACGAGACAGTGTTATTCATGAATATCCAAAAATCACGAGTATGCAGATGAGGATTTGAATATAATAATCTTTTATAAACCATCCCTATTAAGAGATTGTTTCTTAGTTGGATACGGGTGTATGGAATTTGACGAAACCCACCATTTCCAGTTTTCCACTAGTTGAAACACACAGAAAACGTATACGGTAAATACCCCCATTTAGTATTTTATCTAGAAACTAGCTTGGTTCCTTTTCGTCTTGTCATCATGTTCCACATGCTAAAAGCGTCAGTATCTAAAATCACACACGCTACAGAATACATCAGTTTCCTTTTCGATCCAGGGAAATGCAGATAACGCGAGTCTTCTGAACCAAGCAATTGGCAATGGAGATGGAGATGGGGGGCATTCAAAGCTTTTAACTGGAACTGGAAGGTGCAGTGAAGCAGAGACTTCACGTTTTGCTTTTGTGTCTGCTCTGGTTCACTTGATATGGAAAGCACGCGGCCAATTGGGCAACAACAACTACCAGAACCATTCTTGTCTGGCATTCACGACCTTCACATTTGAGGAGAGGAGAGGCACAGTCTCGTAGAACGATAGCAACTCGTTCACGCATTCGTTTCTCTTCTCTTTCCCTTTCCCGTTACTCGTCCCCCACGAACCGATCTCCCGTATCTTTCCTGAAATTGTTTGCAGTTTTTCCACAATTCATCACATTAGACAGAGACTTGATGGTGATGAACGAAGTGGCCGATTCGTTATTGCCTCAAAAGTTTAGTTACTGTGGTTGTTAATAGACTCCCTTTCCACTCTCTCCCCTCCAGAGTTCTACCATATAAATGATTTCACAAGAGTGGAAAACTCGACTGCACAGCATTGACCGGAAGCAATTCCAGAACGTGGGAAACTGCAAACCACCTATTGCAGTGACCCGTGCGTTCAAGATTGACTCAGCTGTCCTCTTAGACTTGAATATCACAAGGAAACGACTTTTAGGTAAGGCCTTCATTCAATGCACAAATTGGACTTTCTATGCAAAGGCCTTAAATGTGAGATGCCCTATAGTATCTGCAATCTGATTCTACCATCTTTCTATGGCTTCGTTGTAGCCCTTCTTAGCCTTTTGAACCTATGTACTTCCGACACAGGGACAGGAACATCTATAATGACTTCTTTGTTCCTGTCACAGCAGCCAATCCAAGTGCTCACCAACTACCTAGAGAATTAATATAGCAACCCTTTGAACCATACACCAAATGTATATGACTCCTTCCTTTAGTATCAACTATCAATCCCTCCAACTCAATTACCCTTTAACTTCCCCATTACTCTCCATCACAAAATTCCAGTGTTCACATGAAATCGTGTATGAACTTAGAAATCAAACTAGGTGCAATGGGTTCCACATCAGTAGAGAGCAGTAGGGAGACATTGACAGTGATGTAGTTACAGGGAAATAGTGAGAGAAACTTTTACCTTTGACCCAAAGTGGAGGAGTACCAGAAGCGTTGGCCACGACCATAGACATTGCAATATCTTCACAATTCCTGTGGGAGATAACAATTTGAGGAAGAAATAAATGAGAATGGATTAAGTGATGGCTGATGAGCGCTTGCCTTTCTCTAGCTAAGCGATCTGCCGAAGCTGTGGGATGTAAAAATGCATCGGTAGGGGAGCGTTCCGCTAGATAATCTGCATCTGTGAAGGCATTTCGTTAGTATACAAATCCAAGTACTTCTTATGAAAGAATGCAGCCTTGGACAGAACCATACTGTAGCTTCCCATCCACCAAACTGACAGCCATCCTCCATATCTATGATACACACCACCACTCTTCTGCAATTGCAATGGCAGAGTTCATTTGAGAATAGCTCAAGATCAGATGAAAACCGAAAAGATGCAATCAAGCAAAAACTACCCATTAACATTTCTAGTTCCTTGATCCTACAATGAACAAACCCTAATAGCTTATCTCGTTAAGCCCCATTCTCCTAACCATAATGCTAAAGCACTTTTAACTACTTGTAACTGATTCAATTCTACTGCATAACTCGATCAATGGTGGATTCTTACAATTCCATAGCTTTCAAAGGTACTGAGAATCAGTTAATCACTCACCAGAAGGTCTAAATCCAGCCAATGCATGCGCGGAACAAATCCAACCATGGTCAGGGGAGCAGTCTTCCACAACGAGAAAGCGAACTCCAGAGACGAACACGGCACAATCACGTCATCGTCCACAGAGAAAATCGCGTCCGTTCTAACTCCATCAATCGGCTTAAACCTGCCGCTCCCCCCACCACCGCCGCCGTTCTCCTCAATCTCCACCCGGATATCAGCTCTCCACGAGCCTGTCGAGATCCGATCTCAACCTCTCCGACGGCGGTTCAATCTCGCTCCGCACGACATTGATCGCGTCCGCCCCAGCGCAGGAAGAGTAATGAGCGGCTGTTCTCTTCAGCGGCGAATTGCGCCTCCAGGTGTTGATCAGCACGGTGTAGGCTCCCCGAGACGGGGACGATACGAGGGAAGGCTCGTCGGGGATCCAGCCCATGAAGGAGCTGAGCCTCGAGGTCAGGAAAATCGCGAGGCATAGCAGCGAAAAGGCGAGGAGCAGCTTGAATCTGATTGCGGCGAGAAGCTGCGGAGCTCGCCGGAGGAAGAGGACCGATCGGCTAGTGTAGTTACCTCGATTGGCAAGCTTTTGCTTCGCCGGAGAGTATAGATCGTCGACGGTATCGTCGCGGATCCCGATCAGGGTTGACGGCATTGGGCGAAGCTTTGTCGTCCCATTTGGGATGGACGGTTACGATTATTTGGACCATACTTTGCACTGTGGCGTCAGGCGTGGATATCTTAGTGCCAAACTGCCAACTGCCGAGTCAAATTAGTGAATAAGTGCCAGAAATCTTGGGCCTGCATCAAAGGCCATATTGTCTATATGCAAGAGGACGGCCCACTTCGCTAGTACGATTGCAAACAGAGGCCCACAAGACATTCAGCTAAAGTAGGTATGGGTTGACTTGGCAAGCAACTGTTCCTTGTTGATGTTGATCCGTTTGCTAATAGGCTGGCGCCTAGGGATGAGCAACTAGTTGGGACTTGGGAGCAACAAGGCCCGTCAGCAGTTTTGGGGTTATCAATTTTTTTTTTTTTACAAAAGGTAATCGTGTATTAATTGAAAAATAGATCACACAAATTACACTATGATATATAACAATAAAAGGAAATCAAAATAACGATATTTTGGGCTTATAAGTTGATTGTGTGTTTTTTATAGAATTTTTCACTAACAAATTCGATTCTCCAGTCAGCAGTTTGTGTTGTGGGTATGCTTCATAGAGAGTGAATGATGTTCTCATCTCCCTACGGGGTAACAAGTGTACAAAATTATGTGATCGTTGATAACATTATTTACTTTTTGGATTTCATTTCGTTTTAGTAGGTGGTCCTATGTTATGTGAACAAAATATGTGATGATTCTCATGGACTTTTCGAATACCAATTGGGTATGAATGAATGATAGGATAAATTTTGCATCCAATTACAAAATATTTTTCCATATTATAAGAACAACTTGAATCGGTTATATTGTTTCGATACTAATACCGGGCCAATGTTTGATTTGTGATTACAAAATATGTATAAAAAAGTTTGCCATAGATTTTTTTTTTTGATTGTGTAGTGAATTAGTGATAAAAGAACAAGTGTTCATTTTAGGGTTGGAAATAATAAGAAACGAGATTATTATGTAAAATACTAAAATATGAGGGACATCTATACTTAACCATGTAACTCTTTACATTTGGGGAGGGAGCAATTCTACTATACTATATAGCATTGGTGCTTTAATGTATAACTTAAATTTGTACCATAACATTAAATGTATAAGTTTAGGTTGTACAATAAAGCAATTTGTATCATTATGTTATGGTACAACTTTACAAGTTGAAGTTGTACCATCACATAAAGGTACAAGTTTAAGTTGTACCATAAAAGAATTTGTACAAAAAGTATAGGTACAATCTGAAGTTGTACCATAACGTAAATGTACAATTTTAAGTTGTACCATAAAGGCAAAAACCTATAGCACCAATACTATATAGCATTGTAAAATTTCTCTTGGGGAGGATAGTTTATGTAAAAAAGATAGCTAAATTACACGTTTGTGTTACAGGACAATCCAAGTACCACATCGGAAATACAAGGGAAGGAACCTTTGTATATTAGTGTCCACCAAGCTCATTAGTACGAGGCCTTTTGGGGAGGACACCCAAGAGTAAAACCGTGCGGGCTTGGCCCAAAGCGGACAATATCGTACTAATTGAGCGCCCCGATTTCGACAAGTGGTATCAGAGCCTGGTTGCGGTTTTGGGAATTTGCTGGACTGAAGTTTTGCTTTGTGGAGTTTGGTTGGAGTTTGTTTGATAGTAAGAATGACTGCTATCAGTATGAAGATTGAGAAGTTAACCAGAAGAAACAGTTTCAGTTTGTGGCAGATCAAGATGCAAGCACTGTTGAAACAACAAGGTTTGTGGGCTCCATTGTCTGGAAAATCAAAGAAGGAAAGTATAGATGAAGAAGAGTGGATTACTTTGGAGGAGAAAGCTCACTCTACAATCTTGCTTTGTTTGGCTGATGACATCATCACTGAGGTTGCTGCTGAGAAGACTGCTGCGGGTTTGTGGTTGAAGCTTGAAAGTCTATACATGACAAAGTCTTTAACCAACAAGTTGCATATGAAGCAACGTTTGTTCAGTTTGCGTATGGAGGAAGGTACGTCTCTCAGGAATCATCTAGATCAACTTAATACTATCTTGCTAGATCTGCGGAATATTGATGTTAAAATAGATGATGAGGATGCTGCCTTAATTCTGTTAGTATCTTTGCCACAGTCATATGAGAATTTTGTGGATTCTTTTATTGCTGGGAAAGATAGTTTGTCTTTGGAAGATGTCAGATCTGCTCTACATACTAGAGAGGTTCGACATAAGGCGTCTGGTTCAGGTTTGGAAAATCAGGCATCTGGGTTGGCTGCTACGAGTAGTAGGAGACAACAGTCTGGTAATAGGAAGACGAATACAAATTCGATTTCTGCTGGTTTGAAGGATGATATCTGTCATTACTGCAAGGAGAAAGGACATTGGAAATTTGATTGTCCTAAACTGAAGAAATATCAGGAGAAGAAGGAATCATCTGCTGCTGTGGCGGAAGAAACTAACTCTGATTCTGAAGATGGTTTAGCCTTAGCAGTGAATGAACAGGTACATCATCAGGATGTGTGGTATTTAGATACTGCAGCTGATTATCATATGTGTCCAAGCACAGAGTGTTTTTCAACTTATGGGCAGATAGATGGAGGACATGTTTCTATGGCCAATGGTGCTATCTGTAAGATTGTTGGAAGAGGCTCTGTCAGGATGAGGACACATGATGGTTCTGTTCGCACCTTGAACAATGTTAGACATATTCCAGAGATGACTAAGAATCTGATATCTTTGAGTCTACTAGACGGCAAGGGTTTCAGTTTCAAAGGTGAAGGTGGAGTGATATATGTCTACAAGGGTTCTAAGGTGATTTTGAAAGGTGTCAAGCGGGGTGCCTTGTATAATCTACAAGGTTCTGTTTTGACATGTTCTGTTAGTGATAAGTGCACCAAGATGGTTTTGAATGGCAAGTCTGAGCATGGGTTGGACTTGCCAAATGGTTTGATTTGTTGATCGCCCTTAGGGGCATTTGGAGGCAGGGGAGATTCTGGTACAACTGATTTGGAGGAGTTTGGTATGTCTGGCAATTTTGATTGCATCTGAGTTTGGCGATATGTATCGCGTCTGGGTACATCTGGCAACTTTGGTTGCGTTTGGTACATCTGGCAACTTTGGTTGCGTCTGGTACATCTGGTATTTGACAGAGAATTTAAGTCAAGGTGGAGATTGTTAGAATATGACTTGAATTTGATTTGGGTTTGTTTTGTGTTTGGGCCTATTTTGTTTGGGTTTGGGATTGGGTTTTGTTTTGACCTTTTCCTTGTATGTTTGGGAAAAGGTATTTGGTATTATGTTTGGGATTAGGAGAAGAGTTCTATAAATACTCTTCATCACCCTAGTCTGTAGTAAGGTCAATCAGGTTAGTTTGTTTGGTTTGTCCGTTTGGAATTTGTTCTGTAACCTGTACTCTCCTCAAAATCAGTGAAATTTGTTCTCCCTTGCCCGTGGATTAGCTAGCACACATTGTGTTAGTGAACAACGTTAAATTGGTGTTCGTTCGTGTTGGTTTGGATTATCGATTGCACGCTTCTGTTCTGACAATCGTCACATGATTACCCATCATTCGAAGCCAACCCAGACATACAAGTCGCTGAGTGATGCACCTGGTCCATCTCGCATCCGATGATTGGTGCTTCTCCATCAAAATCTGCTTGTCGGCAGGGGAATTGCTCAGACAGACGGTGGAAATGACTATGTCATTCATAGCGCTAGCCACACAAGCCGCCGACATCCAGATCCTTCGCCCCCACCCATCCACCTTCGTGTGCCTATCCTTGATCGACCCCTTCGACGCCGCTGCCACCGCCATCGCCCATGCCCCTCTCCCCGACACGATTGCCAAGCTATTGCTATTAATCTCGTTTTTCTATGTAGAGAACTCCGACAATGGCCCAGATCTGATGGCAAGGGAGGCATTGACATGGTGGGTGGAATTTCCAGAAGAAAGCGTTGCGACAGGGGAAGAGGAAGAAGAAGAAGAAGAAGAACAGTAGAAGCAAGAAGGAGTTGACATGGTGGCGCGGGCTGCGGAGGAGAGGGTATGGTGGAGATTATGGAAGTAAGAAGGAGTTGTAGAACAAGAGCAGGAGAGAATGAGGTGTAAATTATTTGTTTTTTTTTTATTTTTCTTTCAATATATATGTAATTTGTTAATGGTCTAGTCAGCAGTTCGTTTGCCACATCATCAAAAAACTAACAGAGTTGACGGAGACTAACGACCGGTCACTAACGGTGAAACGATTCATAAAGTTAGTGGTGAATAAGAAAGAAAACGAATTCGGGTGACAAACATGAAAGATTTATATAATTTGATTGACCAAACGTGTAATTTATCCGTAAAAAAATTGTTGTAAAGGTTGGTGAATGACTAGATAGGTATAGGATGGGTTAGTGGAGGGAGTGGCAGAAACATTAGAAAAGTGGGAGACAAAAAAAAAAGTGATCTGAACAAAACCAAGTAGCCCCTTAGAAATGCGAGTCCAACATTTCCCAGTCAGTCAGTCAGCCAACCCATCACTACGTATCACTCCAAATCTGGTCGACGCCCGTGACCCAATAATTTCCAACGTGGATCACTAATTAATCCTTTAATCAACACAAAATTTACACCAGTCCACAAACAGTACCTCGAATTCTTTATCTTAATTCCTTCCTCGTGCCTAAAAAACTTCCGTTTCCCAACTTTTAATGATTATTAATCATCTTAATATCCCGGCTTAATTGCATTTTCATATTAAACCGAAATAGAGAATCTTGTCAAATTGCGATGGGCCCAATAGCTTTTCATTTTCTCGTCCAGTAATATTCGTCTTTGCCTTTCCAATAATATACATCTATTTTGATGGGTGCCACTCAAAAAAAGGGAGTGTAGTTTCTTGTTAAAATTTTACGGTTATATTTCTTGTTAAAGGTTTTAGGTCTAAAGTTTAATGTCTCAAGGGTTGATTCAATTATTAATTTAGGGTTATATTTCTTGTTAAATTTATATTCACGAACATTACATATATTAATGCAATATCGTCAAATAAACATAAATTGTTTTACACACACATCAATCATTATTCCTTGTAGCAATTCCCTATTATTCCAATTACAAAATACAAATTTGTGCCTACCAAAAGCCTTTTCTGCTCTTTCCCTAAGCATCTTCTTAGCCTCCAAATTAACTTTCCCAAATCATTTTCTCCTATCTCTATTGGTCCCCCTTCTTTTCCATCCCTTTCACTGTCCTTATCCCATCATTAGCAACTAATTAACTTTCCTCACTTAACTATCATTTCAATAATTCAATTACCATAATTTGTAGCTTCTCTCTTATATATAAACACATAAACCACACATATTTGATATTCCATTCCATTTCTCAATTCATTGGGGGATTATTACAATTTGCAGCTCTCACAACATGAATCTCCATCATCATCAGCGATTTCCCCGGATTCTATTCCTGTCCATAACCTTAACAACCCTCTGCTCGCTCCAATTCCCAATCCCCACGGCGGCCGGAAAAGACAGAGTACCGACGCCGCCGCTGCCGGTCCTGCCGCTCCCCTCCTTCTCGCAGCTGAAATGGCAGCAGAGGGAGCTGATAATGTTCCTCCACTTCGGCGTCAACACCTTCACCGACTCCGAGTGGGGCACCGGCCACGAATCCCCTTCCATCTTCGACCCCGCCGGGCTCAACGCCGGTCAGTGGGTCAGCACCGCCGCCGCCGCCGGCGTCTCCCTCGTGATTCTGACGGCCAAGCACCACGACGGGTTCTGCCTCTGGCCGTCGAAGTACACCGACCACTCCGTCGCGTCCAGCCCCTGGAAGGGTGGGCGCGGGGATGTGGTTCGCGAGCTCGTCGGCGCCGCCGAGGCCCACGGCGGCGTCGACGTCGGGCTTTACCTCTCGCCGTGGGACCGCCACGATCGGCGGTACGGCAAGAATTTGGAGTACAATGAGTATTACATGGCGCAACTGCAGGAGCTTCTTACCAAGTGAGTAACGCAATCGAAAACCCAATTTTTTTGATTAATTGAATTACTTCTCTAATTATAATTATGAAATCTCTATAAATTGTCTTCGTTAGTTCAACGAATAGCCATTTAATTTCCTTAACTAAGGGGAACCTTGATTAATTCTGATTGTACATTGTTTTCCCGTGATTAAATTAGCTTAATTACTCTGGCAGGTACGGCGACGTGAGGGAGATATGGTTCGACGGAGCAAAAGGCTCGAACGCGCCGAACATGTCGTACGACTTCGCCGACTGGTTCGCGATGGTGAAGGAGTTGCAGAGCTCCATCAATTTGTTCTCCGACGCCGGCCCCGACGTCAGGTGGGTCGGAAACGAAAAAGGGTTCGCCGGAACGACCAGCTGGTCCACCATCAATCGGACGGCGCTGTCCATCGGAAACGATAGCATTGTTGAGTAAGTTACTGCTGCTCTCTCTGGCCTTTTTCCCTTACAAAATTAGTCGGTTTCACACTTTCACTTTCAGTTTCCACTTTCTGTTCTGCCTTTTCTTTTGCGTCGTTTCTATGGAAAGCTTTATGGTCGCTACGAAATTCATGTGAGCTTGGAGATTGGTTCTCTTTTCGTCGTCCGTGAGTTATTGGGCAGCGTGTTCTTATTGACCTCTAGTGGCTGGTAGTTTTTGTCCTCCAATCGTTCTTTTTTGGGAAACCTTCCACTTAGGCGAATTAGGATAGTAGCCTAGTACACGAAATGTAGGGCTGGTTGTTTGGGTTCGGTTCAGCGGGTTAACTGGAAATTTGTCATCTAACAGGTAACTGAGAACCGAAAAATTGAACGAATAGAACGGTCTCGGTTGTGGATATAGGCTACCTTTCGAGTTCCTAATTGTAACAAGATTATGGACCAATCCCAATGGGTTGTTACTTGTTAGGTTCAATGCGGGTAACCAAGGTATAACCTAAATATTGGGTTCTCCGTAACCGGAAAACCACATCAATATGTTGCGGTGACAACTGACTGCTGATACGGGGCAAATTCGGGGTCAGAATAGCCAACCAATTTGGTTTGGGTAACCGACCAATTTGGTTCGATTCACACAAACCGAACCGAACTCCACCCATTCACAATTTCAGTGGTTGGATTGGTATATCGACTTACATCGATTATCTATCTATCAAACAAGAGTTTATATATCATTTCAATTTTATACCATCATCATGATCTTCAATCAATCATGAATCCATAAACCCTTTGTCGTCGTCTATCATGTTTGTCACCTTCCCATGACATTAGTTGTCATTTTGAATATATCCTACATATAAAACATGTCTACATTACAATCTTCACCATAGGATCCCATGTGATGCTTTCGTCTCATGTTCTATCTCTTAGCACAATCATTGACTATACTAATGGGAATTTATGAATGTGTGGATGCGCAGCTACCTAAACACAGGAGACCCAAGAGGAACGGACTGGCTGCCGGCAGAATGCGACGTCTCCATTCGAACAGGCTGGTTCTGGCACAAGTCACAATCCCCCAAGAAGCTCAGCGACCTGCTCGAGATCTACTACAACTCCGTCGGCCGGAACTGCCTCCTGCTCCTCAACGTGCCCCCGAACACCACGGGGCTCATCTCCGACTCCGACGTCAGGAGACTCCGAGAGCTCCGAACCGCGATCGACACCATCTTCACCACCAACTTGGCTACGGAGTGCCCTGCGAAAGCTAGCAGCGTAAGGGGAGGGAAAGGCGGCGGGTTTGGGCCTGAAAATGTGTTGGACAAGGACCATCTGTGGACGTATTGGGCCCCCAGCGATAGGGAATTGGGTCGTGGGCATTACTGGATCGAGATCAACTGTGGTGGGCCGGTGAAGTTTAACGTGGTGAGAGTTCAGGAGGCGATCGGTTTGGGGCAGAGGATAAAACGACATGAGATTTATGTGGACGGAGAGAAGATTGCGAATGGAACGACGGTCGGGTACAAGAGGCTTCACAGGCTTGAGAAGGGCGTGGTCGGAGGGCGGCGCGTGAGGGTTAAGGTGTTGGAATCTAGGGGCGTGCCTTTGGTGTCTTCTTTTGGCCTCCACTATGACCCTTATTGGCATTCCACGTGGCAATGACTTTGGGGTTGTTTAGGTTGGAATTTGGTAAGGGTTTATTGTGTGGATGATTGGATATGTTTTAAGAGGTCACTTGCAAGGTGTAAAATAGGTTTGATTAATGATGGCCTAATGTGGTTCTGAATTGTGGAATTGGTGGAGGATTATAATTAATTAAATGCATCGGATCGGATGGATAATATTATTTAGTACAACTCATTAATGATGTCGAATATAATATAGCACAATATTGGATGAGTATTATCCAAATGCCTCGAGCTATCGTCAAAAGAGGCGGAGCTATTATGTTCAGATTTCCTTTTGGGACGCGCTTGGGTATATCGCTTCAACCTAAAATGCATGTTCTGTTCTCGGTCCGTCTTTTTAAATTACATGTAATTTTACTTAATTTCGACTTCGTAATAAGATATGGATTCAAAGTTCCCTAGATCCACCACCACTTCGATGCCTTTTGAAATATACCCATGGATTTGAGGTAATATTTATACTCATTCAAATATTACAATTTGGCATCTACATATAATAGTTTATACCATTTACCTCTTGAACAAAATTTTTTAATTTTTGCAGACAAGTGCCAAAAAAATCAAGGAAAGTTACAATATGGTACCTAATTTTTAGATACAGCTTAATACATAAAATTTTAGAATTGACAAATACATCCAATTAGAATATAGAAGCAATATCAATTACTACCCAACAAGTAGACAAAATTTATAGATTTAATCATACTCTATCCATAATTAATGTATTTACATATGGGTAAAGTTAAAGTTATATGGATAATTGACATGGCATGTCATATCTATCATTGCCTCATACCTGCAAGTAGGGGTGGAAGTTTGGGTTGCGGGTTGTGGATAATCCGCAAATTGCACCAACCGCACCTATTGTGGGTAACCATACCCACAAGTTGTGGGTAGTGGGTTGGGTGTGCGTAGTAAAATAACGATTTTTGTGGTTAGTGGTTATCCACTACCCACCGCGGTTAACCCACAAAATCCACGATAACCACACTAATTATATTTATTTAGTGAATTAACTTTATAATATAATAGTATGTGAAAATTGCGATGATAAAAATTAAAGTAGCCACCAAATAAAGAAGACACACCTAATCAGTTTTATGTAAGAATTTTTTAGTTTATAAAACAATATAATCGATAGAGTGGAGAATAATCAATTCATTAAAATTAACACTTTTATAACTTTTATCAGTATGTTTTTGCTTTTGTGTGAAAAAATACAAGATCATATTTAATTTTCATATTTTACCCCTAGTCGGGGAAATATGAAATCATAGCTCTCTGACATAAAAGTTGAATACCAAACTCAAAAAGAAAAAATCTCCACGTTGAGTAAGATCGATGTACAAAATTGTATCTCCACGAACAACACAAGTGTATATCACTATAGTCTAGTTACGAACAACAAATACGTTAGTGGCGACTAGAACCCTATGCTTGCAAAGATGGATTTTTGCGGGTAACCACACCCAACCCGCACAAACCTACAGTGGGTAGTAGTTACCTACTAACCACTGCGGTGCGAGTTGTGGGTAGCATAATTGTAAATTTGTGGATGTGGGTACCCATAAAATGTGGGGCGGGTAACCACACCCACCCCAATTTCCACCCCTACCTGCAAGTCTCATTGTTGGGTATATAATCTTCATATCTTCCTGAAACCTTCGTCAATATGAGAATTAATCTCATTACCAAGGATTGGTATCCACAAATACGAATAAAATGCCTCCAAATTTTACCTGATTTAAAGATTGTAGTATTTCAAGAGTCTGTAAAACCAACAATTTTACTCGTTAAAAATTTCTCATATTATCATATTCTAATATGGTATTAAAAAAACATACATTTCACCCTTCACAAAAAAAATAAAAAATAAAAGTTGATGATCTACAACTTTAGCAAACATCTTAAAATCATCGTCGCTACAATAGGTTAACAACTTCATGTATAATCTCCACATTGGTGAAATCCCTTTAACAATGGCAAATACCTCCACATAGTCTTTAACAAAAAGAACCGTTTGCAAATCATAAAATCCAATCATATAACCCACAACTTCTCTTGATTTATTTATAGAAAACGTGTCTAAACTTGCCGAAACAATAAGGCTCCTTTCCTTGATTTACTTATAAAAGAAAACGTGCCTTTCTTTAATAATAGCTTGTCTTGTCTTGTCGTCGAAACAAAGCTTTGAAAAGCTAGCTAGGAACGGAAGTGAATGTATAAGCACTGTGATCAACGTTCCTGTTGGACTTTCTTCATCTATCGTCTTTCCATGGAGGAATAATTTGATAATTCTTCGTCGTCTCTTGGTCATTTTAGCTCTTAATCGGTCATTTAATTAGCAGTTAGGAATTTCAAGGCATGCTGCCACCCAGCTTCTCTATCTTAACGATGTACGATACACACAATTCTAGCTAGTGGTAATACTTGATAGAAGTTTAATCAATTCTAGTTAGTGCACATTTTCTTTATGGTTAATAAAATATGGCATTAAACTCTAGAGGCGCAACCTGCAAACCACTTTCTCACAGTACAATGTGTTTAGACCAAACATGTAGCTAATTACACCATAAAAAAAAAGACCCTATACTGTATATTTCTGTACTAGACTCAACATCATCTGGTTGTTCTGGGCACACGAAGTACTTTCATCCTCTATCCGCTTCACAATCTGTCCGGATGTGCTGGATCCATACAGCCTCGTGCATCGCTCCCTCCAAATGTAACTCAGTGACAACCTCCACTACAAATGACGAATGATAGCATTATCATAAGTTCCTTTCCATACTTGAATCGCCCACTGAATATGATCTTGCCAGTTCAAAGCTTTTCGGACTAAGCAAGCTTTCCTCGTAACTGATGGAAGCACATACCTACTATAAGAAAACAAATAAAAAAGGTGATCTCTTGATTCATCGCCACCCATACTCAATAGACAAGTTGTGTCGGTACCAATCCCCCACACAACCAGTTTATCTGTGGTTGTGATTCTATCAAGAATAATCAGCCAAGCCCAAGACTGTGCTTAAGAATACTTGGTTTTCCCCACACAGCAGCTTCCCAGTAAACTTTAGGGAGTGGGTTCCGAATAGTTTCCCAGATAGTTTTAACAGAGTAATGAGAAAGAAGCTTACCATCCCATGTTAGTGAGTTACCATATCTTAAGAAATGGGTTGTACAACCCCTATGTTGATGTGACTTGAATCGGACTATCAGCCGCTACGACTGGTAATCGGGTTCTGGGCTTGGTCTGTAACCGTTTCCTTTGCCATATTGGATTAGGTTTAGACCCACATGGAGAAGTACTATAAATACTTCTTATACTCCTCTGTAATCTGTAATCTCCTTGATATAGTGAAACTGGCTCTCTCTCGCCCGTGGACGTAGCTAACACACATCGTGTTAGTGAATCACGTAAATCGTGTGTCGTGTTTTCGATTCTCGCTTTCGTATTCTTGCTTTGTCTATTCCTGCGATTTCCCGATCCGTAGCAGCGCGTTTATAACACCCTATGCATTTAAGAATCTATTGCCATATCCATGAACCTGAAGATAGTGAATGCATGCTCCAAATAGGTTGATTCTTGATCTTGTATTTCTTAATCCACGCCACCCAAAAAGAGCCTGCTTTTGCCAGAATGGTCCAAAGATGACGAATGACACACGCTTGATTCCATGTTTTAAAATCCTGAATCTCCATCCCTCCTTCCATTTTCAGTGATGCAACTCTTTCCCATGAGACCAACACCCTTTTTCGTTTCTATGCTCCTCCTACACCCCACAAAAATCGATTACATATCTGCTTCACATCCCTGATCACTTCCATTGGAAGAAGAAACAGAGCCACCCAAATGACTGACAAAATTAGCTGCAACCGACCAGCATAGCTCAATAAACTGGCCTACCATGTTCTAACATGGGCAGTGATCTTATCAACCAGAGTCTTACATTCCACTGAGGAGAGTTCGCCCGTGATAAGAGGCATCCCCAAGTAATGAATAGGTAGTGTAGCTAGAGGGAACCCCGTAACTCTGGAAATCATACTCTTTTCTGCATCTGGGATCCCAGGACAGAAAAGTGACACTTTTCTATGTTACAGCAAAGTTCATAAGCAACATAAAATCTGTCGAGAAGCCTCCTTATGCCATCCACTCCTCTAATAGACTCATAAATAATGAGAGCATCAGCAAAACATAAATGCAAGAGTTCCAATGCTTTACAGCGAAGATGATACGAGATCTGTTCTTCTATTACATCCTTCCTATGGAGACATGAGAAAAACTCCATTGCTATAGTAAACATGCATGGTGAGAGTGGATCGCCTTGTCGCATCCTTTGCATGCAGGAAAATACCCACACAGGCCACCATTGAAACACACACTAAGCAGATGAGTTCTAACACAAGCTTCCACCCACTTCACATACACTTCAGGGAATCTCATCCAACATAACTTTGAATAGAAATCCCCAATGAACCGAATCAAACCCTTCATCAAGTCTATTTTCAATACACATATAGATGATATATTAGACATATGATAATCTCTTACAAATTCCAAAGTCAATTAGTATGTTATCACTGATCAGTCGTCCCTTAACAAACGTAGATTGAGCTTTTCTAATGACTTTTAGAAGGGCATTCGTCAGCCTATTTGAAAGAATCTTATAGATTCCTTTATATAAGACATTACGACACACATAGGAGTTTACCTACTAAGGCATGATTCCTGTTCGAAAGAACTCAAGAATAACATCCTCCACAGTAGCCCCAACCAGTGGCGGATCTAGAAAATTTTAACAGGGGTGTCCTCTTCAAAAAAATAAAATAAAATAAAAATAAATAATTCATAAATAAAAAAATATCGGACTAGTACAAATTTTAACATAAGGCCACGACGTATTTTTATATTCTGAAAAAGAATAAAAAATAGGCTTGGTAAATTGCTCAACAAATCTGTATATCCTACTAGACAATAGTTCACGAACTGATCGTATATGGATTTCTTACCTTGTTTTTTTTATGTAACTCAAAGTTGAAAAGACTTTTTCAGCACTTGTTGTGTAATCATAAAATCAATTCAAATTAAGGGTAGTTAATTGCTAGTTTTTGGAAATAGCCGGGGATAAGGAATAACTTTTTACTATTATGTAGTGTTTAAAATAGAACAACAAATGAGTTGTAATTTAATGGAGGACAATGTTTAAAAAATATAGTATATCCTAAGATTGAATAACACAAACTATCGCTTGTTTTTTTAAAGTATACGCAAACTACTACTGAGGATAGGATTATCGTTGTAGGGGTGTTCCGAATCACTAATTATAAATTTTTTATCCATACAAAACTACTACCGGGGGTTGAATAATCGTATTCTCAAATTTTAGGGGTGTCCCGGGACACCCCTAAACCCTCATGTATCTGCCCCTGGCCCCAACAACTGTCTTGTCTCCCTTGAAGAACTCAACAGTAAACCCGTTCGGACCAGGCGCTTTATCATTCACTAAGTTCATGAAAACTCACTTGATCTCTTCCCTAGTCATATGCACTACTAGCTCCGTTGCATCCTCCACACCCAATTTTTGTTGAAGAATATCACCATAATAGTCGACTGGGTGCTCAACCACTGCAAAATCCTCTGTACCCAATAAGCTTTGATAGAATTTTACTGCCACATCTCCCATATCTTTAACTTTGGTAACTGTTGTACCTTCATCTCTAATCAATTTTCTAATAGATGCTTATGATTTCTGATCTTCACCATTCTATGGAAAAAGCGGTATTAGCACCCCCCTTGAATCTAGCTACCTCTATACTATTGCCTATATAAGCTCTCTTCTGCCTTAGTAAATCTTGACATAGCCTGCTTCAGCTCCAACTTAACATTAATATCATTAGGTTGAAGAAGCACTCCAGTCTGCCTTCTTTCCAATTCCAATTAAGCTTCTCTGGCTCTAACAGAGATCTCAGAGTAGCATTCAGATTAAGAGTCCTTAGCTTACTCTTAAACAACTTAAACTTCTTGTAAAATTGCTTATAGAAAGCTCTTGATGCCTCTTCACTCCATTCTTCTATTAATAAACTTTCATAGTCTGGATGCTGTCTCCACATCTTGAAATACTTAAACGACTTAGGAAGAGAGTCCACTATTAGACACGAATCCATTAGTCGACCACATCGGCAAGAAAACCCAGGTGTTGGAGTATGCACAACACTATGAGGAAACTTATCCATCCACTCCCCACTGACCAAGAATTTGTCAAGTCGCTTTGCAATAGGATTCTTGACCTGCTTGTTCCACCACGTGAACCAAGAACCCTATACAACATGATGAACTAACTGCATCTTATTTATCCATTGTCGAAACTCTAAACAACTTTGATTTATCACTGACATATTGGATGCCTCCACCAGTGAGACAATAGCATTGAAATCACCCATAAACACACTAGGAGATCCTCGAGCACATCTCATCAATAATGTAGCATACATCTTAGACCTCTCTGATGTCTTATTTGGAGCATAAACCGTTGTAACCAATCATTCCTCATCACCCACCACTCGAACGTGTATAAAATTCTCACCCATAGCAACTTCAGAAACTGTCAAATTGAATTTCCAAGACAACCAGACTCTGCCTAAACTAGAATACTTGTAATTATTCATATGTGTCCAAACTCTAAACTGATCCTTTATTATAGTATCAACATTACTAGCTACTACTAGGGTCTCTAAAATAGCAAACAAATTAATATTATTCTTACAAACTTTCTTACTAATAAACCTATGTTTCTCAGAGGCATTAAAGCCTCTGAGGTTCCAACATAGCATCTTCATCACTTCTATTTCCTCCCCCCCCCCTCTTTTTAAGAGAGTCATGAATAACCAAGCTATGACCCTTTGCATTTAATGGAATTCTTGCATGTATTTAGGGCTGTTAGTCGGTTCGGTTTCGGTTAAATCGAACCGACTAGTCGGTTAGCCGACACAAATAAACTTTCATAGTCTGGATGATATCTCCACATCTTGAAATACTTAAACGACTTAGGAAGAGAGTCCACTATTAGACACGAATCCATTAGTCGACCACAGCGGTAAGAAAACCCAGGTGTTGGAGTATGCACAACACTATGAGGAAACTTATCCATCCACTCCCCACTTACCAAGAATTTTTCAAGTCGCTTTGCAATAGGATTGTTGACCTGCTTGTTCCACCACGTGAACCAAGACCCTATACAACATGATGAACTAACTGCATCTCATTTATCCATTGTCGAAACTCTAAACAACTTTGATTTATCACTGACATATTGGAAGCCTCCACGAGTGAGACAATAACATTGAAATCACCCATAAACACACTAGGAGATCCTCGAGCACATCTCGTCAATAATGTAGCATACATCTTAGACCTCTCCGATGTCTTATTTGGAGCATAAACCGTTGTAACCAATCATTCCTCATCACCCACCACTCGAACGTGTATAAAATTCTCACCCATAGCAACTTCAGAAACTGTCAAATTGGATTTCCAAGACAACCAGACTCTGCCTAAACTAGAATACTTGTAATTATTCATATGTGTCCAAACTCTAAACTGATCCTTTATTATAGTATCAACATTACTAGCTACTACTCGAGTCTCTAAAATAGCAAACAAATTAATATTATTCTTACAAACTTTCTTACTAATAAACCTATGTTTCTCAGAGGCATTAAAGCCTCTGAGGTTCCAACATAGCATCTTCATCACTTCTATTTCCTCCCCCCTCTTTTTAGGAGAGTCATGAATAACCAAGCCATGACCCTTTGCATTTAATGGAAATCTTGCCTGTATTTAGGGCTGTTAATCGTTTTGGTTTCGGTTAAACTAAACCGACCAGTCGGTTAGTCGACACAAATAAAGAGCTGAAATAGGCAACCGCAACCGTAACTGATTGAGTAATCGGTTAGCCGAAACCACCAAGCGAAATCCTCGGTTCGGTTTGGTCGATTAGACTTTGACCGAAATAAAAGGGAATTAAAAAAAAATCCCCACACGATTCTGGATCCTTCCCACCGTCCCTATCTGCAAAGAACAACTCTCTCTCTACTCTATCCCTCTCCGCCTCTCTGGCTCTCTGCTACCCTCCCTCTCCCTTTCCCCTCACCAAATCTCCATCTCTACCTCTCTGCTACCTTCTCCCCTCACAAAATCAACACAAAAAATCAACATAAACTTGCAAGGAATAAGTGTTGGATCTGGCCGGATTTCTCACTCTGTGGCGACGACGACGACGAAGGTCGACAATCGGCGCCGGCGCCGATGATGGATGGAAATGGACGCCGACGAGGGACGTCGAGGATGAGGGGGTAGGTGGGGGATGCGACGATGAGAGAGGCTTCCACTTTCGGCCATATTCGGCCAGTTTCGGAGAGAAGGGTCGGCGAAGTCGGGCGGGGAAACTGGGGATGTGGAGGGCGGTGGTGGTGGCCTTGTGGGAGGCTGGATATGGAGAGGGAGAGAGGGCCGATGCGGGGTGAGGAGAGGGAGATGAGAGATTTGTCGGTTGCAGCGGTGCACCGAGTTTGATCTCGGTTAGAAACCGGCAACCGACGGTTAGCCTAAAGCCCAGAATTAGCCCACCGACGCCGACACCGAGGCAAATATCTCGGTTTCCGGTTAGGTTGATAACCATGATTTTTGGTTCGGTTTTTGGTTCAACTGATTAACCGTCAACCAATTATCATCCTTACCTGTATTGCAGAGGAAGGTATCTTTAGTGCAGACTCCTCTGCCTTCCCTTTTCGCACTACAAGCTAGAAACCCTCACCATCAACTATTTTCCCATTATTTGGAGTAAGAACCTGAGATGAGCTAGCTACTGAGTCTTCACTCTTCAGAATCGAGCCAGCTACTTGCACTGGACCTCCTTCAGTTAAAATTGAGCCAGCTACTGAAACTGGACCTCCTCCATTTAATTCAACAACTAGAGCCGAATCACCTTCCTTCAAATTTGAGCCAACTACTTGAATTGGACCTCGTCCATTAGTATTTGAGCGAGCTACTGGAAGTGGACCTCCTCCACCCTGCATTGAAGAACTAGCAGTAACTTGCTTAGCAACCCAGGCCACATCATCAGTCATAGCTTCAGCAACCACCAACTCTCTCCCAGTCTGAGCATGCACAACCTTACACTCTTTGCCTTCCCCATCACAGTGCCCATATTCATTGCACTGAGTACAACGTGATGGAACATGTAGATAGCGAACCACAAGATGTACCGAATGATCCCCTTCAAGTGTAATACTGAGCATTTCTGGAAATTCGAAGTTCGCAGGAATCTCCGCACATACCCTCATAGCGCCTGCTTGAGCTCCCAATCTATTCGTCTGGTCCATCCATAAAGGAATACCTAACAGACTAGCAATGCGACTCATCCCCTCCGTTGTACTATATTCCAACGACAATCCACTCAGACACACCAAAATAGGGGGAGACTTGAGATTCATTTCCATAGATTGAATTCCAGGGACCCAATGATGAAGAATTAACAGATTATTTGCGTAGTGCTAGAGGTCATTCTCAAATACCCAATTACCTGTAACAATATTTGCAAACTGGAAAATGAACATGTTATCACCGAATGGCGAGGCCAAAACCTTTCCATCGTGACCCCAAAATCTATGAGCCCATCGTCACAACTGCTCAATTCCAGGTGCCAGCGACAGGAACTGCCCAACCAGTGCATTCCTCCAACTAGCAGCCCCCTCGTCATGCACAGCTCGCGAAATTATAATGAAAAAATCCACAATGTTCGGAGCAAGGTACTGGAGCCGATTGGATTCGCCAACACCGAACAGCTGCGCCCATATAACATGGGTACCTGCGGGGCCATCCTCCGGAACCCAAATTTTTCAGAAAGTAAAAAACAACTTTTTTCAGAGAGACTATAGTTGTTACCTTAAATTCTTTTTTTTTAATAGAGTTACCTTTTATTCTTAATTACTGTTTAGTTGGGGGAAAAAAATTTGCGTTTGCTATTTGGGGTCAATTTTCATACAATGTCAGATTTGGGGTTAATTACTGTTTAGTTGGGAGAAACTATGGTCATTGGGGTATGAATTCTCCAAATATCACAAATGAGTTATTTTCCACATAATAAGGGGAGGATTAGTATTTTTGAAATGTCATGGTATTGTTTTTTTATTCCCATTTTGTCCTCCCGATCTTCATATAAATCCAAGATATCCTTGTTTTTATTCCCAAACTTGGTAAATGCCTTTTTCTGGTCATATCTTGTTGAATTTGTTTCCACCTTCTTCTTTATTGTGTTCGCCTACGTCGGCTCTTCCATGACTTTCAATGAGTCTAACTTTCTCTAATTAACATATACATACAAGTCCCCACATTTACATAGTTTAACACATATTTCATTGAGAAGAATCCTCTAAGTTATAATTGATAGTATAAGAAGAATAACACCATGAGCTTAAAGTCTTAATCATCTTTATAGATCAAGTGACTTGAATAAGTTATACATGGACATAAGCTACTATTAAGTTTTGGGACAAAAATTTATGGTATACGAAGAGTCAAAATTAAATGGTTTGGTTGTAGCAAATAAATTTAGATAGTCTATGTGCAACTAATTAAAGTAAAATTTAGAGGGTATTTATACAATTAAGCTATGTATATAAGAAGGGGTGGAGGAAGTGTAACAATGTGAGTTTCGGGAACCATCCTATTTTATAAGGGAAATGCATAAATTAGGTATAATAGTTGACTGAGAATGAAAATTTTGGGGGAGGTGTATAATTGAGAATGGTTAACCCGAGATGTCTTGTATTCAAATCTTGTCGACCCCATTTGTTAAACACATTTAGTTCAAATTTGTGCAAACTTCAAACCCTTTGTTCCGAGGATGTGTGCTAGCAAATGATATAAGATCCATCATTGAACATCTCTCAACAACTTGAGTTATTGCTACTAAATGATTCTCAAAGCAGAACACCATACCATTCGAAAGCAAACGACTAACTAAATCATCAATAAATATTTGGTACACAGGAAATGATATTCTTGATAGTTTCGCCTACTAATATATTTTGATTTATCATTTTTTTCAAATATAAGATTATATGATGGATGATTAAAAAGTTAACAAAACTATTTTATCATATATAATTTTTTTAAATGATCCCACCTCGAGCGAAATCTTAGCTAACCCCGTATATAAGTTTAAGGGGTGGGATACCGTCACAACCCACTCCCTAGCCATTAGATACGTATGCTCTCTCTCCTGTCACTTTCTTCTCTTTTCAAATTGATGGTTAAGATTAAAAGAAGTGTATTTTTGGAAAAGAAAATATTAACACACTCAATCATTCTCCCTCCCATATAAATAAAAAAACTCTAACTCCTCCCTCTCCCTCCTCCATCTCTCTAGCAGACGACACTGTCGCTGCCACCACCACCACCGCAGCCCACTGCCTCCCTCCACCCCTGTCGCGCCCTCCACCGCTGTCATCCTGCAACCCTCCATCTCCCTTCACCCCCTGTCGAGCCCTCCACCGTCGCCGCCTCCGCAATCCTTAGCCTCCCTCCACCCCCTGTTGTTGCCAGCTCTTTGTCATCGCCGCCTCCTCTGTTTACCTCTCCAGGTGTGCGTCCCTCTGCCACTACTCGTTCTCTCCTCCCCTTCGTTTTTCATATCTTTGATTTCTAGATTTTCATATCTGTTTTTTTCCAAATGGTAGTGATTTTCAGCTGGTACCAGATGAAGTAGTACGCTACCACTATCATCTAGATGGTTGTGGCAGCGTACCACTAAAAAATCACTATCACTAGACTAATGGACTTATACATTTTTTAACGCAACTTGTACTTTTTCAGGTTGCTGGAGGGAGTCTGGCGGAGAAATTTCGTCGGAGGAAGTCTGCCGGAAGGATTTCGCAGAAAAAAAATCAGCTGGTCGGAGCGGAGTGGCTGCTGGAATAGGATCAGAGAGATAGACATGTATTTATTGTATGATTTAAATTTAAAAAAAACTATGTATATAATATGAGTTTTAATTTCCAATATGTAATTAATAAAAAACAATTATTAATATATAATTTTTTATGCCCAAAATATCCTCTCACAACTCTTGGGAGAAGTGAGCATGTCCCACCCCCTAAATTTAATAATAATTACATGTACCTCAATTGAAATTATCGTTGGATCTATTGATCTTTAGCGTCATGCATTTGGATTTTGGAATATACACTTACAAGTTACAAAACGGAGAAACATGCTTAATCAGAATAATAGAAAGTAGAAATTTAATTTGTCTCTAAAGAAAGTTGCAGAATGTATTTTTTTTTTCGGAAGATAGAGTTAGCACAACATTAACCACCATGTTGCAACCAATCATTCTAAAATCCTACCGAATGTTGTACCAAAAAATGTTAATAATACGAAATTTTATTCTATAACCGTAATTCAACCATTTCAAATTGTTAAAAACAAATTACTAATTTAGACTCATAGTCTCTCACAAGAGATTTTATCCATTAGACTGTCACTACTATACACGATTTTACAACACATAATATTACTTGGGAATCATAAATAAAAAATAAAAAAAATTCACTAATCTTCGGAAATGTATATTATATTCTCTGCACACATTAGCTTTTTTCTTATAAACAGAGTTAAGCATTCCATTTCGTACAACGAGAAACTATGCATCGTCATAACAAGCAATCCTCGCGCTTGTTGATTCTACTCTCACTAACAACGTCCCATTTGCTCCGATTCTCGACCCTTACAGCTTCGGCGCCGGCGGCGAGTCCGTCACGCGATAAAGTGGCGATGCCGCCGCCGCTGCCAGTCCTGCCGCTGCCGTCATCCTCGCAGCTGAAATGGCAGCAGAGGGAGCTGATAATGTTCCTCCACTTCGGCGTCAACACCTTCACCGACTCCGAGTGGGGCACCGGCCGCGAATCCCCTTCCGTGTTCAACCCGGTCGGGCTCGACGCCGGCCAGTGGGTCAGCGCCGCCGTCGCCGCCGGTGTCTCCCTCGTGATTCTGACGGCGAAGCACCACGACGGATTCTGCTTGTGGCATTCCAAATACACCGACCACTCGGTGGCGTCGAGCCCGTGGAAGGGAGGGCGTGGGGATGTGGTCGGAGAGTTGGTCGGCGCCGCTGCGGAGGGCCAAAGCGGCGGCGGGGTCGACGTCGGGATTTACCTTTCGCCGTGGGATCGACATGACCGGAGGTACGGTAAGACTTTGGAGTACAATGAGTACTACTTGGCGCAATTGCAGGAGCTCCTTACCAGGTAATTCAGTAAATTTTAATTTGTAACAAGTTGTTACAACTTACAAAGAATAAACGGAATATGGCACTTTATTTTAGACAGTAAAAATAATAAATTGATGTAAAAAATACTATTTTAGTGGCACAAATTTAAAGAAAATAAAGAAGAAGAAAGAATTGAAAACTACTAAAATTGTTTGGAATAAAATGAATTGAGTATTCATATGATTGGAATGTCATATTCAAATATTTCGTGTTTGGAATAGGTTCATAATTGAATTAAATTAAAAGTTTTCAACTATACCTTTTATTAATCGCCAGTCAAAACAATATTACATTACCCGTCGAAAATTCATCTTTTAAAAATGCAAGTGTCAAAGTTGTCATTCAACCAAGCAAAAAACAAAAATAAGTAGTATCATGCTAGCAGTGATGCGGCTTAGCAGAAGAATGAATCACGGAGAATCGGTCTTAAAGCACACAAAAGATGATATAGTAGTCAAATGATGATTATATATGATGTTAAGTAGGGGTGAGCAATGGGCGGGTTGGGTGGATTTTCGTTTTAAATTGATCCATCCGCTTAGTAGCGAGTTGGAATAATTGTAACCCGTAATCTCGGGATGGCAATGGGTCGGGTTGGGGCGGATTTTGTCAAACCCAAACCCAAACCCAAACCCATGGGTTTATCTGCCAAAAAAACCCGGGATAAAACCCGCTAGGTTTGAAAACTCAAACCCAACCCAACCCGCTGGGTATCTGCGGGTTCATGGGTACCCGTGGGTTTTTGTGGTAAAAAATTTACAATAACAAATTTCTTTCAAAATAAAAGTTTAACATCAATTTTCTCATACAAATTATTCATACAAAAAACACTAATCTAGAGCATACAAGCAAACCGCAAATGATTAATACAAATTTTTCAAAATTAAAGATAAACATCTATAAACCACAAGATTAATTGAAATTTTCTTCCTCGTCAACTAATTTTCTTCACTCTCCATTCCATAATATCAACTTCATTCTAAACAATTAGAAAGAACAAATTATACATGTCTCCACAAACATAAAGAATATTAGTTGTTTAATGAAGATATATTATTTAGAATATTAAACATACCGGGAAAGTAATTATATGTGTGTGGACAGGTACCCATGGGGCGGGTTTACCTAAACCCAAACCCAACCCAACCCGGTGAATAGTGTAGCGGGTTTAAACCCGAACCCGGCCCAAAACCCATCAACACAGATTTTACCCGCGTTGACCGAGTTGGGTCGGGTGGGTACCCGTGGGTTCGGGTTTTGTTGCCATCCCTACCACAATCCATCCACATTCATCTGCGATCGGGTTGGGTGGATGGCGGATGAGTGTGGTTGGGTTGTGGGTTAACCCGCAAAAGCAATTCTCAAATTAGCCATTAAGAAAGTTGACTAACATTTATAATAAGTTCATAATAAATTAGTAAGACTGTATTTATTTAAACACTTCTCACTTTGTCTCAAGTGAATTCATGTAGTATTTGCATAAAAAGTAGTCAAAACAACATTCTCCTACTCTTCAGCCTTACACAAACAGTAGTCAAAACAACATTTTTTCATGTGAAAATAGGATGCGGGTAATTCGAGTGACTCGTAATCCACCCACCACTCACCCACATAAGTGCGGGTGAGAGATTTATCAATCCGCAATCCACCCACATCAATCACCCACTGCTTGCGGGTCGGGTTATTTGCAGGTGGATCGATATCAATCCACGAATTAACCACCCACGTGTCCAAGTAGCGGCTAGGCGAGGAAGGTTATACACATAAATCTAGAGTATTTGCGTTAAATTGCATTTATATGAGTAATTTACTTACTAATTAACGATAATTATGTCGTTTTATCATAATTAGTATTTAGTAAAATACTTGTGAAGTTTATTTGGAAATCTACCTTATTTTTTCAAAATTGGTAACACTAATCTGTGTAGAATTCAAAATTCAAAATAACTTTTTTTATCTGCCAAACACAAAATAAATTCCTAAATTTATTTATACCAAACGAAGTTATAAAGTTTCCTTGATGGGCATTGGGCAGGTACGGGAGTGTGAAGGAGATATGGTTCGACGGAGCAAAAGGTTCGAACGCGCCGAACATGTCGTACGACTTCACCGACTGGTTCGCCATGGTAAAGGAGTTACAGAGCTCCGCGAATATCTTTTCCAACGCCGGCCCCGACGTCCGATGGGTCGGCAACGAAAATGGGTTCGCCGGAACCACTTGCTGGTCCACTATCAACCGGACGGCGCTCTCCATCGAAAACGGAAGCAACCTTGAGTGAGTTTATCAACTGTTCGAGATAATAAAAACATAATTAAATCTCTAATGGCAGCGAATTTGAAAAAACTACGGATCCAATGCAGCTATCTAAACACCGGAGACCCGGCAGGAACAGATTGGGTGCCGGCAGAATGCGACGTCTCCATAAGAACAGGGTGGTTCTGGCACAAATCACAGTCCCCCAAAAACCTCACCCAATTGCTCGAAATCTACTACAATTCCGTCGGCCGGAACTGCCTTCTTCTCCTCAACGTTCCCCCGAACACCACCGGACTCATCCCCGAATCCGACGTCGAGAGACTGCGAGAGTTCAGAACCGCAATCGACACCATCTTCTCCACCAACTTGGCCGAAGGATGCTCTGTCAGAGCTAGCAGCAACAGGGGAGGGAGAAATAATGGCGGGTTCGCGCCGGAGAATGTGCTGGACGAGGACCATTTGTGGACGTATTGGGCACCCGACGGCAGAGAAGAAAGAGATGGGTATTACTGGATTGAGATTTCGAGTGGTGGGTCGTCGTTGAAATTTAACGTGATCAGGATTCAAGAGGCGATTGGTTTGGGGCAGAGGATTAAGCGGTATGAGATTTATGTCGAGGGAGAGAAGATTGCTAACGGGACGACAATTGGGTACAAGAGGCTTCATAGGCTCAAGAAGGGAGTTGTTGGTGGGCGAAATGTGATGATTAAGATTTTGGAGTCTAGAAGTGTGCCATTGATATCGTCTTTTGGCCTCCACTGTGACCCTTATTACTGGCATTCAAAGTGACGAATGTGAAGCTTAAGTATGTATAATAATACGACCAATCTGTCACAAGTTTGCAGTATTCGAGCAACTTAAAATGCAGACAATTAGGAAAGGAATACTACTTTTTTAACAGACATGAAATGTAAAGCAGCAATGAAAACTCCAGGGTAGTTTCCGAAGGTGTTCTTCATCAGCTGTGGAGCCTAGGGAGGGCAAGCAAATGGAGGCCACCATCCATGTGAAGCGTGAACATGAGACGATACGTCGCACCTTTGCTCTCGTCCACCAGCTTGAACTTGAAGAAGTAGAGTAGGATTGCTGCGAAGATTTTCATCTGCCTGTAAGCAAACTCCTTCCCCAGGCAGATCCTAGGTCCCGCCTTTTACCCGCCGATAACAAAGCAAAGAAACCACATTTTCATAAGCATAAGTTGATTGAATAGACTAAGAGGCTAACCATAGAGTTGTTAGATGATACCCACCTGAAAAGCAGTGAACTTGAAGGGACTTTCTGGGCTGAACACGCCATCCTCGTTCAGCCATCGTTCTGGCCGGAATTCCTCTGCATCTTCACCCCAAATAGAAGTCATCCTTCCCATGGCGTAAGCCATGTAGGTGACTCCATCTCCCTTTCTCACTCTAAAGCCATCTGGGAGAACGTCATCCTCAGCAGCACTCTTGCCATCCTAGGATTTCGTGGATACACATCAAAGATGACTCAGAATCATACAAACACCAAATTTGTCAAAATGGAAATCAGATAAACGCGTCAAGTACCACAGGAACTGCAGGGTAGAGTCTGAGAGTTTCTGTTAGAGCGGCATGAAGGTAATGCATTTTGTCCAAAGCTTCCTGAGTCAGCAGCTCCACAAACTCCTCAGCTGATGTTACTTCTCCCTTCTGATTGGCTGTTGCAGCTTCCCTGACTTCCTGAGCAACCTTTTCTTGGACCAGGGGATGTTTGCAGAGGGAGTAGAAGAACCAAGTGAGGGAATTTGCAGTCGTGTCTTTTCCTGCTATGATGAAATTGAGGGTTATGTCTCTCAAATACTTATCAGTCATGTTCTCCTGGTCTTTCTCACTTTCCAACAGAAACCTGGACAGTATGTCTTCCTTCCCCAGAAGAGTTTCTCCATTTCTCATTTGTTCTCTCTTGCGTTCAATCAGCTTATATATGAAGGCATCGATGACTTTCATGTTCTGCTTCAGATTAGCTTCCCAACCTATATTGAAGATCCTCTTGAGTTTCCACGTCATATCAACGAATCTCCTGAAGGTAACAGAATTCGCATCGTCGAATGCTCTAGCGAATTGCTGACCGAGGTCGTCTGATCCAGACAAAGCATTGAGTTCCATCCCAAATCCCACCTTGAACATCGAGTCTAAAGTTGATTTCATCAGCATATCCTTCAGATGAAAATGAAACCCACAGCCTATGTCAGTCAAGGAACTTTAACCAAACAACTACAAGTTCCCGTCTTTCGTGAAAGAACGAAACTGATTGATATTCTAACTTCCAGTATGTCTAAGTTTCTCAAACCATACAGTGATCATTCACCAACCTGCATATCTATGGTCTCCATAGCTGCTGTTGCAACAGTGATCTTTGAAACCAACTTCGTGGCGTTGACCCTGAAAACATTAGTACTGAAATCCCTGAGAACTTTGGTTGAGAATTCATGGCTGGCAAGCTTCCTCTGGTGACGCCATTTATCCCCATCCGTTGCAAAAATTCCATCCCCAAAAAGATCGTTCATGATTCCCAGATTGTAGTCCCCCTATTGAAATAGGCAAACAAAGATCACACATGAGCTCAAAAAGCATAATATAAACTCAGACTTCAATCAGCAGAGAAGGAATAAGCAAAGCCGTCGAAATCTGAAGCCAGAGTGACCATAATCAAAGCAAAAAGAACATATCCCGTACCTTCCCATAGTTGGGGAAGTTGGTTTTCAGTATGTATTCAACATTAAAAGGATCCACGGTATAAATTTCACTGTGGGATGGAGTGAGGAGACGATACGTTGGGTGTTTCCTAGCAAGAGATGTCTGATAATCGAAGAGTGAATCAAAGTGAACGAGCTGCAACAGAATTGGGCCAACGACGGGAGGCCGCTGATGATTCTTCACCACCGATTCTTTGATGTAGAACAACGCATACCGTAAAACAAACACCACAAGGAAGAAGATCAAAAACCCACAAAGAAGCAAGATGATGGAAGTATGGAAATAACCCAGAACAAGAACAAACAGGAGAACTGCGGCAGGAAGGCGACTCATCCTAAGAGATCAGGTATTCAGGGTAATACAAAAATCAGAGCAAGCAACACTGCAGAAGAGTATTATATATTCAGTTATTTACCAGTTTTATTTCCTTCGCTTTCATTTCTTAATCTGGAAGTTTATCTTGTCCTTTTGTCTTTCAAAAGACGGCTGAAAATATATCCTGTTGTGTGACCAATTCTTTGTAGTTATAACCCGTATCAATCACGGATTCTTTTAAAAACAATTTTTTCACTGGTTTCATCAACCCAACCGCGTGGCGTAGCCTTTGAATTCTGATTTCACTTTTCAGTTAATGCACCATTTTCAGCTACGAGCAGTACCTTCAGAGTTGGTACCAAACTACGTAGCTTTCTAAACCGTCTGAATGGTTAGCTAAAACTGCCACTATTTGAAATTGCAGATAGTGCAGCAAGCTAGATGTAGCCTGTATAACAATTGATGTTACCTGTGAATGATCTTCCTTGGAACTCACTGACTGTTAAGGTTGACGGCTTGTCTGTCTGTTACTGATTTTAGCCACCATCCTCGATCACAGATTCACAGTGTCCCAGGGGAACTCGCTTGCAAACAACTCATAATTTGTTGGCGGTACTGTAGAGAACTTCATACAAGCTATATATCCACAGGATCACATTCACACTCCCTTTTAAGTAACTGGGTATCAGTACACAGGCTGACAAGTAAACTGACAGGTTGTTATCTCATATGGTCTGCTAGCATCAGTTCCACACGGCTCAAACTCTGTGAAGAACATTCGAATGCTTTCTTTGCCAAGAGGTGATATTTCTTCTACTATCCATTCTTTCGAAGAAATCCAACGTACATTATTCCCGCTCCTGAATTACCCAAGGATCATCGAGTTCCTGAGAGACAGCACCTCTCTTGGACATTTCGTCGAACACCTTCCTTGCACTCGCTAAAACATTCCTCTTTTAGCCTCCCAGGTATAAGAAAGGAAAAGGAAAAACACATCCTTCTACCTAAATTCCTAATCAAGTCGATTGACTAGTACCTTACCCAGTTAAAGGGATCCGCATAAAATTAGGATCTCCAATTATACATTACCCACAAGTCCTCGACGAGTCCCTTCTAAGTTCTAACCTCACCTCAAGCTCCTGAAATCTTCTTTCCCCTTCTCCAAAAGAACACAGCCATGGCGGCCCATCAACCGAACCTGTTGGAAGTCTCGATCATCGGAGAAGAGGGAGGAAACCGGACGGTACCGGCGGAGATTATGAATTGGAAGCAAAATTACATTGTTCGTTGGCTAAATTACACGTTTGGTCACTCAAATTACATAAATCTTTCATGTTTGCCACCCAAATTATTTTTCTTTCTTATTGACCACTAACTTTACAAATCGTTTCACCGTTAGTCACCGACCGTCAGGCTTCGTTAACTCCGTCAGTTTTTTGATGACATGGCAAACAGAATTGTTGACTCGACCATAAAATAATGACATGTCATTTTAAAAAACTAAAATAATTAACCCCATTCTCACCGTCGGAGCCTACATCCAGGCAATCGAACGGGACCCAACACCGCCACCAACTTCGACGTTGCCAATTACCTCGACCGCCTCCATGCACGCCAAGAGAATCACGGTGCTGGAAAGGGAGAACGAGGCGTTGAATCTAGATTCGTGAGAGAGAAGGAGGTGAGAGAGGTGGATTGAAGATTATGGAGGACAAGATTTGGGAGCTAAGGAAAATGGCGATGAAGAGGGAGACGGGGAGATCTGGGAGGGTTTTTTTATGTTGGGCTGCGAAAGATAGCTGATGGAGGCCGCAGCGGAAAACGGCGCTTGGAGTTCAATCGGAGCAAGGGAGCGAGCAGCTACGGCTGAGATCTGTTTCTCTAATTATTGACGGGATTAACCACTCCCTTCTCTCTCCAATCGAAATCCTCAGGCAAATCGCTGCTCGGGAGGATCGGCGCCATGTTGGCGTCGGTGGGAAGCCTAGGCTCTGTGAGCCCCAAAATTGCCTCGTGAACTCGCGAAGGATCAGATCGGAGAACCGAATGATTCCGATAGACGCGATGGGTTCGAGAAATTGGTGGGGACCAGCGCCTGGATATTGGGTTTTTTGGACCCGTCGTCAGGGAAAGGAGTCGTATGTGTGGGTGGTTTATTTTGGCAAGTTCGGTGAAGAGGTGAAGCAAGAAGAGCAGCCTCTTTAGTTGATAGAGAGAGATGCAGAACTCTAGTCGCCATGAGGGAAAGAACTATGCTGTAGAAGAAATTGGTGAGGCGGGTCTGGAGCGGCTCCGGCCTGAACAGAGGAGGGTGGTGGTCGTCGTTCGTCGGACTGCGGATCGTGCGAAGAGAAAGGAGAAGAGAAAGGTTGCGGTGGATTTAAGGAGAGAATGAGGTGGAAAACTTTTTTATTTTTATTTTTTATTTAAATTGACATATCAGGCCCCGTCAACAATTTTGTTTGCCATGTCATCAATAATCTGACGGTCTTAACGGAGTTTGACGGAAACTAACGGCCGGTGATTAACGGTGAAACAATTCGTAAAGTTAGTGGTCAATAAGAAAGAAAAGTAATTCGAGTGGCAAACGTGAAAGATATATGTAATTTGAGTGACCAAACTTGTAATTTAGCCTTGTTCGTTAACAGATACATATACCGACATAAAATCCTAATCAAAGCATAAATAAAGTAAGTAGTACACAATTAATCCTACACTATGACAAACATACAATCAAGTCCTTTATACTTAGGGATGGCAATGGGTCGGGTCGGAGACGGAAAGTGCATATTCGTTACATTATCCAAAATAGTTCGGGTTTTACTCATACCCATACCCACATAAGAAACAGGTAGAAAATCCAAACCATGCCCATACCCGTTCAGGTTTCGGGTATCCATGGTTATCTATGGGTAATAATTTCTCTTTATAACTTCAATCAATATATTAATATTCACACGTATTCTCGCGTTATGTAAGATGAAAAGTACGATATTCATAGAATGAAGAAAATTAATTAAAGCAACGCAATTTCATAAAAATATTATATTTATATGCTAAACATAAAATATCTTAGAGTAAAATATTGATTATTTCTAGACAAAAAATATATGCATGTATATAATCGGGCGGTTTTGGGTTGGATAGTGAGAAAACCATGCCCACCCATTACCCCAATATTCGGGTTCGAGTTTTACCCGTACCCACTAAAAGTCCTTCGGGTTTGACTTTTACTCTATCTTATTAGGTCAGATTCGGGCGGATATTCACGATTACTGATATTTTTACCATCCCTATTTATACTATTACATATATTCAATCAAGTCTTCAGCCTTTAAATAATTTATATAGGAACCTTTTAGCAATTCTCTTTTTATTTGATTTTTTTCTTTCTTTCATGAAATTCATATCATTGTTCTTATTTGACACATATTCCGACGAAGTGTGTTCATTTTCGACATTCTATTAATAGACATAATTGCTATTAATCTAAAAACGACCTACCATGTGTATTAATATAACGTGTATATTGGTGCTCCAAATTTTATTTTTGAATTCTTATAGATTGACAATCTTTGTGAGTTTCTGGCTATCAACTAAAAGTCGATTGATCACGCGTATTTCAATCACGTGTATTTCAAGGATTCATTTTCATTTTCGAACCTTATCAATTGACAATTTTTGTGAGTTTTCCAACTATGCAAATAAATATTTTATTTTGCATAGTCATATTTTTGAATATGAGCCTTAATTGGTCGTCTATTCCAATTTACTTTCATTGGTTTATAGCTTCAACCTGGTGTTATATAGTTTCATTTATCGATTCACCCAATTGAAAATTGTATTAGATTAATATTTTATATTTTGTTTAGCATATTACTTCATAAATAAGAATATAAAATTGTTTAGCATAAATAAGAATTGAATATCTCGTGCAGAATATATAATTTCAACCTTGTAAAAGGAAGAAGAATAGAAAAGAGCGACCCACATTTTCCCCGCTCTCCAAATTCTCAGCCTTGCAATGTTCAAAGAAGCCTCTAATGAAGGACTAATTATTGACTTAAATCACGTAATGTGTGATGAGTGGTAATTATTGATTGATTTAGAAGTCATCGTGTGGAAAAATATACCATGATAATGCGGTTGATAACTTAATCAATTTTCTCCCTACTTATATAAATTTCGTCCTCGAACTTTGCACTGTATCGTAACTTCTGGCTTATGATCGTGATAGTCCGTTTCCATACAACCATATTTTCCTTAAGTTGCTCATCACTTATCAAATCATCCCATCTAAGTAGCACTTGATCACAGGAATCTCAATTGTCATCCTTATCTACCTTTGCATTATTTATCAAATCCTCCTCCTAGTTGGCACCATACCTCGAGGTTTGTCCGTAATTGTCTTGCTGCTTTGAAAGTCTTGTCGTCAAATCCAACAGATATTGCTGGCATTCGTTCTGCAATATGAATTTGATGCCCAACACCATTATCACAGTTACTGCTCTCGAATCAGATATCAGCTTATTTCTGTGACAAGATTGCAGTATTCGAATAACTTAAGATGCAGAAAAGGAAAAGGAAAAGGAAGACCATTTTAACACATGCAATGTAAAACAAAGAGGCAGTGCAATGAAAACTCCAGGGTAGTTCCATAGGCAATCATCAGCTGTGGAGCCTGGGGAGGGCAAGCAAATGAAGGCCTCCATCCATGTGAAGCGTGAACATGACACGATACGTCGCTTCTTTGCTCTCGTCCACCAGCTTCAACTTGAAGAAGTAGAGTAGGTTTGCTGCGAAGATTTTCATCTGCCTGTAAGCAAACTCCTTCCCCAGGCAGATCCTAGGTCCCGCCTTTTGCCCCGCCGATAACAGCACAAGAACACACATTTACATAAGCTCATGAGTGGACTGAAGAGAAAAGTGGCTAATCACAGTCCTTAGGTACTACTGACCTGAAAAGCAGTGAACTTGAAGGGACTTTCGGCCCTGAACAGGCCATCCTCGTCCAGCCATCGTTCTGGCCGGAACTCCTCTGCATCTTCACCCCAAATAGAAGTCATTCTTCCCATGGGGTAAGCTATGTAGGCTACTCCATCTCCCTTTCTCACTCTAAACCCATCAGGGAGAACGTCATCCTCAGCAGCACTCTTGCCATCCTAGGATTTCGTGGATACACATCAAGGACTACACAGATTCATACAAACACCAAAATTGTAAAATGGAAATCAGATAAAAGCGTTAAGTACCACAGGAACTGCAGGGTAGAGTCTGAGAGTTTCTGTTACAGCCGCATGAAGGTAATGCATCTTGTCCAGAGCTTCCTGAGTCAGCAGCTCCACAAACTCCTCAGCCGATGTTACTACTCCCTTCTGATTGGCTGTTGTAGCTTCCCTGACATCCTGTGCAACCTTTTCTTGGATCAGAGGGTGTTTGCAGAGGGAGTAGAAGAACCAAGTGAGGGAATTTGCAGTCGTGTCTTTTCCTGCTATGATGAAATTGAGGGTTATGTCCCTCAGATACTTGTCAGTCATGTTCTCCTGATCTTTCTCACTTTCCAACAGAAACCTGGAAAGTATGTCTTCCTTCCCCAGAAGAGTTTCTCCATTTCTCATTTGTTCTCTCTTGCGTTCAATCAGCTTATATATGAAGGCATCGATGACTTCCATGTTCTGCTTCAGATTAGCTTCCCAACCTATATTGAAGATCCTCTTGAGTTTCCACGTCATATCAACGAATCTCCTGAAGGTAATAGAATTTGCATCGTCGAATGCTCTGACAAATTGCTGCCCGAGGTCGTCAGATCCAGATAAAGCATTGAGTTCCATCCCAAATCCCACCTTGAACATCGAGTCTAAAGTTGATTTCATCAGCATATCCTTCAGTAGAAAATGAAAGTAACAGCTTATCTCAGTTAAGTAAGGAACTTTAACCAAACAACTACAAGCTCCCTGGCTTTCCTGAAAAGAATGAAACTGATTTCTATTCCAGCTTCAAGTATGTCCAAGTATCTCAAACCATACACTGTTCACCTACCAACCTGCATATCTATGGTCTCCATAGCTGCCGCTGCAACACTGATCTTTGCAACCAACTTCGCAGCGTTGACCTTGAAAACATTAGTACTGAAATCCCTGAGAACTTTGGTCGAGAATTCATGGCTGGCAAGCTTTCTCTGGTGACGCCATTTATCACCATCCGTTGCAAAAATCCCATCCCCGAAGAGATCGCTCATAATTCCTAGATTATAGTCCCCCTAATGAAACAGGCGAACAAAAATCACACATGAACTCGCGGGAACAAAAAATCTAAACATATGCACAAACTTCAATCAGCAGAAGGAGGAAGCAAAGCCGTAGAAATATGAAGCCAGAGAGACTAAAATCAAAGCAAGGGAACATAAAATCGTACCTTCCCATAGTTGGCGAAGTTGGTTTTCAGCATGTATTCAACATTAACTGGATCCACGGTATAAATTTCACTGTGGGATGGAGTGAGGAAACGATAGGTTGGGTGTTTCCTAGCCAGAGATGTCATATAATCGAAGAGGGAATCATAGTGAACCAGTTGCATCAAAATTGGGCCAACAATCGGGGGCCGCTGATGATTCGCCACCACCGATTCCTTGACGTAGAACAACGCATACCGCGAAACAAACACCCCAAGGACGAAGATCAGCAACCCACAAAGAAGCAAGATGATGGAAGTCTGGAAATAACCCAGAACAAGAACAGGCAGGAGAACTGCCGCAACAAGACCATTCATCATGGGGGAATAGGAGAATACAGAAACCAGAGGAAGCTACTCTGCAGAAGATCATACATATTCAGTTATTGACTTATTGACCATAGTTTTATATCCTTTTTTGTGATGTAGTTCTATTTCCTTTACTTTCATTTCTTAATCTCGAAGTTTATTTTGTCTTTTTTTTTTTTTTCTCTCTCAGTAATGAATGGAAGTTTATCTTGTTGTCTACCAAATACCAATCACGGATTCTTTGAAGAAAAAAATAAAATTTCACTGCTTTTATCAACCCAACCGCGTGCCGTAGCCTTTGGATCCTGATTTCACTTTTCAGTTAATGCCAAACAGTAAAAAACGAATTGCACCATTTTCAGCTACGACCAGTACCTTCATGATAGCTAATACTGCCAGTGTGGGGATAAAAGCAGTAGCCAGTAGCCACTATGTGAATTTGCAGATAGCAAATTGCAGAAAGTTAGATGTAGTCTGTGTAACAATTGATGTTACCTGTGGATGATCTTCCTTGGAACTCACTGGCTGTTAAGTCATAATTCGTTGGCCGTACTGTAGAAACCTTCATCAGCTTCCACATTGACACCTGGCTGGATGGCTGGTTGCACCCCTTACAGGTGTATCAACAGTGGAAGAATGATAGTGATGAACTAGTGGCGCGGTCAAGTAACCTTCATCATGCTGAGAGCAACATTTCCCCTTCATTTCTTCAAACATGTCGAATGCAGAAATCATGGTCGTTCCATACATATCACATCCACGCTCCCTTTTAAGGAACTGGGTATCAGTCCAGTCGCCATGATCAGTTGTCCCAAGGAGAAACACAGGCTGACAAGTAAACCAGCATGTTGTTACCTTATATGGTCTGGTAGTATCAATTCCACACGGCACAAACTCTGCATTTCGTGAAGAACATTCCTGTGCTTTCTTTCTTTGCCAAGAGGTCATATTATTTCTAGTATCCATTCTTTCGAAGAAATCCATCGTCTATTCCATTATTCCCGCTCCTGAATTATCCAAGGATCATCGAGTTCCTGAGAGACAAGCACCTCTCTTGGACATTTCGTCGAACACCTTCGTTGCACTCGCCAGAACATTCCCCTTTTTCTCTCTCCCAGGTACGAGAAAGGAAAACGAAATTCGTATCTTTCTCCCTAATGTCCTAATCAAGTCGATTGACTTTTACCTTGCCCAATTAGAGGGATCCGCAGAAAATTATGATCTCCAATTATATATAGCCACAAGCTCACCTCCAAGCTGCTCCATATCTTCTTTCTCCTCCTCCAAAAAAACACACCAGCCATGGCGGCTGCCACCGAGATATCAATCGAACCAGTGCACATCCTCGTCTTCCCTTACCCAGCACAAGGCCACTTAATCCCTCTCCTCGACTTCACCCACCACCTCGCCGCCCGCAGCGCCGGCCGTCTCAAAATCACAATCCTCGCCACCCCTAAAAACCTACCGCTCCTCCAGCCCCTCCTCTCCCGCCACCCTTCCACCATCCAGGCCCTCACCCTCCCTTTCCCTCCCCACCCTTCCATCCCTCCCGGCGTCGAGAACGCCAAAGACTTCCCGCCGAACCCTTCCCACAAACCCGGCGGCGTCCACCTCCTGATGATAGCCGCCCTCGGCGGCCTCCGCTCCCCTCTCCTCCGCTGGTTTCAGTCCACCCCTTCCCCTCCTTCCGCCATCATCTCCGACATGTTCCTCGGCTGGACCCACCGCCTCGCCTCCGACCTCGGCATCCCTCGAGTCGTCTTCTCCCCTTCAGCCGCCGTCACTTTATCCGTCGTCAACTACCTCTGGCGATACATGCCTGTCCTCCCCGAAGACCCCGATTCTCCCTTCCTGTTCCCTCAGCTCCCCAATTCCCCCGCTTGGCCCACCTCCCAGCTCTCCTCGATCTACCGCTCCTACGTCGCCGGCGACCCTGTTTCCGAATTCATCAAAGACGGATTTCTCGCCAATATGGAAAGCTGGGGAGCTGTTTTCAATTCGTTCCACGCGCTGGAATCGAAGTATCTCGATTACTTAAAAAAGGAATTGGGGCACGATCGGGTGTGGGCGGTGGGACCTCTACTCCCTCCCGCCGCCGCCTCCGGCGGCGACGGTAACGGTAAGGATAGAGGCGGGGCCAGCTCCGTCTCGGTTTCAGATCTCGAGGCGTGGCTGGACAGCTGTCCCGATGACAGAGTCGTGTACGTCTGTTTCGGCAGCGAGGCCGTGCTAACGGCGGATCAGACGGCGGCGCTGGCCTCGGGATTGGAGAAGAGCGGGGTCCGCTTCGTGTGGAGCGTGAAGGGCGGGGGAGCGGGACACGTGGCGAGGGAGTTCGAGGATCGGGTGGCGGGAAGAGGCGTGGTGATTCGGGGGTGGGCCCCGCAGGTGACGATACTGAGCCACCGCGCCGTGGGCGCGTTCCTGACTCACTGCGGCTGGAACTCGGTGCTGGAAGGGATCGTGGCCGGGGTGGCGATGCTGACGTGGCCGATGGGCGCGGACCAGTTCATCGACGCCACGTTGCTGGAGGAGGAGCTCAAGGTTGGGGTGAGGGTGTGCCAAGGGAAGAACTCGGTCCCCGACTCGGCCGAGCTGGCGCGGCGGCTGGCGGAGATGATGGCGGAGGAGGAGGGCCGGGAGGAGAGGAAGCGGGCGAAGGAGCTGAGCCGGGCGGCGGTGGAGGCCGTTAGAGATGGCGGGAGTTCGACCGGAGATTTGGATTCGCTGGTCGATCATTTGGTCAAGTTGGCTACACCGTCAGGCGGACAAAGTTAGTTAGATTAACTGTCCATGTGCACGGAACGTGGAAGCTGTAGTTCTTGAACCGAAATCTTGGCGCCTTTTTCTTGTTTGGTTTGATATCTTCTTTTGGCCACCATTCATGAGCCTTATTTGGCCTCATGAACTGCAGGTCATGAGCAAGTTTCCCAGGCTTTTTGTGAAAGGCGGAGAATCTGTTATCTTTTCTAGCTTCGAGTATATCTAAGTTTCTGAACCCATACAGTGATCACCAACCTGCAAATATATGGTCTCCATAGCTGCTACTGCAACAGTGATCTTCATAACCAACTTTACAGCATTGACCGTGAAAACGTTAGTACTGACATCTCTGAGAACTTTGGTTCGTAATTCATGGCTGGCAACTGGCAAGCTTCCTCAGTTCCTCTGGTGGTGCCACTTATTTCCATCCGTTGGAAAAATCGCACCCCTAAATAGCTCGCTCTAATTCCGAGATTATACTCCCCCTAATGTAATAGGCAACAATGGAAGTATAAACATAAACACAGACTTCAATCAGCAGAAGGAAGAAGCAAAGCAGAAGAATTCTGAAGTCAGAGAGACTAATCAAAAATAGGCATGCATACCTTTCCATAGTTGGGGAAGTTGGTTTTCAGTATGTTTAAAAATTAACAGGATCCATTGTATAAATTTCATTTTGGCATGGAGCAAGGATACGATACATTTTGTGTTTATTAGCAAGAGATGTCTGATAATGTTATGGAAGAGTGAATCATAGTGAAGAAGGTGCATCAGCATTGGAACAACAACGGAGACCACCACCGATTATTCGATGTAGAACAGCGCATACTGTGAAACAAATACGATATAACGTCAACGACTCACAAAGAAGCAGGGCGATGGAATTATGGAACTAACCCAGAGAAAGAACAAGCCAGAGAACTGCCACAGGAAGGCCACCCATCTTGAGAGATCAGGTCAGGATGATACAGAAACCAGAAAACTAAACTGCACAAGTTTAAATACATTCAGTCATTTACCATAGTTTTTATCCCTGTACTTTCATTCTTAACCTCGAAGTTTATCTTGCCATTATTTTAACAATCATGGATTCTCTTAGAAATACATTTTAAACTGATTTTATCAGCCCAACCGTGTAGTATTTGAATTTTGGATAGCAGTTAATTTTCAAAAGGTAAGAAAAACGAAATGCAGTATTTTCAACTCCGACCAGAACCTTGAGAGTTTCTCAAACTAATTATTCAGTTAGAAATGATATTTTAACAAACACTGCAGGTAACATGGAGGTTCCTACCAAACTAAATAGCTTTCATGCTAGCTGATACTGCCATTGATGGGAACAAAACAATAGTCACTAAATGAATTTTCACACAGCAGATTGCAGCAAGTTAGACACTGTCTGTATAACAATTGATGTTACCTAGTAATGATCTTCCTTGGAGCTCATTGTTAAAGTTTGTTGGTTCTTCCGTCTGTTGCAGATTTCAGCTACCGCCCTCGATCATTATGCCTCAGGGGAATCGCCTGTCGACAGACAAGTTGTAATTCATTGGCGTAACTGTAGAGAGCTTCATCAGCTTCCACATAGAGACCCGACTGGCTGCAGCCCTTACAAATATGTATCAACCATGGAAGGATCGTGATGAACTATTGGCTCGATTGAGGTAAGTCAGAAATCATGCTGAAAACACTTTCCCCTTCCATTTCTTCAATCATATTAGCATTTTGATTGACTTCATAAGCTCTAACCAGAGAGACACATTTGCAGAACATATCACACTCAAAGCAACTGTGTATGAGTCCAATCGCATGATAAGCAGAGGCTGCTGACAGGTAATAAACTCCACACAGCTCAAACTCCGCACTTCGTGAAAAACATCTCAATGCTTTCTTTGCCAAGAGGTGATAATATATCCATTATCGATTCTTGAAGCAAATCCAATGCCTCAGAAGATTCTCGCTGCTGAAGTACACAAGAGGCATGAGTTCCTGAGAGATGCAGCTCTCTTGGACATTTGGTCGAACACCTTCCATGCACTGACGAAAACAGAGTAAGTTGTGCAAAGATGGAGCTTTGAGCCAATAGGTTGTCACACAAGCCAGCTTTCTGATACTGTTGGGGACTCTTGGATCAACAAACAAGCATAACTAAGTATATAACAAGGTCGAAAACATTCATACAGAATCAGCGACACAAAAGGAACCCTTTCACTGCAAAGGGCACAAAAGATGACAAGAACAGTAACTTCAACCATTAGGCAGCTGCTGTATAATTGCAGGAAAAAAGAAACAAGGTGAGAGAGACGTAAACCCTAAAGCGTCGTCTCTAATTGGCCGCTGCATCGCCGGCCAGGCGAACTAACTCTTGCAGCTGCCCCTGCTGCCCCCAGTCCCAATACCTCATCAACGCTTGCTCCTTGGCCAAATTCCGAGCTCTCTCCTGCTTCCTCTTCTTCATCACTGTCCGGACGAACCGCTGCTTCCAAGTCGTCGCCACCGCCATCGACAAACTCGATCCGGGCTCCAACCCCTGAACCTCCCCAAACACGTCGGCGAATTTTGTCCCCCACAGCTGGTCGTCGCCGGAGGAAGACAAGCTCCGGAGGTTAGCACAAACGCACTCCATCCTCGCAATCGCGGTCGCCGGCAACAGCGCCATGATTCCGACCTTGAGCTCGTTGGGGAGGGTGGAGAAACAGTTCGGCCCAGGCAATCCTGCCGCCTCGGAGATGTCGATCAGCAACGGGAAACACAGCCCATCCTTGAGCCTTCTCCGAAACTCCGAAACGTTCCCGTACATGATAACCGACGAGAATGCTTTGCTCTTGTGCACCTTTCGCCTGTACAGACTCGAACCGTCTCGGGCCAGAGAGCCGCAAATCACCAGGAAGCCGCCTAGGGTTTGGAACTTGACGAGTACGGATGGAGGATTCTCAATCCGATCATTGCGAGCAAGGTGGAGGAGGGTGGGAAGGGTGTAAGAGATGGATAAAGTGGAGCTCTGGCCGGAATTGGGCAAGTCGGGGAAGTTTTCAATTGGGGCTCCGGTGACGGAATTGAAGCCGACGAAACCCGATTCAAGGAATAAGGCGTGGATTTCAGTGACCAAGAGATGGGTCGCCTTGCTTTGCAGAGAACTTAGCCACAGATCCATGGTGGAGAACTGGGTTAAACCGAGAGACCTTTTCCCCCCTCCCTCCTCCAATGCAAAGGAGAGAAGACGAGTAGAGTAATTGGGAGAGAAATTAAAGTTTGTGCCTTTTCTTGCATCATTTTGCGAAAGTTAAAGGTGTGTCCTTTTCAATGTTTACTGTACATAACAAAGCGATAATGCATGTGTCATTTCTCTCTGTGATTTGATTGGGTGATGCGGCCTAATGGTTTTCTCATAATTGAATAGAACAGAATCAACAAAAGCGAAGGCAGAGAATGAACAGTTATGGGCCTTGCTTCGAAGAGAGCTTCTTGGTTTTTGCTTGATAGAGTTTATTTTCAGGATGAACAGCAACAAGAGAGGATATGGAAAGAGATCCGGCGAGTGGCCGTTCTGGCTTGGACACGGTAGCATAGCCAGAAATTTATCGTCAAATATGGGGAAATATATATAGCTTAAATTTAAGGAAGTGTTCATGTTCTGAAAATTTTATAAATTACATGCAAATTATACCACAGTGAAATATCGTTTATGATTCCACAACACATCTTGTTATGAAGTATTTTTTTTACTTAGCTTATAGCAGTAATTGCTTTTCCGACACTTGCCATGGCAATCAAAAGCAACAAACACTCCTAAATTTCGATTTTTTTGTTTAAAAATGAGATCACAAAACATTACTTCTCGGTAAAATTATTTACAAATCATTGTCTTGTTTATTGCAACTGGGGGGAAGAGAATTTGGAGCAAGCCCCCATAACAGAATTCTTATACAAAGTTGAACAACGAACTTGCAGGTAGTGGCTCTTTGAAGTCCTCGAGGAGGGCTCAGATGAAGAACTGGGGAGTTCTTGTGCACTGATATGGTTTTCTGGAAAGAAATGAGCAATGTGATGTTCAATGTGAAGGGTTTACAAATGCATATAACTTCATTAAGGACTTTCTGAAAGTGCAGATCAGAAGCAATGTTACAGACTCAAGCACAGCAAGAAGGAAATGACAAGTGGAGCAAGCCACCTTTGAGACTATTCAAACTGAGCACTTATGGTAGAATAAGTAGAAGAGGCTCCTCAGGTGTGAGATGAGCTACTAGAGAAAGGAATGGAAAGCCCATATTAGTAGAGCAGCAAGACAGGAAGAAGTGAGATGGGAAACTGAAATTACAAAGGGGAAGGCTATCTTGTTTGGACTACAGAAGCTGGCAAAGGCCACTGGAATTGAAGGTGGAGGAGGTATGCAGAAGTGAAGTTGTGTGTAAGGAAACCAAGGAACTTGGTGAGGAGATGGATGTCAGAAAGTGGAGTTTTGTTCATAGAGAAGCAAATATTGTTTGCACTTGCTTGAGGATTATGTTCTGTGTAGGGGGTGAGCATTGGGTAAACAGAAGATGGAGGTATGCATAAGTGAAATTGTGTAAGGAAACCAAAGAACTTGGTGAGGAGATGCTTGTTAGAAAGATGAGTATTATGTGGGGAAAAAAAAAATGCAGTTCTAAACCAAAAGTAGTCACTCAGAAGCCATCTTTGACCCCACTATTGGACGCAGCTAAGACAACAAGAACACAGAGAAAAGACTGAAAATAACCAAAGCAGAACCCCTCACGCCAGAGTTAACCAAGTATATGTAAAAAGTGGCACAAAGAGAATACGCAAGGACACACCAGAACTGCAAACATTAACCACATGCTACTGCAATTGAAGAAGACACGAAGAAACCAGCCAAAAGACCCTAAATCCTCTCTTCATCCCACCTCCATAGTAGGCTTCTCGGTGCAAAGACAATGTCTTTCCTTACCAGTGACCCAAACCTAAATTCCTACCTTGGTATAATATCCTGGCCTGCTCTCTCACAGACGCCACATTCAGAAAGCGAATCTTCTTCGCTTTCTCTCTGATCGCGATCCCGTACGCCACTCCCACCTTCCTCTTCTCCACCCTCCTAACGAACAGCTCCCTCCAATTCTTCTCCACCGACGAACTCGACAGGGCTTCCCCCACCTGAACCTTCCCGAACACCTCGCGGTATCTGGCCTCCCACAGCTGGTTGCTGGAGGACGACGACAGGCTCCGGAGGCTGGAGCACACGCATTCCATCCTCGCCGCGGCCTTCGCCGGCAGCAGGGCCATGATCCCGAGCTTGAGCTCGCTCGGGAGGGTGGAGAAGCAGTTGGGCCCGGGCAGCCCAGCCTCCTCCGCGATGTCGATCAGCAATGGGAAACAGAGCTCGTCCTTGATCCTTCTCCGAAACCCCAATACGCCTCCGCTCGCGATAACCGACGCGAATTCTCCGGTCTTGTTGAAGCAGAACATGCGCGGAAGCGAACCGTCTCGGGCTAGCGAGCCGCAGATCACCAGGAAGCTACACAGAGGCTGGAATTTGACTTGTACCAATGGCGGTACTTTCTCCTCCATCGGGTCATTGTTACCGAGGATGAGGGCAGGAAGGGTGTAAGAGACGGAGATGGTGGAATTGTGGTCGGAATCGTACCAATCGGGAGACTTTTCAGGTCGGGTTTTGTAAAGGACGAAACCTGATTCCAGGAAGACGGAGTCAATCTCAGTGATCAAGAGCTTGAGCGCATTCCTTTTGAGAGAACTCAACCAAAGATCCATGGTGAAAGAGCAGCGCTAAACCTAGATTTTCCCCCTTTCTAGCCGAGGAAGACCTCCCATTACAATTTCTGACCCATTTTATATGATCTGTTTAACTTGGTTTGGGCGGGTCCGACCCATCCGGTAGGCGGGCAGGACGGAAATGGGTATCTCTCATCAACTCTATCTGGCTTGATCCGTCCCATTTTTGATCTGTTTTTGCTTAAATTACATGTAATATTAGTTCAATTACTTAGAACTTTCTTTTATTACCTTCTATTTTAGCAATAATAAAATTATAAGTAAGTGAAAAACTTAATTTCTCCAATACTTTAACTATATTTGATCATATTATGATTTGTTTCTTGGTCTTTTAATAAAAATAATGAGTATTTCTAATGGTTTGTTACTTGGTCTTTTAATGAAAATAGTGAATATTTTCAATGTTTTTCATATAAATAAATTACATACTCATTGGGTCAACCTGTCCTGATCCAAATCTCATGAAAAATGATCCGATATAGACCCAACCTACCACAGGACGGGTATGCATATCAAGATATCCGACCCGGACCCAATCTACCACAAGAAGAATATGGATATCGAGATACCCGATTGCTATTCCTACCTCCATTCGGAGAAGTTTGAAAAAATTGTTTCTTCCTTTTATAGACTATATAGAGTGGGGAGAGAAAACAATTTTGAAAAGGCTGGATCCGTGCATTTTTGCCCCACGGTAAAGCGACTACGAGCCCAATGAAACGAAATAAACAATATCCAAGTCGGCACTTGATCTTAGTTCTTACAAGTTACAACTACAAAGCGACTAAGCTGACGGCCTGCGTTAGGGATAGCGATTTCCAATTGAATTTGAACTATGTTGATAAGCCATGAACCAGAAACAGAACTCAAACTTTATCTCAATGTGAAAGCCACCACCATACAGTGTTATGAGCTTACAGAAAGAAGCCTTCAACCTCACGTCCTGACAATGTTTCGCTGTACAGATTGAGTGCCTCCTCCATCACATGTGCCTGTGCTAGCAACCGTGACCTTTTCTTCCCTGATGGATGAGTAGAGAGATAGTTTCTCAATGCGGATTCCCCACCGATCTTCCCCAGTTTCTCATATATACCTGGAGCCATGCGGGGATCGTATCCAGCAGAGGCCATCAACAGTAGACCTATGTAATCAGCTTCGATCTCCATCCTAATTTACCATTTGAGGTGAAAGGTTAGCACTTAGTAGTCAAGCTTCGATATCCATCTGGACTCCAGAGATACACTGATAGCAATCAAACTGACCTCACTACCAACTCCAATTTCCACAGAAACGGCAGCAGGGGGAAGGACAAACGAGTCTAATGCTTTTTATGAAGGTGGACCATGTATGATACAAGTGTAACCTAAAGCACGAGCATGCACATGAACATGAAGATGAACATGGTAGTGTTCAGAATGAAGGTTCAGGGGACTTGCAGAATGAAGGCATATGTATCTATCAGCATAGGGGGACTAATGGAAATCTCCCAACATATCACATGGGTCTGAATGGTAACTCTTTCATGCTTCTAGGCCTAGCAACATTGCATTGACACCCAGCAACAAGAAAACAAATCATCATTCAACCCCCAACAAAGCAAAGCATACGTACTTTCGAGAAAATGGAAGCCTCAAGAAGAGAGTGGACATTGTGTTGGCAAGATCCGGCGTTATGAACTGGAAAAGAATAATTTGCACAATTGCAAACCACAAATTCTTAGTGATCCCCTCTGCTCCATGTCTCGCCACAGCATGCCCAACCTAACAGTTAAAGATAGCACACACTTGATAATCATTAGTAGGAACAACAACTAAAAAAAATCACAACCAAACGAGCATCTTCTATGAATGAACGAATGAATAACCTCATGGCCAATAATCGTGGCTATCTCAGCATCACTTGAGAAATGCTTAAGCAAACCGGTGAAAACAACAATCTTCCCACCCGGTAAACAGAAAGCATTGACCACAGGCTGATCAACAACCACAACCTCCCAGTTTAGTCCATCCAAATGCGAAGTTCCAGCTTTCCTTCCCTTCTGTCTAGTCTTCTCCACCCACTTATCATCAAGAATCTCGTCCTGATTCCCCCAATCAGCCTCCGGTTTCCCTTCGTCCTCACTCAACATCTTATGAGTCTCCCTAGCTCGCCCACTGCGCCCTGCAGCTGCATCAGCACCATCGACGGTGGAAGCATAGCCCAACTCTTTCCACCCTTGCTCGTGACTCACCCCTCTTTGCAAAGCCTCGATTATATCTTTGGCAATCAAACGGACTCTAACACTATCAGGATGAATCGCAGGCAAGATCTTGCCCTTGAACGAGCCTTTGAGTTCTTGAAACTGAGACTCGCCCATCTTCCTCTCCATGTCGCTGCTCAACAGCACAAAATGCTTTCTCTTGGTATAGGGAACAGTCTCGAGGTTACCGAAATAGACTGTGATTACAACGCCGGAGCTCACCAGAACGACAATCAGAACATTCCTGGGGTTCCGGAGCCACCGCCGGTATCCCCTAGGTTTGAAATGCTGGACCTGGCGGGGATCCACATAGTAGAACCGCCTAGCCCCGCCGCCGCCGAAAGGATTGTGGTTGGGAATCACGATTCCCCGCCTTGCGGCCGAGGATTGTAATGTTCTTGATCCTAACCCTAAGCCGAAACTTTCACGAAGAGAAGAGTAAGGATGCGAGGTCGAGAACTTAGCTGGATTCGGAGCAGCGGTGCGGTGGATTCTGGAAGCGGAATCTTGAAATGACGGCCGGTGAGCAGCATCGGCGGCGGTCTTGGAAGAGAATCTCCGGAAGGCGTCGAGAGCGAGCTTCGCCCGGCGGTAAGTTGCCATAATTTGCCGGCCACGGTGACACAGATGGCGGACAGGAGAGAAGGATCAAAACAGTTAGAGAGTCATCGAGAGATTTGGAGGGATGGTGGTTGCGATCCTTCGGTTCCTTCCTGAAGCATGTGGAAGGGAAGCTTTGCTTTTGACCGCTGAGGAAAGAAGACTGCCCGCTCGGTGTAAAAGAATTGAAGGTAAAAGCCATTAATGGCGTTTGTATTCAGCAGAAGCTGATTCAGTTACAGAGGTAAAACTTCACTGGATTTTTAGCGGACTGGGCTTCTGTGAGTAGTTAGGAGTCGACGTATTACTTAAGCCCACAAAGAGAACACAATTATAAATTGCTTAAGCAAATAAAAATTAGGATAAGTGGTAAATTTGGTAAGTGGAATTACAAAAGAAATTCATCTTTGTTATTAAAAATATTATATTTCATTTATGAATTAACTAGAATTAGTTAAATTGGTCACACTCTGTTAATATCTGTTAGTTCATAACACTCTAGTCCTTTAGTCAGTTCATAACAATCTTTGTTAAGCAAGGGACAAAGCTTTGTACCACTTAGGCCGATACCAAATAAACCACCCAAGAATGGAATCCCAAACAACGTCAATTATTTGCTGACATGGCCAAGGAAAACACCTAACCAGCCTATTTTAACCCTAAAAAATCGATACCCGAATAGTTACATAAAAAAAAATCAGACCCAAGATATTTTAAAACCCAACCATGATCCAACACGGACCCAACCCTTCTAATTCCCCCAGACGACGAATTGTAGAAGAAGATTTTCTCACTAGTTGTCAATTATTTGCTGATACGGCTAAGTGCGGAAACAGATTCAAGGTACCTACTTTGGACTCTTACTCGTTCATATTGGGAGCTCATCGAGGACAGTTGGGAGTTGGATACAAGTCTTGCTAAAGAGCGTTGGATGAGAAGATCAAAACTTCCGGGACACTAAACAAGCAACCTGAAGATGGTGTGGTGGCCAGTTCAAAATTCACGGTCAGACATCCAATTGCATGATCGTGGAAGAGAAGGCTAGACATGGGATTTGGGCAGGGGAGTTCCACGACCACAAACATCAATTCCACGACCGTGGAATTGCAGGACTCACCGAGGAATTTGTCTGACGACTTAAATTACCTTTTTGTGTTAGGATTTTTTCCTTTTTCAGTATTTTAGTTAGATTTATTTCCTTGTCATTAGAATTAGGCTTTTATTTTCTAAAGGGTTGTAAACTGAGTTAAGAGAGGAGACTTAATTGAAAAATCCCTTTTGTTCATTGATTATTAGGCTTGTGAATTATGCATCTTAACTTTGATCGAGCCTCTACCCTTATATTGATAGAGCCTTCTCTTAGGTGTGAGATTGCACTTCAATTTTGCATTATCCTTTTAGTTTTTTGCGTTGTTGAGAAAAGTTCAGAAAACCCTAAAAATATTGTGGTTACGTTACTTCGATAACAATGGGTATGCTTGTATCAAGTTGGATTGGTTTTTATGAGGTGACGAATTTTAATGATGTGGTATGTCGGATTTTCTCTTTTTGAGTTAAAATAAGCTGACAGTTGCGGAAGGAAGTGGAAATTGTTCGAGGGATTGATACCTCATTGTTCTAGGACTTGCATTAACTGTAGCTCTTAGCTCCTAGATTTTACTTACCTGCATTGATAGTTTTATAGGTTCTATACATGTCTCTCTTATTGTTTTGAGTAGCTTTTTACTGGTTTGACTTAGTGGGCACTGGGCAGGGGTGTTGTCACATAGTGATTGGTATCAAGGTTTAATATATATACTTTTTTATATTTTCCACTTTTGTACTTGAAATTAAAATTTTATACTAAAAATATCATTACAAAATTATGTTTTGGTACCTTAAATTTTCTTTATGACATTTTACTATCTAAAATTTTCAAAATTTACATAACAATCTAAGACTTGAATGTCATTTGGATTCATAGATCAATCCACTTGATTCATGGATCCACCAATTTATGAATAAAACTCTTCTTTTGTATGAGTTTTTTTTTTTTTTGTCAAAAGATATCATATATTGATCAAATCAGAAGATAGTTACACCCTGGAACCCAGCCAGGTCTGGAAATCAAAAAAACGACTCATGGTCGGGTACAAAGAGAGGGCTTTCCTAGCTACCAAATGAGCTACCCTATTGTTGTCCCGTCCTACAAAACGCACTCTAAAGCCAGGCTGAACACGAAAGTAATGAACAATCTCTTCAAGAACAGCACCCAACCGGCTATCACTTGTGTTGGCCTGATTAATTTTGTCGATTATCACCTTCGCATCGCCCTCAAAGCAGACCTCCGACAAACCTTGCTCCATACACCAACTAATAGCTTCCCTCAGCACAAGCAGCTCAACCACCGCAGGATCATCCAAGTGCGCGAACTGCACCCCTCTAGCCAGCAACAGTGCCCGATCTGGGTCAAAAAGAACCATCCCGCCAACCGAATGAGACCCACTCTTAGTAGCCCCGTCCCACATGCAAACCCAATGGGCACCATCCAAATGCGAAGTTGTTCGTATTATTGGGCGTTGAACCCTAGGCGCCTGATCCGCTGGAAGACCCATCCATTCCTCAACCTGCTGGTTGAACTGTCGCATGAGCGCCGGAATCCCAAATTGCTTGCCTTCAAAGACCACCCAATTCCGAGATCTCCAGATCCGCCAGAGAATGGCAACAACAGCCATAACCATCTCAGGATGATGGATCAAGCCCAACAGACGTTTGAGAAACAAAGGGAAAGTCTGCAGAGGCAAACCCTCGCCCAAGTATTCCAGTCCCGAATAATCCCAGAGGGCCCGCGCCACCGGACAATAAAGGAACAAATGCTCCATTGTCTCCGGGCCTTCCCAACAAACTTGACACCGAGGTAGCACCGGGACCTTCTTCTCAATAAGCGCCTCCATAGTCGGCAGGGCCCGATTAAGAATCTGCCAAACAAACACTTTCAATTTTGGAGGGATCTTAGCCTACCAAACTTTAATCCAGCTCGACTTATCCATCCAGCTTACCGAGGAACGCCACACCCCCCCCCCCTCCTGTCCAAATCAACTGCTAAGTGATAAGCCGTCTTAACCGAGAAGACCCCATCCGCCGCAAAATGCCAAATAAGCTTATCAGGTACATCCATACGCGGGAGGGGAATAGTTTTAATAGCCTTACAGGTGGGTGGATCAAACCATTGATTGAGCATTTCATCAGACCACCTTCCTCCCCCCTCACTAATAACTTCCGCCACCAAGGGATCACCACCCTCAGGCAAGACCCGGGGATTATAGGAAGGGGGGTCTAACTGATACCGAGGAATCCAGTTAGACTAGAGAAGGGAGGCCGATTGACCATTGCCAATCTGCCATCGCAACCCACTTTCCAACAACTGACGCCCATAAAGGATACTTTGCCACCCCCAAGAGGGTCGTGAGCGAGCCGTCGCGGTCAGAAAAGACCCTTGGGGGAAATACTTGCCTTTATAAACCTGGGCAATAAGCGATTGAGGTTCGTTGAGGATACGCCAGCCTATCTTAGCCAAAAGAGCTTGATTGAAGTGCTCGAACTGGCGAAATTCCATCCCCCCATCATGCTTACTCCTGCACATGTTCCGCCATGATACCCACCTAATCTTAGGACTCTCAACCTCCGCTCCCCACCAAAAACGCGCCACATACTTATCCAAAAGACGACAAAGGGCCAGGGGAAGCCGGAAACAGGACATAACATGAAGTGGAAGTGCCAACGCTATGGATTTAATTAAAGTTTCCTTAGCCGCCCACGACAACGTTCTTTGCTTCCACCCCTGAAGCCGTTCGAGGAGTTTATCCTCCAAATATCTGAAAGTAGCTGTTTTGGATCTGGCAATCAGCGTTGGAAGGCCCAGATATTTATCGTGGACCCCCACAGCCCCAACCCCAAGAATTGAGGCCAAGAACTCCTGATCTGGCAAGGAGATATTCTTGCTAAAACAGACCGCCGATTTATCCAAATTAACACGTTGACCACTCAGTTCCTCATATTCATTCAACACCTCAATTAAATTCTCGCACTCCAGCAGCGACCCTCGCAAGAATAAATAAGAATCATCTGCAAAGAACAGATGCGAGATTCTTGGAGCACGAGGAGCTACTTTCACCCCTTCTAATTTCTTCTCCGTGATCGCCTTTCGGAGAAGAGCAGCAAACCCCTCCGTACAAAGTACAAACAAGAGAGGGGAGAGCGGATCTCCCTGACGAAGGCCTCTAGAGGCGGTAAAATATCCCGAAGGCGTACCATTCATCAAAACCGAAAAGGAGGCGGATCTAAGGCATTCAAGTATCCATCCTTGCCAGATTGAAATAAAACCCATCTTATCTAAAACTGCAAGTAAGAAGGGCCATTCAACTCTATCATAGGCCTTTTCCATGTCAACCTTCAGAGCCATGTACCCCTTCTTCCCTTGCTTTTTTATTTTTAGATAATGCATTAGTTCATGCCCAATAAGAATGTTATCAATAATCTGTCGGTCTTTGATAAACCCATTTTGGCCCTCCGATACAATCTCCGGGAGAAAGCTAGCCAGCCTTGTAGCCATGACTTTGGTAATCACCTTGTAAACAAATTGACAGAGGCTAATCGGCCGCAATTGTCTCATTGTTTCCACCGAATCCACTTTAGGGATCAACGTGAGCCAAGTATGATTAAAACTTCGCAACATCCGGCTCGAGGCAAAAAAGGAAGTTACTGCTTCAACCACTGAAGTGCCCACAATCTCCCAGAAAGCTTTAAAAAACTTTCCTGTAAAGCCATCCGATCCCGGGGCCTGCTTTGACCCCATGGAAAAAACTGTACTCCGAACCTCCCCAGGCAAGACCTCCGCAGTCAAATGCGCATTCATTTGCGGAGTAATATTTCGGGCAATCCGTAGACTCGCCACCCTTTCAGCCATGTTAGGAACCTGATTTTCCGAAGTAAACAGGGTCTGGTAAAAGTTGGTGGCAATAGAAGCTTTTCCGGACTCTTCAGTAACCCATTCTCCCTCCGTATTACGAAGCCCAGAAACAAAGTTCCTCTTACGCCTCGTCCTTGTGATCGTATGGAAATAGGCAGAATTCTGATCTCCCTTTTTTAGCCACTTAACCCTTGATTTATGCTGCCAAAAAACCTCCTCTGCTTCCCATTGACGGGAGAGCTCCGCCTCCAGTCTTCTGATCGCATCCCCGTCCACCGGATGGATCGACTTTATCCCATCAATCTCAGTCTGGAGAGTCTTGAAAAAGATATTTTCAGTAGTGGGGTCTAATAAACCTGTGGAGTACCTGAATCAACAACATTTTCAAGGCCTAGCACCTGATACTGGGGGGAGACGAAGTCTCCAGCACTCACGGTGCCTCCGTGAACACCAAGTGGTATAGCGAGATTCGAACCCGAGACCTCACACATCTCAGACCCGAAAGGCCACACTCCCGACCAACTCGGCTGTGTTGCCTTCAACATTTTCAGGACTTAATATACAGATAAAGAGAGAAGATGAAGTTTCTTATGCAAAAAAAAAAAAAAAAAAAGAGAGAGAGAGAGATGAAGTGAATGAAGAATACTTCTAACAGTAGTAATGTGCACTCTCCCTTTGCTTTTATTGAATATTGAAAATTACAGGTAAATACACAAACTTCTTACAATCAAATAACAAACCATACGCAACATAAATAATCGTGTAGGAAACTAGGAATAATATTGGATCTACTTAATTGGCTTCACATGATTTAGCCATCGGATCCTAAATGGTCTCTCAACAATAATAAAGGAAACAATTGAAGGAAAACCTTCACAAATACGAACAGGTAGCATAGGTAGCATAAAGATAAAGGAGAGAACACACATGTGACATCTATATCGTAAACGGATGGCACAAAAGACGAGCCGCAAGGCGTTAGTTACTACCTCCGGTTGAAATTAACAACACCATCCGTTTCAATTTTGCCGCCGCTTCAAGCCTTTTTAGCCTTGCCGAAAAGCCCGAGGCGGAAAATGACAACATCGTCACCACCGGTCAAACCAGCAGCTCCGGTCTTGCCGAATACGTCCCATGGAATCAGGCTGCCGTCACCTCCGCTCGAACCAGCAGCTCCAACGTTGCCGTCATGGATGATGTGATATGTGATCGAACGAGTAGCTCCGGCCTTGCCGAATACGTCCCATGGGATCAGGCTGCCGTCACCTCCGGTCGAACCAGCTCCAGCCTTGCTGTCATTGACTATGTGATATGGAGTAGCCCCGGCCTTGCCAAATACGTCCCATGGAATCAGGCTGCCGTCACCTCCGGTCGAACAAGCAGCTCCAGCCTTGCTGACATGGATGATGTGATCTGTGGTCGAACGAGTTGTCCTGGCCTTGCCAAAGACGTCCCATGGAATCAGGCTGCCATCACCTCCGGTCGAACCAGCAGCTCCAGCCTTGTCGATGATGTGATCTGTGCTCGAACGAGTAGCTCCGGCCTTGCCGAATACGTCCCATGGAATTAGGCTGCCGTCACCTCCGGTCGAACCCGCAGCTCCAGCCTTGCCGAAGGTTCGTCCTCCGAAATGGATGCTGCGATCTGTGGTCGAACCGGTTATTGCTCCAGCCTTCTTGATCATCATCGCCATGGTTTGAGACGACGGTACGAATCTAGCTGCGGTTGATGGAGGAGATGAGTGCAGTAAGGCGCCAGCTGCAGTAGCACCGTTGGTGCTCATCGCAGCACTACTACAGATCATCAAAGTGGAGGCAGCCATATACCTTAATAATTAGAACTCACCACTCACTTGAATATGGCCAATCGTTAAATTGACGAGTGTAGTTTGCTTCCAACCTAGCTAAAGGCAGTTTTTATACGCATAACTCCCAGCAATTCAAAGCTCTCAATTCCCAACCATCAACGACTACCCACCAACATCACTTATTTGCACCTCTCACACTCATCAGATGTTCAGGACGACCCACCTAGCTAGTCACTGACTAGATATAATTCAGTAGGGTTTCCCTCCACAGACACCATTTCTATTTTCCAAAGTTGAATGTATTACATAAAAAAAAAACTGCCTCCATCATTCAGAAAATATGTTGGAGGAACTTCAGCATCTTATTTGTAGTGATGAATCGATAATAAAGGTGACGGTTTTGTATCCAATTCATCAACTTAAAAATATTTAATTATCCAATCCAATTAATTCAAATTCAATTGGAGTGATTCATTGATTTTTGGCAAATTACATATTAGTATCTGTACATTTTGATATCTAAACTTTATATCATGATATCTAAACTTTAAAATTGTTCAAATGTATAGATGTCATTTTGAACCAATGATCGGGTCCACAAATCTATTTGTGTTAGGATTTTGAATGGCGTAAATGATAATGAAAAGCGAAAGCGCTAAGATAAACTCTTGCAGTACAAAGGGTTAAGATATGGGAAGGCGTGTCCTCGAACTCGGTCAATTTGTAAATATGTTGGTAATCGGTTAGAATGGTTTGTATAACCAACCCGAATCAAATCGAGTGGAACCTGAAGTAATGTGACCAACCAGTCCAACTACCATTGGACGAATCAATGCAAAGTTGAGAAATTTTAAACGACCCATTGCAATGGTTGGGGTGTAACCACCCACCTGAAGAGCCCCTCCCTTCGTACACACCCTTTCATTTTCTATAAATAACACCAAACCCCTCTCATTTTATTGACCGAAAAAGAAAACAATTTTCTGACCGAAACTGTGCCATGATCAAAACTGATTTTTATGCATTCTTTCCAAACGAAAAAAATCGAGTCAAGTGTGATTCTCGCCAATTCGCTGCGTTCTTTGTTTTCCAAGGTTTGAGGTTCCGCTACGCCGTAAAAGGTAAATGTTTGACTATTATTTTTGGTTTTTGAAAGGTTTGGCTATTATTTTGTTTAAAATCAAAGATTTGGCTAATATATTGTATTTATCCTTAATTTTTTTATATTTTCTATGATGATTAGGAGGTGACGTGGTGGTCAATTAAGTTGTCACATCACGAACATTTCTATCTAAGAAATTAAGTTGTCACGTTAGAGTCAACTAACGGTCAACCAGATGGAAAGTTAACGGTTTGATTATTATTTTATTTTTGAAAGTTTTGACTATTATTTTGTTGGGTTAATATATTTGTATGGCCCGAACTTTTCACAAACACATCCTGACCAATCTTTTTGATCTATAACTTTGTGGCCTCAACTATGCATCAAAATTACGAAATTGGCCAAAACCGAAATTTGACCATTATCTTGGATGGTCAAACGATTTGACCAACGATCAACACACCATGTCATTGCCAAGTCAACATAGATCACTTAAAAAAAATTGCTTTTTCCACATACTACCATTTAAAAATTTTGGGACCCAACATTTTTAAATTTATTTTCCCTTTTTATTCGTCTTTTGTTCAAAATAAAAAATATAAATGGTAATAGGTGAAAAAAACAATTTTTAAGTAGTTTGTGCTGATATGGCAGTGACCTGGGGCGTTGACCATTAGTCAACACGTTTGACCATACAAGATAACGGTCAAATCTCAGGTGACAAATTTCGTAACTTCGATGCATAATTGAGGACACGAAATTATAGATCGAAAAAATTGATCAGAATGTTTAATTTGTGAAAAGCTCTGACCATACTAATAATTTAACCCAATTTTGTTTAAAATCAAAGATTTAGCTAATATATTGTATTTATTTTCTCATGTACATTCAACTTTGGGAAATTGTGTCGGTAGAGAGAAACTCGCCTGAATTATCTAGTGAGAGACTAGTCCGTAACCATGACCTTGAGTGATGAGTCCCATCACTGCCATGCGAACTGTTGTACCTGCTTCTTTGAATTGCGTCTGATAAGTGTGTGAGTTGTTAGTAAGTGATGTTTGCCACATAGTGATTGGTATCACGGTTTAGTACCTATACTTTTTATATTTCACACTTTGGTACTTAAAATTTATTTTTTATACTAAAAATATCACTATAAAATTATGGTTTGTACCTAAAATTTTCATATGACATTTTAGTACCTAAATTTTTTGAAATTTACATAACAATACAAGGCTTGAATGTCACTTGATTCATGGATCCATCAATCTATGAATTCAATTCATTTGCCACCTCTAATTTCATGTAGTTTCTCTTCTTTTCTGTTAGTTTTACATCAATATGGTTTGCTTTTATATTGAAAAATATATTTTCAGTGACTTAATTATTAGAATATAAATAACGCCTAATTGGTATTAAGGGGACTAGTGACCTGTGGGTGTGTCTAAGGTGAGTTCCCTGCACCCTAGCGGATCGTCTTCAATGCATCCTTACTTTCGATATTGGCCGTCGATTTCTTCAAAACAGAAAATACGTTGAATCTCCTCCCGTTCTCCCCCAATTTCCCTACGAAGACAGGATGTAGGCTAGGCAAGTCGCCGAACCTTCTCCCTTTCCTCTCCTCCGCCGGTGTTTTGTCTCCCAGAAAAGAGATCGGTACATTTGTCTCTGCATCATCCTTTCAACGTTGATTACATGAGTGGCTTCGCTGTTGATTCCTTTGGTTGGGTGCACGAGGGTTTCGCTTTTTTTCTACAGCAGTTTCTGGGTTCTGGTGCTGCGGCTTCTCCTCTCGGATCTGGAAGGAGCGCGATTAAATTAGACTGGAGGCCGGAAATCGATAGGTGTTAGAAAGGAGAAGAGGTCGTTTTCTCCATTTTTGGGTTGACCGTTGCCACGGTCTGACCTAGTGAGACCCTGATTCATAAGAGGGGAAATCAAAGCAACCAAGTCACGAACCCGCTGATTTCTAGCCGACTACCATCTGGCCAACATAGTGTACCGACTTGACACGAAGGACTTTGATTGGATTCAGATTGGAGGGGTTGGATGGTCGAAATGCAGACTTAGCAGCTTCACCTTAGTAGCAGCTTGATTCATTGGGTGATCTAGAGAGGCAGAGGAAGGTAAGAAGGGTCATATCACTAAGATTTGGAATGGAATTTATTATATCTTTCAATCCTTCCTCATGCTTGATTTCAGAGAAAAGAAATTGGAGATAGAATCTTGAAAATTGGAATAACAAAGTTAAGCAGTGCTATATTTTGAATTCAATGTGGAGATCATTCTTCCATAGAGCTCAATCTGTCTTGCAGTTTCTTCTATTCATTCACTTGATGAGCTACTAATGGCCTCTTTCAAATTGATAAACTTTTCAATAGATTAGGTCTACTATGTGCTATATAGTTGTTTATGGTATTCTCATTGTGTGTCTTATGCATTTTCTCTTAGCTTCTGCTAACACATTAACCATAAACCCTTACTTCCACTGGAAGTTGTTTAACAGGCTATTAGGCCGGACTTCATCGCTATTATTCTCTCATTGTCTTGATTGGAGGTTGTCACTAAACTTGGGACCAATGATATTGCTAGGAAGCTGAGGAAAAGCTGATATGTCATAGGTGTTGATTCTTGCTTCATAGTTGTAGTTTGATGTCATCAATTCGTGTGGGATTTGGTTACCGTTATGCATATAGGTAGAACTGAATGGGCTAGGAAGTTATGAAAAGCAACAACTGTATGAGTGTGTAAGGATTGACAGACATTGCAGTTAACCATGGAAGCTTACAGTAGTACCAAGTGAAATCAAATTTGATAAAACTGTCTAATATCTTATGGACTTTGATAATGTTATGTGCATATTGTTGCAACTTTTGCAGAGGGGTTTAGTTGTTTGTAGATAGTACATTGTATCATTCAGGGGGCTATCCATTCTCCCCATCAAAATCAGCTTATCTGTACCGAGCATTTTCACTAAATTCTCAACTTAGTATGTTCAATAGATTCCATATGCTATGAAGTTGTCCCCATCACATTTCATTTCCCATGTTTTCAATTCCTCTCATCCAATAACTTAAAAAAGGAATTCAGAATTGAGGATCGTCTTTGCAATTGTTACGCAATGACTAAGCAACTATTTTGCAGGCCTGACCAAAGTTCACGGAGTATGTTCAATTTGGATATATCTTTCTTTTTGTTGATTGTTGGGCCCAAGGTTTGAACCTAGGTTATTGAAATATCATGTGATTCATAGTGTTACAAAGAAGAAAATAAAGCTTGATTGTTTTCATGATTTAATAATCCCTTACATAAGTAAGTTGTCTGTATCAAAAGCACGAGAATTAGGCCTATATTTCCATACTGATTAATTCAAACCCGGATTATTTTGGTATTTTTTAAGGATACAATGCTTAAAAATTTTGTTCGATATTTTAAGAACACCTAAGAAAATATCTTTCATTATTGTTAACTGAATTGACTAAACATTTTTGACAACCCGCTGTGAAGCGCGGGCCAATTATCTAGTATACAGATAAAGAGAGAAGATGAAGTGAATGAAGAAGTGGGCATGTATAGTAGAAACTAGCCTATTACCCGGCCCGTTGGCCGGATTACTGTATGTTACCCACTTGTGGAATAGGAGGGAAAGCAAGTGAGAGTGAAGGGATTGAGATTCCACTTGATTAGGACCGACCCACTAATCCGATTCTTCCCGACCCGCCCCAACCTAAAGGGTCAGAAAGAGTCAATAAGAAAATACGAACGGAGAGGATTAGTCATATTCATATATCTTGACTCTTCAGAAGTGGGTCAAACAGGATCAAGGTTGGGTGAGGAAAATTTTTAGCGCTAAGCAGAGTTCTGGGTTGAATAACTTTACTTAGGCCTAGAAATTGGTGTTGATGCAGACTGCAGTTTTTATTATACCATCATCAATCATCATTGAATTAGTCCTGGGCATCCCTCCCCGTTGTCGG